AATCTTGGGGGGCTCTTCGATGCTCTTCTCTATTTAAAAATGAACATCTTTTTATCACAGATGATTCTGAAACCGTTATTCAAAGAGAATCCGTATTTTTGTTATCCTGTCTTGATTCGAGAAGTGGAGAAATTATCAAATTTAAACAATAGTTAATTTAAGATATTGGAGCTAGGTAAACAAGTTGAACAACAGTTAACCAAATTAGCCTTTTCATTTAAGAAACAAAATACTTGAGAGCGCCAAAATATTTTACCGTGTTTTCAGACGTCTAGAATTTGTTCTTACCAAAACATAGACAAGAAAACATTCATCAAATATCTCGAATTATTATTGCACGCAGATTGTTTTCTTGTCTATACTTTTAGGCAAGAAAAAATGTTAGACGTCTGAAAAGGGTTAAATTTTTTGGCGCTTTCTCAAGTAACTTTTTTTCTCAAATGAAAAGGCTAACTTGGTTAACTATTGTTTGACTTGTTTACCTAGTTCCAATATCTTAAATTAACTACTGTTTAACTTTTTATTGCCTAGTTTCAATATCTTAAAGACCTTGCACCCAGTGTTGGTCGCATGCAGACAAGACAACCGTTTTCGATTGTAAAAAAAATTGCTGTAAGTATTGCTGATAATGTCTCCGGGAATGTTTTGATTCCATTTAATGGCATTGCAAGATACTTTATTTTTCATCAGTATGTATTTTAACATCACTTGAAAACATATTATAACAGAGAAGCTAATCGGAGCTTTGCACCACCCACTTGTGATACGATCGCAAATAAATCTAGTAAAAAATAAAAATAGTAAAAAAAAACTGGGAACTGCGGAAAAAGTTTAAGTGTGTCAAAATGAATACAGCCAGTTGTTTTTTTTTAAAAAGAAAACACGCCAAGACAAAAAAACACAAAATTAGCATCGCAAGAATATTTGCTGAGCGGCAAAACAGTACGTTAGCAGAAACCGTTTGTTTCAGCCAAAAAAAAATCAAAAAAACATAAACAATAAAAAACTGTTCGAGTCCCCTCCACCTTAGAACTACCAAACCCGCAAACGAAAAAAAACTTTTTGTACTGAAACGACGCAAAATAAGTTCATCAAGCGGATAAAACATAAGCCAAAATCAGTTCAGCAGAATAAAGTTTTTAAAAGAAAAAAAGGCAAAGCACGAAGCCAAGATAATTAAAATTACAAACAGCAGAAATAAATCAAAACACTAAAAACATCTACATAAAAATTGGGAGCAGTAAAAAACAATTCTACGACATGGCAACTAGGCCGCCAAAACGTAAGCCGACAAATAATAGGCCGAAAATATTTTATGAAACGGAATATTTCCGTTTGAAAAAAAAACATCACATCATGTCAGATTCGAACCCAGCAACTTTGCCGTCCCAGGCGTATTCGTAACCTCGAGACCAAGTAGGCTGGAGTTATCATTTTGACAAATGAACTCAAACTCGAGTTCGTTTACTGTTTCGGTGAATGAATTAGTAAATGATTTCAAATTTAGGTTCAAAAACAAAAAAAAAGAACATAAACTTGCTAGTTTTAATGTTGACCTTTATGCGAAAAAAGTTAGTCACGGGAAAGAAAGTCCAATACCAGGTTGCAACACACTTGCTATCGCAAATGTAATTATGATAATTTTGATTATTATTGTTTCGTTATTGATAAATATTATGATTATTATCATGAATATTACTATTATGATTATTATGATTAATATGATTATGATTATTAAAGTTATTATGAATTTTATAACTACTTTGATTTTATTATGATTATGATTATGTTTATTATTATTATTTCAAATATTAATATTAACATTAATTTTTTATGATGATTCTGATTATTATTAATATCATGATTATGACCAATATTATCATGAGTATCCTTGCGATAAGTAAGGGTATTGAAAATGGGTACTGAATGTTTTACTCTGAACAACTTTTTTAAATTAACAGAATGGCCAAAATGCTATTTCGTTTAAAAACTATTTCGTCGTATTTTGAGCGAATTAATGACTGTTTTTGCCTGCATATGTGCGTCGGCCGCAGTGTGGAAGTTGAAAATTGAAATTTTCATTGGTACCAAAAACTGAGGTCGGTCAGATTGATTTCTTTTGGCTTATTTTTCTTAAGATGTAATTCTATTTATTTTTGTTGGTATGAACTCTAACAATGTTGGTAGAGCTACTGAACTCTAACAATTTGTTTTAAAATCTAAATCAACATCTTAATAAAATTAGAACAATTAAACTTGAAAAATGGACAAAATTTTTTTAAATTTTTTTATTTTAGTTTGGTTTTTCAGTTGGTTCAAAATTTAAGTCGGAATTTTTGTTAACTTTGATTATGCAAGCGGTTGTAGTCATTACGGTTGCACTAAGCAAGCTATAAAAAATTGGAAAGCAGATTTTTTAGGGTTAACAAATTTCTTAACAAAATCACTGAACAGATTTCTCGGTTAATTTCAATGTTAAATCAAGTTTGAGGTCCAAAATGTTCTATGTTGATTTTGTTTTCGGCTCAAAGATCGCCGATCCAAGTTTTTTCGGCTTAGAAGGTGTCCAATAACTTTTCTGAACGGTAACTTAACAATTTCGATTGTATTTGTCGGAATGTGTTCGTCCATTTGATCATATTTAGGACAACTCTATGCAATTTTTTAGATATAGTTTTTTACTTAACATTTTCAGAACAAACTGGCATCCGCCGCATTTTCTACTTTTGACTTGCATTTCAAGTTGAGCGAAGCTCTGTTTCTCCCATGGATGATTATGATTTATGATTATGGTTATCATACTTATTATTATTGTTATGGCACAGCGATTCGCATCACTTGCGACACAACAGAAACAAAGTATAACAAATAAGCAGACAGAAATTGAGACGAATATGCTAAATCGAAAAAATAGTTGAGAAAGTCGACAAAAGCTGCATCTACCAAATTTTATAAATCCTTATCTTGAATTAAGTTCAATTTTTTTATACATGACAAATAAGAACTATAATCTCAAAAGACTCACGCACATAGGACACGTTTTGCTCGTCCAACAATGCAATATGAAGCTTCTACGCTGGTTAAGTTTGAAACGAAAAAATACAAGGAAAACGAAAAAAAACGAATTTAGATTGAACCGGATTTGGTGATTTTCAAACATTAAAAAAATTGAATAAAACGGGTGTTTGAAATGGAAATATGCTCAGACTATGTCTGTTGAGTGGCGAAAAAGCAGATTTGAGAAAATTATTCAGTGATTTTGTTGGACAAGTTGTGTACAAAAATCTGCCTATGTTCCAAATCGCGAGCACAATCATTAAATGCGTAAGAATTCAGTGCACATAAATGAACGCCAAAATCAGATAACTCAATTACCCTACCAATGGGGCTTGAGAAATCGCATTCAAGTTTTTAGAAGAAAGCTGACATTGACGACGATAGTCAGAAAAGGCAGATCCGACCAGATTGGAACCACAAGCTTTAGAATTTTAAATGAAGCTAGATGAAACATCTGCAAAGTCTTGTGAACAAAGTTAATTGTTTACGAGAAAAAACTCTAGTGCCCAGTTGCAATACCCTTGCTTATCGCAAGGATAATTATTATTGCTATTATTATAAATGTTCTTCAAGATAATTTTATGAACCAACCGTCTACAATGAGTCTGACGACGAATCTTGCCTCGCCTCCTTTGTTAGTGGCCACACACTCGTATGGCCCCCCGTCTGCAGCCTGGACTGCGGGGAACACAAGTGAGTGGGTGCCATCCTCCCTCACCACTATGGACCTGTCGGGGTCATTCGCAGGCACTTCTTCTCCATTGTGGAACCAACTAGATTAGAAAAAAAAAGTTGGTTTTGCATCGCAAAAAAAAATTAGCATGTGCAGTTGGTTTAAATTGCACAAAAGATTCATTAACATAAACAGCGCTTAGAGTTTAATCTGAAGAGTGCTTCTTTGATGCTCATTCAAGCAGCACAATTTGAAACAGCTTGATTCCGACTAAATTATGTTATCCTAACATCTACTCATCGGTTTGAAAATCTTCTCGTTGATTACTTGCTGAATTTAAGCTTACTTGATTTCAGAAGACTGAAAGCACTTCAAATATGCGTCTATTCGAAAAGTTGACGTTAAAATTTTAAACAAAACTTTCTAAAAGGAAACATCTTCGTTTGTATCAAGCCAAATTTTTACCTGAAGCTAACTGAATTTTTCGACAACAATTTAACATTTTTTGGAACAGACTTAAGCGTTCTGCTCTTTTCCTTCAGGGCAATCTTGAGATATGGAGCGAGTTTGTCATTTATTTTGCGAAAGCAGATGTCAATGGGACCCTCCGACCGTGACCCAAGTGGGATTCGAACCCAAGACCCTCGTGTTAAGAGAGATCCGCGCGCCTTACCCACTCGGCCACGGCCGCTATTGTCCTGCTCTTACCGTAGAGTGGGCATGGGTCTTCCTGTGACCTTGCAGTCGAATCTGGCTGTCTTTCCTTCCTTCACGAACAAGTCCTGTGGCTTGGTAATAAAAATAGGGGCCAAGTGTTTCTCATACACTCCCGCCTTCACCGGTGGGTCCAGCTTCTTATTCCTATCTTCCAGCCTGACAAAAAAATTAACAAATATCAAAATACATATTTGTTTGAAAATAAAGCATAGATCAGGAGCATCAAGCGAGCACCAGGATACGATTTTTTCTGTTTGTGACTCCAAAATTTTGAAGAACGAAAGACACTGTTCTGCACAACTGTTTTTTTTTTCAAAAGTAGAAAATTTATTCAAAAAGTTTGAATATTATGCTTTTCGATCTTCAATTTTTGAAACTATTAAAACGCAATTTTGAAAGATAATATTTTCTTACATCTTGAATGCCTGCATCTTCGCTGGATCGACTTCATCAACCTGTCCAGATTTGTCCACATAGAACTGCGTGGTGGTCGCGGTTCGACCTCTAGCGTTCCAGGCTAGCACTGTGTAGTAGCCGGCATCCTCCGGATACACTCTGGACAGGGTCAGGGCGGCCTTGGTGGTTCCGGTGCTGGGGTCCCGGAGACTCCTGGAGAGTGCCACTCTTTGGGAGGGGTAGAGAGGTCTCCCGTTGTGGAACCAGTTGAACTGAAAAAGTTAGAGATTATATTTTGGGCCTATCTAAAAGTCGTTTATTGGTATTTTTATGCATTGTTTTCTGGCGCAAAATTGGCTTAATGAATAAATTGATTAAGTTTAACTGGAGCAGCAAAAAGTATGCAAGCTTCGTTTCTTTTTAATTTAAAAATTTGAGAACTTCTGATGATGATGATGATGACTTCTACTATGAATCTCCTGTCCAATAAAACTTATGAAAAAGTGAAAAGGGTTATCTCTTACCCTAGGGGCAGGGTATCCGTAAGCCAGACAATCGAACCGTACAGTGGATCCCTCAATCAGCTTCTGGCTTTGAGGCTTCTGGGCAAACTGCGGTGCAATCATCTCCTCTTCTGGGACTTCATTGTCGTCCAAGTGTTGTCGCCTGGTTGCGGAGCTCCGCCGGCATTCACAGCGCGCAACTTGTCATCTCGGAACTCGATCTCATTCATTAGTCGTTCCTCGAACGCCTTCGGATTGAACTGAAAACAGTCCAAAAGTTATTCTACAGCAAGTAAAATTAATTAAGCAAATCACATTAGCATTAGTTGAACAATCCAAATCATGCACAAACCAACCTCAGATTTCTAATCTAAGCAAAATGACTTGGAAAACGAAAATAATAATGAATTAATGATGTTTGCTCAAGTCAATAATCATTTCAAATCCATGCCATTGCAGTGAGCTTTGAAGTCAATTGGTTTTCTTCAATCAAACCCTTGCTGATGTTTTTTGTTTAATTGTCGTGCAAAATTAATTGTCCGAAGATGAAATATCCCATTAAGTTCGACTGTTTTCTGGTCGCATCGTCTCCAGTATTTGCCTTTTTTTCGAAACAATTCTTTTTTGTCATAATATTGTCAATGTTTGATGTTTAATTTCAATGGTTTAGCGTCAGCTTTTGACATGCCAAACGAGATATTTCTTCCGTTAATTTGATTCGTTAATTGGTTTCATTCACGCTTGATTACGTCATAGCCTGGCGGCTTCGGAGCTCCATTGGGCATTTCGTTCTTGTGAGACCAGGTGTCGAAAGTGATGATGAATCTATCTCTCGGTTTGTGGGTTCCCAGGGTACCCGACATCTCGTGGTCTGGCACAGCGGAGGAGGGGGACAAAAGACTCGGCTGGGGAGGATGATCTCCTAGATGATGACCACCCCCTCTGGGTTGAGGCGGATGATCTCCTAGATGATGACCACCCCCTCCTCCGCCTGGTCCCCCCATCCTCATGTTGACATTTTTGGCCAAGTTTTGTTCATACTTGGGTATGTACACATCCTTATCGCAATCATCATTACATTAGACCGAATATAATTTTAAATAAGAAATCGAGTTGACATACGTGTAGAAAACAATCCTAAAAAGAAACTTGTTGTCTGTTCACCCAGTAACAGACCATTTTTACGCGCAAGACCGCCAACAGATTTTTGCCTGCATACAATCAACGGGGGGGGGGGATTCTCATTATTGATGATGGAGGGACCGAATGATGGAACACTTTAAACCAATCAGACTCCTTAGACGTTCATATTGGCAACATGATTTTTTGCATATAACCGAAATCTTTATAAACAGAAAATGAATTATAGCTGCACCGCAAAAATTTGCTGTAAAATTTGTTCAGATAAATAAAAAAAATTGGTTTTATGTTATTTCCTAATACCCTACTTCGATTTCGCAATATTCGAAAATTCATCTATCTGCTTATTTTCTAATCGGTCAATAGTATTTTTTGAGATTTTTGAATACTCAGTTCTGATTGGCCTAAGAGAAATGCAAATAAATTTCCAACATTCGGTCCCCTCATCATTGAGGGACGCCACCCAATCAATGTAATTCAAAATGATTATAATGTCTAGAGTCTCTAATACTTCAATGACGATAATTCTACATGACGCTAACTTGTTCTGCGCCCTCTGCTGGGGTAAAAGAGAATTCAAAATACATATTCCAAGTTCTAAGAATTGAACTGTTAGGGGACACCCGGGTTCGAACCGAGGACCTCTCGATCTGCAGTCGAATGCTCTACCACTGAGCTATATCCCCTTCGTAAGTTGACTTTAAGTGTCGTCGAAAATAATCAAGATATCAATTTTTAAAACGCCGAATGCGTATTTTTTACAATCTCCTTGAACCTTCTTTTGGTCTCCTTTGATGCTCTGCTTGAACACAGCCGGACTTCTGGCCCTGACTTTACTGGACAACTCCCCGACAAACTGTCGCTTCTGGTCTTCCGACACAAACTTCTTGAATGACTCATCGTCCAACAGCGGCGCATCGGTGGAGGCTTGACCTTGAAAGAGATGGCAAAAAGTTAATCTGAACCATTCTTAGCTCAAACACACATTAGACACTTTTTGACTACCCCCCCCCCCCCACCGTTCATTTTCAGTGCATTTCCTTGAAAAATGAAGTTCTTAATAAAGGGGCTCTTTTTCCTCGGAAAGACCTCATATTATGGTATACTGAGCGTATGAAAACGTTAGGTATGTGTTTGAAGTAGTCTAATTATTCCGAATGCCAATTTTGAAAACAGTTGGAATTGCGAATAAAAGTTTCACTAATAAAAATTGCAGGTGCGGGGAAAAGAAAAAGAGTCAGGGACTCTTATTTGGAGCACTCACAGATAACTGTGACTCACAATTGAGATCTCTTTAACTATATCACACCTTTTGAAAAAGGGGGATATTCGTGGCTAGGTATAAAATTCTGATATGCTTAACCGTTGATTTATCTCTTTATAGGGGGGATATTCGTTAATCGGTACCCGAGAGGGGATATAATTAAATAAATCCCGAAATTGTTAAGTTGTAACGTGTGCTTTGATTGAGTGGATGGATGGATGATGCGCGACTGACTGACCTTTGACATTGACGGCCACGCAGGTGTACACGCCACTGTCCTCGTCCGGGAGGATGAAGGAGATGGAGAGGGAACAGTGGCCGGAGTGCATCTCGTTCTGCACCTGGTACCTATCATGCACAACACACACATTTCAGCTACAGGTTTGATTTAGTTTGTTTTGTTGTTGTTGTTTCATTTTAGAAAAATAGTCATCATAGGAATAGGTAGTTTGAGTAGTCATAATATGTAGTCATCACATGTGTGTAGGCTTGAAGAGTTTTTTGTTGTTCTTTCATTTTGGATAAATTGAGTTATGACCGAGTTGGTTAACTCATAGAGTAATTTCGGATAGGGTACACCGTCTGCTCGTCACGCTATCTTATTTTCGGCCGGATAGATTCGTGCAACTTCTTAGTCTAATACCGATCCTAATCTTACTCTTATACTATCTAGTCTCAGGTTGTTTAACTAGTCTCTGCTAGGCTCAATAGATCTAGGGTATACTGGTTTATTGCGGCTGCTGAAGTGCTCGGGAGAGTCCAACTAATTTCTAAGTTAAATTCAAATCTCTCTGGTGCTGAAATTACAAGTAACTTCAGCACTTACAAATAAGTGGGTTGTTAGTTAGATGGATCATGATTGGTTAATATTAAATACTTTACATTGGTAAAATATCTAAATTATCCAATCATAAAATGTAGTCTAGATCAGGTTCCACCCATCCGGGTTTTACAGAGTTTTTTTTTTAGAATAGTTCTTCTGCAATTCGAAGGATGGATGATGGACGTTGGTGTTTGGCGAACATCTTATTTCTTCCGTTTCCTCTTTGTTAAAGGAGTTCCAGGAAGCTGGAGTTAGAGACATAAGACGTTGTGTCTTCTAGTGACAACGACTAAGTCTTTGCAACAAACTCAAATCTGATTTCAGAATGGTTTGCTATGTCAGGTTTTTCTGTTCTGCGTGGAGAACTTCTTTTGTGTCTGATCTAATTTGGGAATGGCGTGGAGATTGTGCGTGGAGGGGATGCCTGGTTACTCGGATCTGTACGTATACTTGAACATCGAGGTGGTCATTGGTCTAGTTCAATGAAGTCCTTTTCTGCGAAGTCAAGTCGTACTCTAAATCCTTTGAGTTGTGATTGTGAGTGGCATATCGATTGTGGTTGGCCATTCTCTCTCGAGTGTAGTGGGGTCGTTTTGTCTTTAGATGTTCGTCCTTGGTGTTGTATTCTGATCTATGTATTGCATAATGTAATTTACATTTTATAAAACATTTATTAGTTTAATATTTTTTAATTATGATTTTAGTTAGTTGTTTTCACAAAAGCTTTTTGTTTTAGTTCGGTTATTTTGAAGAGTTACTCACACTTGAGTAGCTCTTATTAAAAATAGAGGTGTGGTCACAAAGCGTGGATGTAGCGCGGTGGGTTAGGCCGGCTATAGAGCATGCTCAGGACGTCCTTCCTGGTGGGTTAGGCCAGGAGTGGGAGTATGATTTCATGCGGTTTTTGTGAGGGGTCCTGTTATGTGACAACGTTTTATGTTGGGTTTGTTGTGGTTTTTCTTATGTCTTGTTGGTTATGTCCTTTTTCCAAAAATCAAATTGTTTGTGGTATGGGTTTGTCTTTCGACTTTTTTGTGTTTTATTATTTCTTTCTTAGACTTTATAATAGTCTTCAAAAGAATAAATTATCCAGTTTTAAACTGGGTTAATCCGGTTTGGGTACCGTTGGTTTCCTTTTCTTAGTCATGCTGTTATTCTATGATTTGTGGTATTTAGTAAGCTGCGTTGGTTAGTTTTGTTTAGTATATGATTCCTTTCCAACCGGGTTAAAGGAAAGTTTGAAACATGTTATTATATGTTAGAGTTGTTGAGTGTGAAAACTTGAAACTGAAATTCATTATTTTAAACAATTCTTCGTGGGCGAGCTGTGCGAGTGTGGATAGAATTTCTGTGCGAATAAATGAGAATATCAAAAGGTTAGTACTGCAATTGCATTTTATTAATTTACTGCATAGAGTTTGGAAATTTACTGCTAGTTATGGGGGAATTTTAAGTTACAAATTTTCATCATAATTAGATTTACTGCTTGTGGGGAAAATTTTAGAAATGAATTTACTGCATTGGTATTAAATTTATAAATTTATAAGTGTAAGAGATTAATAGAATTGTTGAAATCTGTTTGATGAAATTTGCGATCTTTATTTGTTTTTTGTGGTTTTTGTAGGTGATCGTCGGATGAAGGCTAAAAATCTAAAGAAAACATGGATAAAGTATGGTGAGTTTTTTAATATTTAATTAGTTAGTAATATTCATTTAATTCATACTTACCTGTTAGTCGTCGGGGAAAAAACCGTGGGGGAAGATGTCGTGAATTAGTTCTGAAGTTGTTAGTAGTTTAGCTAAGATGCGGATGATATTTTTAGTCTGAACCAGATGAGTTATGACCGAGTTGGTTAACTCATAGAGTAATTTCGGATAGGGTACACCGTCTGCTCGTCACGCTATCTTATTTTCGGCCGGATAGATTCGTGCAACTTCTTAGTCTAATACCGATCCTAATCTTACTCTTATACTATCTAGTCTCAGGTTGTTTAACTAGTCTCTGCTAGGCTCAATAGATCTAGGGTATACTGGTTTATTGCGGCTGCTGAAGTGCTCGGGAGAGTCCAACTAATTTCTAAGTTAAATTCAAATCTCTCTGGTGCTGAAATTACAAGTAACTTCAGCACTTACAAATAAGTGGGTTGTTAGTTAGATGGATCATGATTGGTTAATATTAAATACTTTACATTGGTAAAATATCTAAATTATCCAATCATAAAATGTAGTCTAGATCAGGTTCCAAAATATTCATCTGAATGTGTATTAATCAGGGAGCGGAAAAAAGTAAATATTTAAAAAAAAATTTTCGCTCTTGATTAAGTAAAAAGAAGTATGCTAAAACATATAATTTTACTTTTTTTCGCTCCCTGGTATTAAATTATTAGTCAGGGTAGCTTAGAAGCATATCAGCTAATCTCGTTACATATCTTTTCAAAGTTCAGTGCAGTTATTCTCATTGAAAAGACTTTTCTTTTCCCTCCTCAATGATTTGAGCCCATGACCACCCAACGGGTCCTCCATTTGGTACAACTTTACGACGTCCAATTTTGGCCGAACAATCAAAAACGGCCCAAAATTGTCTTTTTTGTTTAAAACGTCATGTGTTTTTCATTGCTCGGCAAAAATAAGATTTTTACAGTTTGCGGCCGCTAGTTTGCTAACTCGTTAATTAGCGTTGTCAGAACCCCTGTTGAAACTTGCGTATCTTAGTCTCATTCTTGAACTGTTTCACAAGCTAAAGTTGAAGATAACATAACGGTTGACTGTTTTTTAGAGTTTTTATGGCCTGTATCTCACCTGTATCCAGACTGGATGGGTTGTCCATTCTTGAGCCACTGGATGTCTGGGAAAGGGTATCCGGACACCACGCACAAGAACATGGCATGTCCCCCCTCCACTAGTCGCTGGGGGGTTAGTTTTCTCACGAACTCAGGTGCCGTCGCATCCGGAGAGGCTCCTTCGTGTGACCTTGGCTCAGTTTCAATCACGACAGCTGAAAAAATAAAGTCAAGTTATAACAAAGATAGACGGTTACTGTGCAAGTAACACAAAATTTTAAAACCAGTCTTAAAAAAAGCAACAAAAAATATTTTTTCAAATTAGTGTCGTTTTTTTCTGCGTGGTGTGATAAAAAGTTTGGAACGTAAAAAACGAGAGCATAGGCATATTCGACAAACATAGTACAATAAGCAAATTGAACAAACTTTGTAGAAAAATGAAATGCAAAACAAAAAAAATCATTTTTTCAACTCTTGCTGAATTTATGAAGTTTTTGCTTCCAAAAATGTCGTTAAAAAACTCCGAAAGTTGATATTACTTGAGTAAATTTAAAATTAGGTTAGAAGAACCTATTATAAACGGCTCAAATTAAACATAAATAAGCCTGCTCGCTCGCTTTATTCGCTCAAAATTAGACTAAACATTTCAACGGGTTTTTCTCTTTTGTTTGACATATCACTCGAACCATATTTATTTGTGATGATTATTTGTGGTATTTTTTTTATAGAAAACAAAAAAAGAAAAAACTAAACCAAATCCGAATACATAGTTCTTCCCCATTTTTTAAATGGTCGGAGCAATAATAAATTTTTTTTCAAGAAGGAACAATTTGATTGCTATTTACAAATATTAACCAAAAAACAGCTGGGAAGAACAGCAAAAAAAGCCAGTTAGCTGCCTATCGAGTGGTCTTTTTAATTTTTGAATTAATTATGATATAAGAAAGCGAAAAAGATAGTTATTTCAGGGAAAAAATAGTTTTTTGACCTCAAACTAATTCAGTCACACTATAATAATATTTAAAAAAAAACAGAAACATAGTCGTTAGATAGTTGGAAAAATGTAATATAATAACCTTTTAAACCGGAAAAAAATAAACCAGAAAAAAAAGTGAGTGAATAGGCAATTTTTTTATTCCGCTGAGATGCCCATTTTTAAAGCTAGTGAATCACATTTTTCTGATCTTTGAACTTTTCCAGTTCGATAGTTGAATTTGCCTTCCTTCTAACAAAAAACGAACTGAACTCAAACGAAACCAAATGTACAGCGCAAAAAATGAAACTCCTAAAAAACATCACGACTTTATAAAGGAAAAATAACTTCGTTCTTTTACACTTAAGAATGAGATAAAAATATGTTATTAACACAGAGGCCAATAGTGTCACAAAAATATGACTGATAACACTACTGGGAAAAACTGAATAAGTAAAAATTTGAGTCAACAAAATTTCTTAGGTGACGCACGCCAATTATGAGACATAATTCTTAATTGACACGGCTCTTTTCCAGTATCCCCCTTTTCAAAGTACCGAGTTTTATGTTTGTTTTACGTGTTATTACGGTTAAATGCGTGATGTTACGCTGTAAAGTATGAAGAACAAATCTGTTCTTAGTTGTCGATTTGTTCAACACGGCAAACTTCATTGCATTATGGCAATGTTAAATAAGCTTTTCAAAATTGAATTTGAAAGGGTGGGAAGTCGAAAAGAGCCAGTGACGCAGGCCAATTATGTTGCATTAGCAGTACCAGTCAATTTTAAAAAAAAAGAAATTTACCAATTAACATGCCTCAATGTATAGAGCAGACGCATTTTAACTAGTATTTTCATTAAAAACATCCGACCCTGCCCAGGTTCGAGCCCTCTTACTCTGCTGCGGGTCTCCTTCTCTTCCTCTACGCTACAGATCCATGGTGTAATAGTCTGTGTCAATATCCTTAGCTTTGGCTGTACTTAATAGCTGGTTTTTGATCAAATGAAAAAATTTTGTCGCAACAATATTTGCGTCGCAACAATATTTGCGACTTAGTTTGGAAAAAAAAGAGAAATCATACTATAACACAAGCTTTGCTTTTGTAATTATAATCATCTACCTTCTCTGCAAGTGAGGTTTGTGCTGGTGCTGACAGCGTCTTCTGGTCTTCCGGAAGGGTGGTTGAAGGTACACGTCCAGATGCCACTGTCCTCCGGGAAACACTCCGAGATGAAACATCTGCACAAATGCACAAAAACAGCACAAAGTCAGATGAAGGAACAATGCAAAGGCCGGAATTTTGGTCAATTGTCAAGGTTAAGCACATGAACATCAAATCTGTTTTCCAAGGCCTAATTAGTCCGCATTCCAACTTTCGTAACAATCGGACAATGTGAAAAAGTTTTATTTCAAAAAATTTGCAGGTGGGGTGAAGGAAAAAGATTTTTTTTTTTGATTTCTTGAACTCAAACTTCATATTCATCATTCAAAAACCTAGTGAAATATTTTGTCAAATTCGTCTTTGGGCATTTTTCAACCTATTTGATGTCAATTTTGAGTTATTTTGAAACAACTGATGGCCCGTTTTTATTACCTTGCGACATTGTTCGAGAAAGAGAAACCGAAGTTTGGGTCTTTGTCTACACAGACACCGTCCTTGCTCCAACTCACAACCAGCTGGTCATTTCCCCCTCCACTTAGTTCGCACTGTAAAGCTGCTGGGTTGCCCTCATGCACAGTCACTGCCTCCAGGTACTGGAAAAATATCCGAAATTATGATCATTGCTTCGACCGCAAAATGGGGAGATATTTTATTGTAGGGGGGAGGGGTTGTTTCCACGCAAAATCAAGAAACAAAGCATGCGTCAGATGAAGCGCTGAGTGATATATCAATTTAAAGCAATTTAAATCGTGATTCAATCGCTTCAAAAGAAAACTAAAAAACATTTTTCTCCGTGTTGAAAAAATGGGTTTGGAAACTTTGCATAGAAACTGAATTATTTTTTGTTTTTCAAATCGGTCTTCGTTAATTGAAAAAGTAACCATTTCATCCAATCCAGAAAAAAAGAAAAACTAAAAACACAAAAATGCTTCATTTACAAAGCGGCGAAGTTTCGCTTCGCAAACACTAGCGAAAACACGACAAAAAGCAGCTCTGGAAAAGTCAAAAAAAAATATAAAATAAGCCTCGAATTAGCAAAAATTCGGCTAGGAATTAGCAAAAATTCCATCTTCAATCAACTGCAATCTAGAAATTTTGAGTTTCACGCACTAACCACTGAGCCACGCACGCTCAACCATGAACAAACACTAGTCACGAATAAAGCAACGACATATGCTAATATTCAGCAAAAGAGGCACCAAACACCAACAGACACAATTTTGCAAGCAATATTTTGCAATATAATAAACTGAAGGCATCCATACTAATTTTTACTTGAAACAGATTGCTAAGCATAAAGCCACATTATGTTTTTATTAGGCATTTCAAAAAAATGCAAGATAAATTGAGTTAGAAATAGAAATTTTCTGAAATCAAGTTTTTATGATCGTTATATTGTTTGAAACATATAGCTTTTTTTGGTTCGTTTGACGAATGAAAAATGCATCAACTGTGTTAACTTATTACTACGCAAATTTCAAAGCACATGCTATCAAAAAGCCGTAAAGGTGCCCAAAAAGTGGCACCAACATTTGCGACTAAGGTTTAAAAAAAAAAGGAGGTTCTTAATAATACACTAAGTTGATGCTAGTGTAAAAAACAAAATTACATAATTTTTACTTATTTTTAATGGAAGCTATTTGAATCAATCAGTTTGTCTAAGTTTAAACAAAAAAACGGTTCCAATTGTTGCTGAAAAATTAAACAATTTCTCTAAAACGAAAAGCTGTTCCCTAATTTTGTAACAAACAAAAATTTTCTACGCTTTTCTTCATTCTCACTGATGAATCTCTGCCAAAAAACTGTACGTAGAATTGCAACAAAAGACATTTATCAAACAGCAAGAAATTGAACATTTTTGTGCAAGTACCACACAAATTTCAGGCTATAGTGATTCTCTGAAAAATATCTATATATGTTGCAAAGTTTTGTAATTTTTTGTCAGTTTAACTTCACTAGCTATTAGTTCAACTTAGAAGCGTCAATTCATTTCATAAAGACAAGCAAAATTGGACAGAAAATTGATTCATCTGACAAAATGAAAAATTGAATCAGCTGACAAAATGAAGGACTTCCAGCAAATACTGTAGAAAATCTGAATACATCAATTAAACACTAAAATCAGTAGCCTACATTTTGAAAAATTAACTGATAGTATAACACAAGCATTATATATGTTTCCTATAAATCAATTTTTGTTGTTGTTGCTCTACCATCTAAGCTATCTAAAACCAAAAAAAAAATCAATAGTTTTTTCACAGGAAATTTGATCATCCTCATCTAAGGGAAGTCGTACAAAAAACTTGATAACAAATTGCTATTTTAGACATATAAAATCAAAACAATGTCTCGATATAGGTACCAAACCCCAAGAAGTTTTTTTTCCGACTTCTGAAAATGCGGAAGAACTTTGTCTTATCGTGTATTTTAGTTTTTTCTTTTCTCTTTTTATTTTCCGCAAAAAATAAGGCTCCGCAAAAAATCGTCGTAATAGGTTAAGAGATATATCATATTAATCCCCCTGCAGTTGTGATTAAAAACTATCAAAAAACCCTCAGTTGAGATTTTTGGTCTAATTTTGAGCGAATAAAGCGAGCTGGCTGGACTGTAATATAGAAATAAGCTGAAAAAAAAAACTTATTTTTGCTCCAACAACATTAATTTTTGAAGCTCTTTTAGCGTCTTCCTGGCAACAAAAAATACCAAAATAGAAAAAAATCAGCGAAAGGCTAAAAAAATTTAATTTCTTTAAAATTTCTTTTTTCGATTAATATTTTGGTTAAAACTGTTGAAAGATAAGCGTATTTATCTCTTATTAGCAAAAAATCCTACCTTCATTGCCGAAGGAGCAAAAAACCTGTGATCGAAATTTTCTGTGCTACTTGATCAGAGCTGTCCTTGTTTCAAATTGTTTTTTTTTTTCGACTGAAAAGGAAAAATAACCGACTTCAGTTAAAAAAAAAGTGGAAGGATCTTTTTGAGGTCTTAGATTTCTGGCAATAAAAATTTTTGTGAAAACGTCATGAATGCTTTTGGCAATATTTTTTCACCACGAGCTTATTTCTAGTATTTGCGTACCTTTAAAATCTGGATAGACATTTTTGATAGTTTCTGAGGCTGAGAATTGAGAGCAGTTTTCAAGTTTAACACAATCGGGGCTTCTTCTTCTAGTTGGGCGAGGATCACTTTCACGACAGCCGAGTCTGAGTCTCGTCCGGCGACATTCTCCGCAACTATAGAGTAGGTTCCTTCGTCTTCGGGAAAAGTCTCCGGTAGGTAAAGGGAGAACCACTGATCTCCTGAATGCAGCAAAAAATTCATATTTAACAAATTTCCACACCAAATACAGAAAAAATAAGTATTTTAGATTTGATTAACTGGAATCTGTAAAAAAATACAGTTTATTGAAAACTTCTTAGAAGGAGCGATTAATTTGAAGTGGAAAAAAATTTGAGTTTTGAGCTTAAATTTGCAATGTTGAAGTTTTTCAAAACATTTTAAAAAAACTGGAAAAGATTTTTAAAAAATTCTTGCTGGAAAAGACGAGAAAAAAATACCGCTGTTCCTCTAATAACAAAGCTAGGTGTATATAAATCAACCGAAGTATAAACCGGCTAATAACCAATCAAAAAGACCATGTATAATATAATAATTATGTAACAATTCTGAGACAGTTACGTAATCATGCCAACTTTAACAAAAAAAGCTATAGTTTTGGACTGGTTTCTACATAAAAAAGGGAAGATTGAGAACTTTCGCCCGAGTATTGTAAAAATCACTTCTCGTCTCTTGTATTTTTGCGAAAAGCATAACAGCCAAAAAAAAATTTTTAGCATCCAAAAACTTAAACAAGTATGAACCATAAATTTTGATTCCAAAAGAATATTAAAAATAGAGTTTTCGTTTCATTTTCTGAAATTGAAAGAACAATTTTCAAAATCACTTATATAAATATTATTCAAATCAGAAAAAAAATTACTTAGATTAATAAGGGTCGAGCTTTCAATTTTAATAGAGTACACCAAATTATTTGCAAAAACACAATAAAGAAGGAAAAATGTTCAAATCAAGGAACTTAGGGCAAATTTAGCACGTAAGGATTTACCTTTGCAACGGGTTAATATTGCGTAGGCAACAGGGGCTTAATAACGCCAACAGCAAAAAGTGCCCAAAATTTGCAGATTACTTCTTTCGAACAACTTAAGCTCGCGATATAAAGCGTAGCGAACGAATAGCAGTACTCAAGGGTTTGACTGAAAATCTGGTTTGAAATACGCCTGTTTCCAGCAAACCCCACAACCCAAGAAAAGGGAATAAGTTTGTTATGAACCTGCTGCCAAAACGGGTCGCCAAATTTGAAAACCAAGTCTTCACTTCCAGTGTTTAGATATTGAGGAAAAGAGCCCTACAATCAGCAGGGCAAAAGCGTGTTAACTTGAGAACATATACACAGTCTGAAGCTAGAATTTTCTGTCCATTTGAGATCAAAATAGAAAGAGCATTTCAAAGACTAAATCGAGCTTGAAGTCTTTTTTGCTGAACAAGTTTTCGTAGCCAATTTTTATTGCTTTCCTTTCAAAATTCTAGTTTTAAATTTCAGTTAGAAAACGTTTTATGGACTGTTAATCTTAAGAACTGAAAATTTATTTAGTTTTACGCTGAAGACAATTGCTCACGATATTATGCTAACTCAAATTTCTGCTTATGCCGCAATAAAATCTTCGCTTTTTTAAGTTTGCTAAACGTACCAAGCGGCTACTAGTTTACAACCCGCAAAATAAACGCTCAAACCCATTTTAAACATGAACACTTTCAATGATTCTGAGCCTAAAATAAGAAAGCACAAGTTTTCATTTAATTCAGATTCAGGGGACATTCACGGCCTGGGAGCTTAGAGACCCAACGGGTTTTGTAATGAACCGATTAGTTATGTAGGGATATTTCACTATTGATAAGAAGAGTTCGAAACATGTGAGCGCTTTCCACGGGTTATTTTGTTTCAAATTTCAAAGCATGGTATTATTTCGGGGCTAAAATCTAAATATGGTTTATTCCATGAAATATACTGAACAACATGACAATTTATTTATATAGATTGAATCATTTTTCTAATTTTTAAGTTAGAAAAATGATTAAGTAATTTTTTAATTTCCGTTTTTTTTTTTCAAATTTCAGAATTTTTTATTTGAATTTCTATCACTAATTGCCTAAAAAACGCAATTGAGAAAAAAAACAAATTTGGAAGCCGTGATTTTCTTACGTTGGTTAATTTGGAACTCCTTAGACGCGACTATTCTCTCCTTCTTGTTTTTATTCTTCTCCTGCTTGTACCACGTGACTTTGGGCAGGGGAACGCCGGTGACCTCTACTTCCAGTTTCAGAGGCTGACCCGACTTCACAGTCTTGCCCGACAACTTCTTCCGAATCAGAGGCGCCTCTCTATGGGCTAAATAAGCATGAAATATATTTTAAAAATGAAAATCTCGTTTTTCTTCCATTTGGTTCCATTGCGTTGAAGGAAAAACTGGTTTTTAAGAAATTGTTTAAAATATTCAAAATATGACTGGAAATTTTCAACAAAAGTTGAACATAATTTCTTTTTATTTGGCCTTAATTGGACCAACCTACTAGGATGCTCGGTAAAAACTGAAATTTCAAATTGATATGCTTGAGTTCTTTTACAGCTCTCTGAAATCATGCCATCTGAAATCTTTTTTAATCACATAATTTAACCAGCCACAGGTCTAACCCGAAGATTAATTACTTAAGGTTAATTAAGCTATGGCTATCTTACAAGAGCTTACTTTATAAATTGCAGCGCACGTGCGATTTGATCTCGCAATCATATAATTGCTGGTCACCATCACTACCGATGCGCCACAACTCAAAATTTTTTTTTTGCTTTGTTTTAGGGCTTTGAAAATCTAGCTCGCAATTGAGTAAGTTTTTCTGCATGCAAGATATATAGATACCTCTAACGACTACATTGCAATTCGTAGTTGAAAACTGCTTCTTGTTAGTTTTGGACTGAGCTCTGAGAGAGTAGATCCCTGAGTCTGTCACTGACGCTTTCGGCAAAGTGAGCAGATATCTGTTTCCTTTGCCAGTTTCGATCTTGACCCCGTCTCGCTTGGGGTCAAGAGGTCGGTTGTCTTTGAGCCACGAGACTTCACAGGGGTTTTCTAGTTCCACGACTAGTTTCATTTCCTGGTTCTCATCAACTCTTAGATCGTTCAGTTGTTTCACAAATTTTGGAGGCCCTGAGGAGTCTAAAAAATGACTTACGTTTAAGCCACAATTAAATACTGAAAAAATGACTTGACTAATCAGTTAGGCGTAAATTTTTGAGAAAAAAGTATAATCTGACAAATATCTTTACTTGGCAAATTTAACATAACCAATACCTTAATTTTCAAAAAGAGGTCAATATTTCAAGCTTTTTTTCTAAATTCAGAAAAACTGTCTTAACCAGTATTTTTAATCGTTGCAAAAAAAGTATATAGATGTTATGCAAAAAGTATCTGCAATTTCGATGAAAATTAAAAATCAGTGATCTCAGTTTTAAAGTCATTTTTGCCTATTTGTCCCAGAAACTCAAATTTTGATCTCTTGCGATCTAACAAAACAGAAAAAAAATGTACTTTCCATTTCAAAAGAAGAAATGGGTGCTTTAGAAAAAACTATATAAATGAATCGAAACAAAATTATCTCTATAATAAGCATTCGATTCGTAAATATTAATTTTTTATTCAATTAATTTTAAGTTTATCAATAAAACATTTTACGGTTTCTTCATTTGAATGAACAAAATACTCATGCTCGTGTTCATGGAATACTACATTTTAAACCAACTAGTTTTTTTGAGGTACCTACAATAATAATAATTTCCCTAAGACATAGCTAATACAAATCTTCGAGAGGGTTTGTAACAAAAATCCATTCTAGCTTTGATCTAATAACGTCGGTAGGCGCGTATCTACGATTTTCTCGAGGGAGACGATTTTTCAAAAAAGTTTTCTAGATTTTCATATCACTAAAAGACAAACATTCATCTCAACATTTAATATAAGCTCAGACAGAAATTTCTTTTTGGAGCCCTAATCAAGACAGGTCCGTCTATAATGTAATACGATACTTGAACCCCTACGAACTCACTTTGAAATATATGTAAATCTCAGTCAGAACCTAACAAAACTATGGTATCGTTTTAATTGTTATCCTCAAAACTTTGATGATTTTGTCGCACGATTTGATTTAGAGACCAATTCGTTGTGGTTATTATTCCAAAACAGTACAGTGCTGATTTAAATTAAACGGACAAAACGCGTTAAACTTGAAATTTAAAACCCGTTTTTCTCAAATTGGGTAGAGTTTAGGTGAAAACTTATCAGACAAAACTTGCTTAAAATTTTAGCAGGATTGATATGGTGTAATTTGTTTTACGAAATTTGGGCCCAAAATTTTACCCCAAAAAATGGGTCATTTTGGCTTTTCTTAGTTAATCAAAAATTACGCCGAAATACCCAGTCGATCACAGAGATAATTATATCAAAGTGAGCCCCTTACGTAGTCCAACAAATTTTAGCAGGGTATAATCTCCAAAATAATGTATAAAATAATTTATTTTTGTTCGATAGCCACAAAAAGTCGTTTTTACTATAAAAAATACCAACTATTGATTGAAAAGCAATTTTTAAACAATTTGCAATTTTTTTTGGAGAATATACACTTCTTAAAGTTTGTTGGGCTACGTAAGGAGCTCATTTTAATATAACTATGTCTGTGATCGACTGGGTATTTTCGGCGTAATTTTTGATTAAATAAGAAAAGCCAAAATGATCCATTTATGGGGTAAAATTTTGGGCCCGAGTTTCGTAAAACAAGTTATACCATATTCATCTTGCTAAAATTTTAAGCAAGTTTTGTCTTCATAAGTTTTTACCTAAACTCAACCCAATTTGAGAAAAACGCGTTTCAAATTTGAAGATTAGCTCGGTTTGTCCGGTTAATTTAAATCAGCACTGTATTGCCAAGAGACTGTTGGAAAACGGTCAATGAACTTTTGATTTTGATCTATTAAAAAATGAAAAGCAAACCTCTTTTCGAGCATTTTTGATATCTGGTTTGAGAAATCATTCATTTTTTACACTTTAAAACATAGAGATGCATTTGCATTTGGGTAAATAAAAGGCATAAATTGGCTTCCAGTTTGCAAATGGAATTTGAAGTAAACTTACAATGGAAACAAACATCGAGCTTTGGAAAAAGTTCAAACATGGAAAATTTTTCTTGAAAAACAGGTAAAAGCTAAAAAACAAGACGACCAGCAGTTCACAGCTGTCCGAATATCAAAAAATTGAAAAAACTTCTGACTGGCAGCAGTACAAAACAACTTTGCCAAAAATAACTTAAATACAAAACGTAAATACAACTTTGCCAAAAATAAAAATTATTTTTCCATTATGCGAAAATTTGTACTCAATATAAATTAGGTTTAAAATAATGATGATTTTACAAATCACAAAAATTTAATTAACCCAAAACGACATAGAATAAGAGAAAATTGTAAAATAAATGATGAAAAATTTTGAAACCGTTGAAAACTGTCATTTCCACCAAGGTACTTCGGTACCGTTTAATACTCCATTTGGCTTCAAAAACAATGAGAGAACAACCACCGTTGCACGAGAAGAGGTCAAACAATTCTGTTTCTTTTAAATTAAAAAAAAATGGAAAATCTCAAGAACCTTGTGTCGATATGTAATATATGTAATACTTGTGAGTGGTGGAAAAACGTTTGGTCGCGTATTGTAACACTTGTCTTTGATGCATCATAACCTAGATTGATTCTTATATGTTCAAAACACGGCAAAATAGACTTTTGGATGGAATTATTTCCAACTTCGATTTTTAAGAACAAATAGGACTGCTCGCCAGGGACAAAACTCAGAAAAAATTAACCGCCCTTTGCTCTCTGAAAACTCGGGATAAAAAGTTATTTTTGAATTTTGAAAAAATTGCAAAAACTGGTGGTGTTTTTATTCCACCAAAATCTCTCAGAACATAAAAATTTCCAAAATTTCTCAAGGTAAAATTTTTTTTTTTAAATTACACCAAGTAGAACATTTTTGAAAAAAAAAGATATTACATCCTCAAGCATGGAGAAAAAAGATAAAATCTTCCCCAGCGCTATATGTTTAAACATTATTAAACACCGAGGTGAAGTTGGACTTCGCATACACAAGCAAAAATATGACCAATAACGCAACTGGGAAACGATGAATGAGTAAAACTTTGAGTCTACAAAAGTTCTTGAGTGACGCACGCCCATTATGACTCCACATAAATGCTAAGTGACGCAAGCCAATTATGACGCTTTAACAGTACCAGTAGAATTGGAAAAAAAAATTACCGACTCACATGCCTATTTAGCAACTTATTTAGCAACTATACGAAAAATTTCTAAAAAAAAACATCCGACCCTGCCCAGGATCGAACCCTTTCATTTTTTGTGGCTACAGATCCATGATACCTTGAAGCTAAAAGGCTATTTGTAATATAATAGTCTGTGTAAATATCTTTAGCATTAGCTGTACTTAATAGCTGGTTATTGATCAAACGAACAAACTCTGTTGCACCAAATTTGCTTCGCAACAGTATTTGCGACTTAGGTTGGAAAAAAAGAGAGTTCATACTATAATACAAGCTTTGCTTGTGTAAAAAAAAAACAGATTACATTTTCATACGTGGAGAAAAAAGTGAAAATACTTCCCCCGCGCGCCATATAAAAAATTAAGTGATCTGGTTCGTGTCTAATAACGTATAAATAATGCTGAAAAGCCTGCCTCAGTTCAATTTGGAAAATTCTTTGCCGCTTGAGTGTGAAAAACTAAACAAATCGCGCGTTAAATATTCCAATTTGTGTCCAAATTATTTTGAGCCCCAGTTATTTCAAATAAATTTATCGCAGATCGAGTTTATTTTTAATTTGCTGTCGATGCGTGGACATCGTTGAATGATATGAACATAGCAAACTTATAGTGTTCAATTATCTTAAAAAACCGAAAAACATTATCAACTTTTGAAAAATGATTGAAACTCTTTGAATTACACCAATCGTCCAGGTTTTTTGAATTTTAAGATTTTTAATTGACAATTTTTATATAGCCAACCCAATTTGAGTAAACTTGATCAATAACAATTTTTCTGTTCCGCTGGAAGTTCTACAAGTTATCATCCAATTTCCTATTTAAAAGTCACTCAAATTTCTACGCGCGATTCGCAATTTCGTAATTGAAGAGCGTATTTTGGCTTTCTCTTACCAAGTCAACTTGAGTTGAACTTAACAAGAAATCAAAATCGAGCCGCAAAAAAATCAAATTTAAGCGTGAACAACAATTATGAATTATGAAGAAAAAACCAACAGAATCCATGTGTTTTCACTAAATTCATTGAAACTGAAAAACATCAGCGAAGCTTTTTGTTTAAAAATAAAATATTGTCGGACGGGAAAAACAGCAAAAGCAAATATTCCGTTTGTTCCTTCAAACTTCGGAACAAAAATTTTTTTTATTACTATTTCCGAAAAATTTCAAGATATATATTTTTCTATAGTTTGATTATTTATTTAACAAAAAACTTCTTAGAGTTTATGCAATTTCCACATTATTTCAAGATACACTGTTTTTTTTATAAATTGAAAAAATTGCACAAGCTGGTGTTTTTATTCCACCAATAATTTTCAGAACTTATACAATGTCCAAAAAAATTCAAGGTAAACATTTGTTTGATATTTTGAGAAAAAACTGCCGAAGTCTTCTTTATTCCTTTTATTCCTCCAGTAACTTTCAGAAATTATTCTGTTCCTGAAAATGAAAAGCGGTTTAGAAATAGAAAAATAATTTAGTAATTTTCACTCAGCACTTCAGAAACACTTAACTATCAGAAGGTAGTAGAGCATCAATTACCCTGAATACAGCTTTGAAAACGGATTTACAAATTTTGGCAAAATTTATTTGAGTATCGAAACTAAATATTCCAGTTTTAATAAATTGGTTACAAAATTGCTCTGTTAGAGTGAGAAAAAAACAGATATTACATTAAATTAGCAGAAAGTTAGTCGTTTGTGAAATAACAAAAAAAACTACGAAAGCGATCAGTTTTATTATTTCAGATTATTGATTAATTAATTAAACAGATATTGAGCTAAGCAGATAAGAAAGTGATGGTCAAAGTCCAAGCAAACTAAGTTCGTTGGCTAGAAGTACAAACGCCTATTTTCGATCTGAAAAACAACAAACTAACATTTAACATTAATTGCATTTGAATCAGAAACCTTAATTTTTCAAGTTTTTTTTAGGTCATGAAATGATTAGGATAAAATGTTGTGCATTAAAAGGAGTTCTTGGGTGCAAATCTACTCCAATGAAACGATACGATATACAAAAACTGAGAGAAAAAGTTGGAACACAATTTCAACACCGATTTTTTTCCAAGCTAATTTGGTAGAAATCAGATTTAATTTCAGATTCATGGAGTCACGTTTAAGCATACTTTTTTTACCTGTAAGACTTTTTGAAAACAATCAGTTTCTGAATTTTACAAAAAGATGGCGTTCAAATTGTTTGCCAGCTGTCTGTGTGTGTGTTATCATGACCAAGTAAATATTCCTCACTGACTTGTCTTGTTTCTTGGAAGTGAGTTGGCATTCAATGACGTCATGGAGAGGGCGGGGGATCTGGCGGCCACGTTTGAAGAAGAAGTAGACTGGTAGGAGGAAGGTACCAGTAAGGGGGAGGTGTATATCGCTTCTAAGCAAAGCAAGAACTATGAATCAAATATATAATGAAAAGTATAAGCAATGGCACATAACCCCAAAAAATCCATAGCTGTAAAGCTTTTCGAAGTTTTTCGGCTTATCTTTGAACAGTTTTCGAAACATAAGAGATGTGGTTGATAATTTGAAGTTGAACGTTTAAAGTTGACAATTAAGGCTTGTATTTCAATTAAATGTTGTATTTACGGCTACGATATTTCCTTAATTTTTGCATGAAGTCATAAACCACAAAAACAATTTCTTGAGCGCCTAACTTTTTTCAATTTAAAGCACGATTTTCAATTTTTTTTTCAAGAATATTGCCTTTCTTACCATATGGAAGCACATTCATGTAGCATGATGACTCGGCATGGCCGCCTTCATTCTGAGCATGACAGACATACAACCCCTCGTCTTCCAAACACACCCTGGATATCACCAATCTATACGTGTACTCTCCCCCATCTGCATATAGTCTAGGGGGGTTCACTTTCAGAGGTTGGCTGTCTTTGGTCCAGAAGACGGAAGGTAGGGGGTACCCGCTCACGTGACATATTAGTTCGACTCTGTCGTCCACATAGACGGTGACGTTTTCGAGGCTGGAAGCGAACTGAGGTGCGTGGACGTTCCCCGATCCCATGATGTAGCGGGAGGTTTCTGCAGCAAACAAACGAGACTTCAATTTTGACCACATTGATTTCTTTGAAAAAAAATAAAAGTACTGTTAAGTTGAATTGTAACAGCAAAAGCATTATTCTCGTCTCAATTTTGTTCCGAAAAACTTTGTATTTGCGTGTTTTACTTTTTTTCAACTTTTTGTTTTCCACACAAAATCAAGCACTACAAATAATCATTGGATGAGGTCGAGTGATAAATCATATGAAAGCACTTGTAGTCGTGATTCGAACGACATAAAAAAATTTCAAATTTTCTTCTGTTTTGAGAATAGAAATTTTTGACTTTTTAGTCTAGTTTCGAGCGAGTAAAGGCGAGCAAGAAGGCTTACAATAGACTAATTATGCTTAACTTAAGCAGCGAAAATTTAGTTTTAGTCTAGTAAAGTTACTTTCTGGATTTTGTTCAGAAAAATTTTAGGAAAAACTCTTCAAAATTTCAAAAAAATCTGCAAAAACAAATTTTAACCGACTTTTTGTTTTTCAAGTCAGTTTCCTAGAAAAACTGTTGCCCAATTTGCCTATTTGACTATGAATGTCGAATATGCCTAAATTGTAGTTTTTCGTTCAGATCCTTTTATTACACCTCGCAGAAAAAACGATACTAATTGAAAAACCTTAATTAAATTTTTAAGACTACGATCGTAACATTCTGTGCCATTGCCACAACAACCGGCTATCCTTGTTTTTCAATTGGAATGGTTGACAGATGAAAAATGTGCGAAAAAAGGAAAAATTGAAACAGTTAACTGTTTGGTGTCCTGTTTGAAAACATTCCTACTAAGTATTATTACAATAATTTACCTTTAGACTACAAAAATTAGTTGAAGAGGTTATATTTGGAAAACAGATCATACGTATAAAACAATTTTTGCAGAAAAACGCTAAAACTAATGACTGGATAATCTGACAAATACACAAAAAACTCGAAAATTTTTTTGAGCCGTGTACTTTGCATATATAGGACCAAATAGCCTGCCTCATTTCATCTTTGAATGATTCCAAAACGGAATAAATATCAGATTACTCGTTAACAGCACAAAAAACATTGTGCATAAATTGTCCAAATTGGCAATTTTTAAACGTGCATAACATTAAGAAAAATGCTAACAGGTGGAATAACTTTTCGAGTTTGAGCTCAAGACACAAATACCTTTCGAATAATAAACAAAACTCCGTCACTTTCTTTAAAAAACGGAACAAAACACAGACGTTCGTCTTATCGGTGCAAAATAATCTGAAAAAATTAGCGCTTTAAATTTGCTCTAAAACATTAAGTCCTTAATTAATGTGCAGGTGCTAAACTGCACTTTGGAAACACGTGCAAAACAACGAAAAAAGATAAGCGTTATCTCCAGTTTTCTAAAAAGGCCTTGAACACAACAATGAAAAACGCCTGCATGAGACATCCGCCTCCTGATTTAGAAACCTTCTAGGCTTTTTTTCTCAAATTTCAACAAAAAATGACTTGTAAAATTTTAAAGGTAGGACAGAGAAGTAAAAAGAACCACATTTTCTATTGCACTCCAATTTAAAACGTTTATGAGACCATGTCATTGCCTAATAAAGACAGATAGCAGTTTACTTGATACAGTCCTAACTAATGTTTAAAAAAATAGCAAAATCCGCTAATAAAATACACACCAGAATTTGGGAGAAAAAAACATGCTTTTATAGGATAATTTGAACAATTTCTCACCCCCTATTCCCAAGAGAAACTAAGTTTTCATGGCTTAAATAAAAACTTATTGCCTTATTGAAATCCAGCTCGCTTATCGGACATTTTGAAATCACCACTCAAAGGGCTTTAATATGAAATAGCATTCGACCTATTCCGATGATTATTTGTGGTACTTGATATTGCATGAGAAAAAAATTATAAAATTCTAACACATCAGAAGACAAAATTTCTCACCGATGGTCAAAAAAATATCATTGAGAACATTATTTATTGTGTAAGGTGATAAATTGGCATATGAAAACTAAATTTTGACGTTAAACTTGAAAAAGAAAACTTTTTTTGCCTTATTCTTCCAACCACACCCCCTGAAGGCCCCCGAAGGGTGTGTTTCTTCTATCCAACTTCGATACTTAAACAAGCCCATGGGACAATTGAAATCACCACTCAAAGGGCTTTAATATGATATAGTTCTCGACCTATTCCGATGATTATTTGTGGTACTTGATATTGCACGAGAAAAAATAAAAAATTTTAACACATTGGAAGACAAAATTTCTCACCAATGGTTGAAAAAATATTATTGAGAACATTATTTATTGTGTAAGGTGATAAATTGGCATATGAAAAACTAAATGTTGACGTTAAACTTGAAAAAGAAAACCTTTTTGCCTTATTCGTCCAACCACACCCCCTGAAGGCCCCCGAAGGGTGTGTTTCTTCTATCCAACTTCGATACTTAAACAAGCCCATGGGACAATTGAAATCACCACTCAAAGGGCTTTAATATGATATAGTTCTCGACCTATTCCGATGATTATTTGTGGTGCTTGATATTGCATGAGAAAAAATAAAAAATTTTAACACATTGGAAGACAAAATTTCTCACCAATGGTTGAAAAAATATTATTGAGAACATTATTTATTGTGTAAGGTGAGAAATTGGCATATGAAAAACTAAATTTTGACGTTAAACTTGAAAAAGAAAACCTTTTTGCCTTATTCGTCCAACCACACCCCCTGAAGGCCCCCGAAGGGTGTGTTTCTTCTATCCAATTTGGATACCTCAGAAAATCCTAAAAGCAATTCCGGAAAAATATCAAAAAAAGTATGCATAGAAAAAAAACGGTTCAAAGTATTTTCGGTTTCAGACTAATTTAGACGAAATCTGTTTAGAAGCTGACCTTCTACAACTTTTTCTACTAAAATTGTAACGCTATTTAATTTAAAATTACGCCTAATCTCATCATTTTTCAATCACTCAACCTAATTCAGTCACACTTAATCAATACTTAAAAAAAAACAGAAACATAGTCATTAGATAGTTGGAAAAGTGTAAGAAAATCCAACGAAACCGGAAAAAACTGGATCAATAGGCATTTTTTTATTCCGCTGAGATGTCCATTTTTGAAGCTATTTAATCACGTTTTTTGACCTCTAAACCATTGCTGTTCGATAGTTGAGTTTGCCTTCCTTTTAACGAAAAATGAGCTGAACTAAACAAAAAAAAATTAAAGCGCAAAAATTGAAACTCCTGAAAAAAAAGCATCACGACTTTTAAGATGGATAATAAATTCGTTCTTTTACACTAAAAACTGAGATAAAAACATGTTATTAAAAATGGAGTCCGGAACATTCTGTGCTTGTTGCACGGCATTTGGTTATCCTTGTTAGTTCTTAGTTATTAATTATCACTCACCATTCGAGGATGGGTGAACTTGAACGAGTACGAAGCAGGAGGATGTGGTCGAGTGACCTGTCGAGGGGTTAGTGGCCACAGCACAGTATTCGCCTCCGTCTCTCTCCTCAACATTCACAATCACAAGACTGTATTCTCTGTCCTCGCGGTAGATCTGAAACAGTATTTTTTTTAAGTTAACCAGCCAGAGGCCTAAACCAAAGATTAATTACTTAAGGTTAACTAAGCTATGGCTATCTTACAAGAGCTCACTTTATAAATTGCAGCGCATATGATTGCTAGTCACTTTCACTACCGATGCGCCACAACGTCAATAAATACACACAAGTCATCGAATACAACAATTTTGATAACCTTCCAAGATGAGATTGTGTTTTAAGCTAACCATTTTTTCTTGACACCGAATTTGTTTTTGGATTTAACTCGAACTCCTCGTAAACAGCGATTAGTGTTTTTTCAAGGTAAAATTTTGCTATATACTTACTTTTTTTAATTTAAACACTCTTTAATTACTTTTTATTTAAACACTTTTTAAACACTATATAAACACTTTTTTTTTCATTTTTCCCTATCTTGAAAAAGAAATTATCAGTAAAAAAGTTATGATAACAAACAAAAAATATATTGCTTGTTCTATGGAAACGCAGTTGTTGTTGCATACTTTTTGTAACAAATTTCTAGTAAAATACCAAAAATTTACTTACAAAATTAAAAACTGTGTCGCCTTTCTTTTTAAAAAAATATATTTGCAACCTTTTTTGTATTTTTTTTATTTAAGTTTTTTTGATTTTTCATCGAAGAAAAGCGGAGAGAAACTTGCAAGACATAAAGTGCATTGCATGCCTTAGTTCTGTGATCCTGAGTGATGAGTTGATTGCCTTTGAACCACCTAACTTCAGAAAGGTCAGAGTAGTCACTGTCGTCCAGGATGACCTTCAGCCGCAGCTCCTCCCCCACTCTAGACTCCAGGGGGTTCCCCTCACTCCCCCGAACACTGCTTTCAGTCCCAGAAGAGAAGGACTGGATTATCTTTGGCGGGGGGATTGAACGCTTGCGAGCTAAAACGAAACAAAAGTCAGTTTTTAATTGAACGTTCTATCTAATAGTCGAGGATTTTTTAGAAATATTTTCACATAAAGTATCAATGGTTTTCACTTTCAACAGCAAAGTTAAGAAGTTGAACCATCATTGAAAAATAACTTGACAACGTTGAACTCCGTAAATTATATTTCTATTCAAGCAATGAAAATGTGTGAAGTTTGATATGATCGATGAAGTACAGAAATATATTTATGTGATGCAAAAAGATTTCTTATTTTTAAAATAAAAGAAATAAACGAGATGAATTTATCCAACGAAAAAAAAAAAGATCTCTATTTTTTCTTTTTAATAAAAACGTAAATGTGTGTCTAAATATATGCAAATTTGTATAGACTTTACCGATGACTTCAACTTCTGCTTCTGTAGTCGCTTTTCCCGAGTCGCTTTCGGCCACACACGAGTACAATCCCCCATCACTCGGCTCAACTTCGTCAATGAGCAGCCGAACCCACCAATCTTCACTCACTTCGATCACAACTCTGTCGTCTGGGTTAACTTGGGTATGGTCTTTGAACCAGAAGATGTCGAGGGGTGCTGATTCTGGGTCTAGTTTGCAGAGGAGCATCAGCTGGGCGCCCTCGGAGAGTGAAATTGGGTTGAGATGTTTGAGGAACGAAGGCTCACGAATGTCACTGTCGTCGCCAACTGAAACACACCAATCAGAAAATAAGTTTTTGTTTCATTTGCAGTGATTAAACTTTAGCGTCATAGAATCTGCATAATCTGCAAAATGTGAGATGAAGCACTATGAAATTACCAAAATGTTTCAATTTTCAGTCAAATTTGTCTATAACAACGCAAACTAACAAATTTTAGATACATTTTTACAATATTTGAATAATTTTTTCAGAAAAAAAAATCAAATTTGTGAAAAAAAAATATATAATTTCGCGATATTCAAATTATTTTTTCAGATACATTTGTGGAAAAAAATTAGATATAATTTTTAAAATATAATTCACTCACCGTCAACAAATACTTCTGCAGTAGACACTGCTTTTCCAACTGAGTTTTCAGCAGTGCAGGAGTAGATACCCGCATCCTGGGGTCCCACGTCATTGATTACCAGGTAGTAGTTCACCCCAATTCTCCTCTCTGTTATTCTGTTGGTTGCAGGCATTGTTTTAAGTCAATTGGAATGATGCAAAATTTCATTGGAATTATTAGGCTCATTTATAATACTTTTTGTTCCGGCCACTTTCGAGAGCGGGAAGAATTTGTGGTGTGGGATGTTTTTGCGCGCAATTTTGGGTACCTCAAAAAAGTTCGTACGACGTCAAGTGCGCTAACAATTGAAGCTCTTTTAGTCCTAAATCGTTTTTGTGTCGAAAAACTCAAACTTAGCGTGAATTTAGCAACTATTTTCGCTGCTACGACTATATCTATTTATACATATTATATAATCAATTAACGAGTTGCAGGTTTGATTACATTGAAAAAAAAAATCGAAACTAAATCTCCAAAATAAATCCTGAGAGGTTTAAAATGACAGATTATCAGCAAAACAGTATGAACAAAAAAAACGCAACTAAAAATAACTTAGGTCCACTTTAATTATTCTCCGTTTAACTTTCGATAAAACACTTAGTAGAAAGAATTAAAACTTATAACTAAATAAGTTTCAAATTTATTGCCAACTTTCTTTTCCAATTGACTGTCAACAATGCCTGCCTGTGTCCGTCTATTTGGACCACCACTCCATTGAGAGACCACACCACTTGGGGGGAGGGAGACCCCGAGATGACACAGTGGAAGTGCAGGGGTTCGTTCTGTTTGATCACGTGACCTTCTAGTTTCTTCTCGAAGGTGGGGGCCTCGCTTTCTTCTGTTAGTTCGAAGAGAGAAGAAGAAACAGACAGAAAGTGACAGAATAGAAACAGTCAGGTTAGTTTATGAAACCAGAGAAAACTTAAGAGCAAGAGGGATTTTAAACATTAAATAGAAACTACACTAATACAGGGAGAAAAATAAGCGAACTACATGTCAATGAGAACAGTAACCTTAAGCTTGACAAAAAAACGACTCCGCAAATTGAAGAGATCTTTAAATTAGCACACAAATAACATTGACATCATAGCACAAGAATGTTGGCAGATTTAACGAGCATAAAATTAATCCAAATTTTCATGTAAAATTTACTTGCATACCAACAGTAAACCAATAATTTCGTTTCAAAGACTACAGTTTACTTTGTTTTATGATATGGCCATAGGTGTTTTTCTTTTCTCTCACCTGCGATGATGATTTCGGCGGAGGAGGTCGCCTTGCCTCTCTCGTTCTCCGCGACCACTGCTATCTTCCCCCCATGTTCAGGGGTCACACTCTTGATCGAACACCTGGGGGGAAATTTCACTTTATGATCCAGATCATTAAAAAAATTAACCAAATTTAATCTGAATCACACATCTTACAAAAAAAAGCAGAATTGACTATATCAAAAATCAGTGCAGTCATATTCTAAAGAATTTGGTAGAGATAAACGTGTGTTTTGGCCTAAAACTATAATATATGAGTTTGGAACAATAATAATGGCCTCCATAAATCTACACTAAGCTGAAACAAATATATTTCGATCTCATAATAAATTAAATCAAGTCAGGGGCGGTTTCAGAGGGGGGGGGGGGGCGGATTTAGGGGGGACGGGGGGAGGCGAACGCTTTTCCCTCAGGGATTTGACCCCCTGCCGACCCAAAGGGTCCCTCCTTTGGTATTTTTTAAGAAATCCATTTTTGGCCGACCGACCCTAAAATTTTTCTGAAGGCGCCAATATATACTAACTTTGAGGGAGAGCGCGCGCCAAAAAAACGCGATTTTTCCAAATTTTCCAAAAAGTGCCTAAAAACGGTTTTTTTTTACATGTTTTTTTTTTTAAAATGTGCCTGCGGCCCTAAAATTTTGGCCAAAAAGCGTATTTTTAGTGCTTTAGGAGAGCTCGAAAAATCAACTTTGTCGACCTAAAAAAAGGTCGTCAAAATTTTCGAAAATTTTTTGAAAATCCGCCCCTTTCGAGAAAATTTTAGATCCGCCCCAAGTATCATTTAATTTCAGAGATTTATTTTGATACATTGAAAATCAATGAAGTATCAAGTAGTTACACAAGCATATTTTCATTCCATAATTAAAATCGTTTAAGTATCGTTTAAACATAAAAAAAATTACCTTTTTGCCGAAAATTTTCTTTTTTTAAAGAAATCAGTCTGCTTATTTACCTGTATCTAGGTCCCTCTTGATAAACACTGTCCCCCACTCGGGGTTTGAAGGGTTCATCATTGAGCAGCCACGTGACCTTGGGCTCAGGATAGGCGCGGATTGACACGTGCAGTTCCAGAGGCTTGCCTAACTCCACTTCTTGGGTGGCAAGACGCTCGGTGAAAATGGGAGCATTCGATGCTATAACAGAAACAATGTTTATTGGGCTCATTCGCCCCACCCCAACTGGAAAAAGCATCAATTTTATGGTGTAACAAGTCGTTTTACAAGGTTGGGCATGAAAACCAAATGTTTTTCATGGCCTAATTAGTCCGCATGCCAATTTTTGTAACAACCGAACAATGTGAACAAATTTTTACTAGAAAAAATTCGCAGGTAGGGGGAGAGAAAAAGGAGCGTTTATTGATAATTTGACTTAGCAAGCAATGTTTATTGATTGTTCATAATTAAAATCTTAAAATCAATATTTTGAAATTAAAATCTTAAAATCAATAATTTGAAGCTATTGGAGCGGTATTGACGTGGTTGAGTATCCGCCTTCCGATTGCATGGTCGGATGTTCGAGGCCCACCATGATCCGTGCTCGTTGGTTGAGGGTGAGACATCATTACCAAGCCCAGAAAAATCACCAAAAAAGTGTATGTTATTCATAATCAGAGACGCAACCACGGTTTGCTGTATGAGCTTAACAGTTCGTTTCCTGGTCCTTTTCCTCGTGGATAATTTATTCTAACTTCCTAAGGTACATTTACTTTAATTCGGCTTGTTTATCATTTCTGCTGCCATTAACTTCTAAATTCTGTACACTTCGGCAAAATATTTTTGGTTTTTGATATTTAAAATCTATGATTAAATTATAAATTCATTTGGGTTTTCAATTTAATTCATATCTTAACAAAAGATTGTCATTTGTAAAACTAATGAATTGTTAATAACTATTGATAACATAAAAATCTGATTTTTACTACTAGTGAGATGAAGTGACATTTAAACAGAGAGCCATAAAAAACTCTTTGAAAAGCCATAAATTAGAAAGCCAAAGCTCGACGTAAAGTTCTACAGCTACTCAATGCTATCCAATAATTGTCAAAAAAGCTGATCCAAAAACTTTACAAAAAGCTGATCCAATAAATGCCCAAGAAGTGGCGACAAAATTAAAAGCTCTTTTCCATTTTCTCCACACATTTGAGTTTTTTTTGCAGAGTGGGGAAGCTGCGCTTTGCAAACACAAGAAGGAAAACTACAAAAAAGCAGTTCTATAAAGTCAAAAAGAAAATAAAAAGTAAAATACGCTTTAAAAATTAAAAATTTGGAGATAGATTGAATTGGGAAATAACTGAAATCGACGTTTTTATCATTGTAATGTTATTTGAAACAAATATACTCTCGGTTCATTCGATGACTTAAAAAAGCATCAGCTGTTTTTACTTAGTACTAATTAAATGGCAACTTGCATGCAAGTAAACTGCCAAAGCAGCCAGCTTCAAACTTGCCACCAGAAGTAGCACTAATATTTGCGACTTAGGTTAGAAAAAAAGAGAATAGTCGTACTATTACACTATGCCCGTAGTGTAGTGTAAACATTGTCATAATGTTTTGAAACTTTGAAATAAAATAACTCTTCATATTTTACATCATAATTTCCTGCTTTTAGCCATAAAAACATGTAAAACAACCAGTGGCGGATTTAGGGTGGGGGCGGACGCTCCCCCCGTTTCAGTGATTCGACTCCCTGCCAACCCAAATAATCCCCCTTTGTATTTTGTCTAATAATATAATAATATATACTAATTTTGATGGCGGAGAGCGCACGCCGAAAAAACGCGATTTTGTGTCAAAATTTTCCAAAAAGAATGGCTAAAAACGCCTTATTTGGCCAAGTTTTCAAAATTTTACCTGCGGCGCAACAACTTTGGTCGAAATAGGGTCTTTATAGTGATTTCAGAGAGCTCAAAAAATCATCCATCAATTGGGTCGACCTAAAAAATGTCGACAAAAATTTAGAATTTTTTTTTAAATCCACCTAGAGCCACCCCAGAAAACTAATACAGTAATAGAAATTTTGAAATGCGAGGGGGGAATTGAAAAGAGCCAAACAAAAATCATAAAGAAGAAGATGACAAAAAACTCACAGTCATCGATGAGCAATTGACACGTGCATTGAGCTCTGCCCGCGCCGTTCTCAGCCACAATGGAGTACTCCCCCTCATCTTTGGGGGTGACTTGTTTCAGCTGCAAACTACACTTGCCCTCGTCACGCAACACAATGCACCTCTTGGGGTCTACTGGTTGGTCGTCCTTCATCCAGCGAACTTTTGGATCCGGAAAACCTAGAAAATAGTCGAATGTTTCAAACTGTAAAACCTTCTTGACTATGGCTCAAATAAACAAAAATTCTGTGTGAAAAGAAGTTAAGAGCCGGTCAGATGGTATAACACAATGATAAATCTATGAAACTCCAAAATCAATAAAAACTAAAAACATCGATTGTGAATATTAGTAAGTGAGATTTTTATCGGAAAACTGAGTATTAGAGTTTCTGCACAATTTTTCAAGTCAAAAATTTGGTCGTGCAATTTTTTTATTAGCCCCCAGTCCTGCTCAGTGCAGGACCAACCGTAAGGGATGACGTTGTCATCCATTTTTCCGCAGCCTTTCCGACCTTGAGGAGGCGGAGGACATTGGGACCCCTCCAACCGTGATCGAAGAGGGATTCGAACGCACTATCCTCGTGTAGAGAGGCGTGTGCCGTACCCCACTTGAATACGTCTGCTCTTGGTCATGCAATAATTAATTGTGTCTGCAAATTTGACTCTGACGAGTCTTACCTTTGACAATGATTTCGAGAGTGACATCCTGTCCAACTCTGACAACTGGGGGTTGGAGGAGCTCACTGATGAATGCAGGCGCCTCTCTGTTGTCAGACTCTAGCCGCACACTACTCATGTGTGTAACTACCTCTTCGCTTTGGATCACTGTTGTCTTGCTGCTGCTACAGCAAGAAATAAAAACTGAATCGAGTTTTTCAAAAAATAATAAGTTATTAGTGTTAGTAATAAGAAAAGTAAGTGCCTAAAAACTACCGAGTTAGTGTTGAAGATTACGTGTACCAATCAAGTATTGTGTAAAGGAATTTTACTGGCAATTTAGATGATTAATAGCAGGGGCCGTATCTAGGATTTTTGCGAGGAGGATTTGGATTTTCATCGACTTTTCCAGATCGAGCAAATTCATTTTTGGAAAATATTTTCGCCAGTTTTTTGTCCCAGAGACAAATTTTTGGAAGAAACCTTGTCAGATATGAAATTTTTATGGTTTCTAGGAGTTAGCTCAAAAATTGTTTTTGTTTTTGGTGTGCGCGCCACTCCTGAATAGTATTACATTGGCACCAGGGGCGGATCTAGGATTTTCTCGAGGGGGGGGCGGATTTTCAAAAAAAATTCGAAAATTTTGACGACCTTTTTTTTTTAAGGTCGACCAAATTGTGATTTTTCGAGCTCTCCCAAAGCACTGTTTTGCCCCTATTTCGGCTAAATTTTGTGCGCCGCAGGCAAATTTTTGAAAAAACAGTCAAAAAAGCCGTTTTTGGGCACTTTTTGAAAAATTTTGACAAAAAATCGCGTTTTTTTTGGCGCGCGCTCCCCCTCAAAGTTAGTATATATTGGCGCCGAAGGCGCCTTTAGAAAAATTTTAGGGTCGGTCGGCCAAAAATGGATTTCTGAAAAAGTGTCAAAGGGGGGACCCTTTGTGTCGGCAGGGGGTCGAATCCCTGAGGGGGGGGGGCGTCCGCCCCCCCCTAAATCCGCCCCTGATTGGCACTCAAAGCGCCTTTGGAGCAACTTTAAGGTTCGTCAACCTTGATAGAATGTCGTAAAACAGTATTAAAGGGGGACGCTTTTGGTCGAAAAGTAGTCAAATAAAAATATAGGGGGAGGGTCCTTGATTAACCCGTTTGAATTAGTTTTTGAAAATAGAGCTTAAGTTCATTTAAAATAATTAGCAATGGTAAGAATAATTCTTTTCTACCACCTGTTTATTCTTGTAAAGAAAGAATTGCATTTTTTAAAATATAATGTCACAATTTTAGTAAACGGTTACTTTTTAAGAAAAAAATTTAAAAGTTTGTCAAAAACATGTGTTAGTTTTCGAATTATTAAGGGAAGAAGTTAAAGCAACACTGTTAAGCTTTAGACTACTAGTATTCGGATTAGTAGGTATTCTAAGCAGCTGTTTATTACTTTTTCGAATCTTACCTTCCAATTTTGTTGTTTCCGACTGCAACAGTTAAGAACAGAAATAGTTATGATCATTATTTACAAAATGATTTCATCCTGTTAAAATTCATGCAAAAAATGAACTAAAAATGGTAAGTCGGCGGTCAAATCTGGTATCAGTTAACTCAAATGTTCTCAAGCCAAAGAGTACCTAACAAACAAAATGGGCGAAAGCGGTCTTTTCTGTTAAACGGCCCAAAATGAATCATAACAAAAATTGGAAAAACTGACCATAATGCTCGAATGTGAATGGTCGAAATTAACCCCAGCGAAAAGTAATCTAGATTTTCATTGAAAAAACAGAAGCTCAATAAACAGTTTGAGAGTTTTGGGCCGTAGAACAGAAAAGACCTGGCAAAAGTTGTTAGAATAAGGCACAAAGATGCAGATACCCATGCTTAGATTTAGAAAACAGAGGGGCTTTTGATATCTGTTTGCATTTTAAAATGAAGAAAAAAGGGATTATTTTCTGCAAAAAATGAATTCGATGAAAACCATTCCGTTTCCAGAAGATTGATAGTACTGATATAGTCGTTTTAATTTCTGGAAAAACCCAAAACAAACCATCAAAATTTGTATTATTTTATTTCTATAAATTTGACGAAGAGTTAAAGCGACAATCAATAATACGCATGCTATGCTTATAATTGCTCAATATTCTTAATCCAAATAACATGCTTGTCTTAGTCTCCATTTTCAAGCGGCATTTAAAAGTTATGCACATTCAATTTTTCAATAATTGATCGGACGCTCGGAAAAGTTTCGGCCAATCCAGAATCTTCTTCTTCGTTTTCAAACGTCATCGACTTCGAAACTCGCATGGATCCCAAATTCTCAGTGTCGCTTGACTTTTTCATCTCGTCTTCGACACTCGAGACTAATTCGGTTATTCTTTCTTGATAAACTGGAACCTTCTTAAACGTCAGAGAAGTGTTCGACTTCGACATATTGTTCACATCGTTGAAAACTTCAACTGGCTGGCCCAATTTTGAAGAGCTGTGAGCTCGTTTACCAAGTCCTCGATTCTGATTGGTCGACGAAACACGACTGCTTTTCCCAGCTCTGATATCGAGCAATGATGTTGAGCTAACAGACGTCGCCACGCTGATTCCTTGCTTCCTCGATTCTTTCTTCTCGGTTTTAATTTTTGATCGTCTTGAAGTTGTTTTGGATTCTATCAAGGACGTTGTTGATTTTGATCTAAAATCCCATGTAGATTTCATTTCATTCGGAATTTTCAGTTGTCCTATTTTAGATCCCGAGCTGTTGTTCGTGCAAACTATATGCATTGGAGGCAGAAGCGACATTCCATAAAAGCTCAGATTATCCCCGGAAACCAAGTTATTGATTTGGTCAGACGATTGGTTCAGAACCGAAGCCACGTTCGAAATAATTACGCCCTCGTTACTCTTTCTTATGTAATTATTAGCCGATTCGTCGCCGTTGGTTACGTAATCGTTGTCCTGATTACGTAATGACGGTTTCGTTACGTCACCAGGTGTTTCGTCATCAGTTTGTGAGTGAGAAGCAATCGCACTATAGCTACCACGCGCACTGCTTTTAGTTTGAATTTTGATTTGAGAGGTGAATTTTGAGAGGCTTTGTTGTTGCTGTTGTTGTTGATGGACAATGTGGGGTAAGTAATGCTCAACATATGGGGATGCATTTATACCTTCATGTATGGGCAAAAACACCTCCACATTTTCATACATGTTCGGGTCTGCGGGCCCTAAGGCGCCCGTTGAGAGGCTAGTTGCACGCATTAGAGCGGCACTTGTGCACGAAGACATTCGGAAATCAGTCTCGTCGACTAAGTTGTCAGACGACAAGCTTTTTTCTATAAATTCACAAACACGCAAACCTTCACTTGAAAAAAAAAACATTTCTCAATAAAAGAAAAATTGCTTAAACAAATAATTAAAATTCATCAGTAACTTTAAGAAAGGTTAAAAGAAATCAAGCACTGTTTTCAAGTTTAAAATTTGGCAAAAAAGCTCAATGAAGTAGCAAACGTTCTACATAGAGGCGAAGTTCCACTTCGCAAACACAAGGAAAAGTAAAGAGAAACTTGCATCGTCTAGGAATGAAAATGTTTTAAAAACTTTCAATGTTTTTTTTTCAAATAAAACCTTGTGTAACACAGAGGCGAAACTTTTTCATAATTATTAGTATCTTGATCCTTTGGTTTTTTTTTGGTTTTTCAGGGTCTCGCCTCGATGAGCCTCAGGGCTCGTGCGCGATCCTTGTGAGTTAAATACTGCATACGTATATTCTCTCACTAAATAATTCAAATTCAAATTCATATTTCTTTTAATGCATATGTACCTTGTATATGGCAGAATGCAGAAGTGGTGACGGTGCCTGCCCCGTTGGATGCCTCCACGCAGTACTGCCCCCCATCCCCCTCCTTCATTCCGCCGGAGGGGGAGATCCTCACTCTCAAAGTATCCTGGCCATCGTCAATAAGCTATAAAAAAAACAGAAAAAATACTTAAAAAACTAATAAAGGGAAGAAAATAGTATTCAATTAGAGAGAGTTATATTAATTACTTTTTATTTTTGTTGTCTAAGAGGTTTTGTGGAAATATGAATCTCAAACAATTCAACGTAATAATTGAAAATAAACAAGTGTAGTCCAAAACAAATAATGGAGACTTGGAATTTCCCAGAAAAATTAGGTAAAGCAGGCCGTTATAACAAGCACATTTACATACAAATGTTTAAAAAAAACTTGAAAATTTCAGTAGCTATTTACAATTAACGGCCTTGTAGGCATTTGTTGAAACTTTTTGGGCTTCTCAAGAAGCAAAGATTTTTGCCTTTTATAGATCGACAAGAACTCACAGTATGAAAACTTTCGGGTCTTTTCTGCCCTAGGGGTTATCAGGAACCTAGAGTTCCTTTTGTTAAAATCCCTTTAAAAAAGTCTTTTATAAGCAAAAGACCCTGAAAAAGCCCTGGTTGAAAAACATCATCACCGTAGAACGGAGTTAACAAATATTTATCCTTTAGCTGTAAAACAGAATTGTAATTTACCTTGCAGAAAACCGAATGTTTTGGACGGGGCTGTATATATTAGGCGAAAATAAAAGTGTTTCCATTAGGCGAAAATTTTCATTAAAAAAGTGAGTATTTCATCAGAAATCCCCTATTAATTCTCTAGGCGACATTGACAAGAAGCGGTTTTAAACTGCAAAGCCACTTGTAGGTTCAAAGTCGTCGGTGGGCGCGCGTCCCCTCTTGGCGGTGATAACCGGCTTTTTTTTTTTAAAGATTCCTACCCTCTGTTGGCAAGCTCGCAACACGGTGGCGCAACTGCAGCGGTCACTATTTTACGGTTGATTTGCTGTTTGAACAAAATTACGTGTATATAGTATGTAGCAATTGAATGGCGTAATTAAGCACATACGGTTTTTGCTAAAGTGTACACTTTTTTAATCAAAATTTTTGCCTAATGTTAACATTTTTATTTTCGCCTAATATAGTTTTTGCCTGATATAGCCGACCCCGATTTGGACGAACCGAAAAAGACTGGGATAAATAAGAGTTTTTTCCTAACAACAAGATACAATATTAACAATAACATCAAGATAATAGTAACACTATCATACGTGTCAAAATGGATCTTTTTGATTTCGAGATTATATCACAAGACTTAAATCTAATTTGTTGAGCTTTCTCGGACAAATGCTAATTTAATGTTCTTTCAAATTTGGGACAAATAATCAGGGCTCGTAGAGCTAGGCTACTGTTTAACCAATTTTCGACTGCTTCATAAAAATTATTCTGCTTTTTTCTGCAATAAAAAATTCTACACTTATTTCTGCTACATGCATTAACTTCTGCTCTCTCTACTGCACTATACAAATTTCTGCCCTAAACGTCATTTTATACTAATTCTGCTTAACTCTGCTGCTGCCTGAATTAGATGAGGACTGATAATTTCAGAAAGTACTCTTTTCTTTCTTCCTAATCATCCTTACCTGTATGTGTTTTTCATCTGGCGAGACTTCCTTGTCGTCCTTGAGGAGTCTGAGATTGCAGCCGGAAGAAGCATTGCCTATCTTACACTCCAGAACAGCCTCAGGATCCCCCACTCTGGCTTTCACACTGTTCAGAGGCTGGATTAGAACTGGCTTCTTCTCTCGTGCTGGAAAAAAAAACTACCTTTTTGTACTTTCAAATGAGCAATAAAAATTTTTTTCAGATGTATCAGATAGACAAAGAATTAAATTTAAAATTGCAAACTAAGATTCCATGAATTTCTTCAAAAGTCGGAACAACTAGTGAAAATGTGATATAGAATTTTAAATTGTTGAACTGCTGAGCTGTATGAACCAGTTTTATATAGTTATACCAACAATGCACTTTTAATATATCAGAATGAAATAGTTTTAATATTTAGGACGTGCCAGGTCACCTTGAAATATAATAAATGATCGTACCATGGACTAGAAGGGGCGCGGTTGAGCTCACAGTTCCCGCAGAATTAGTCGCAGTTGCTGTAAGAGGTCCTGTATCATCAATTTCCAATTTGTGCAACTTCAACAAATGTTTATCGTCGTTTCTTCTAATTTGCTGGTCCGGTGCTTCCGTCAATTTCTCTCCATTGAGGAACCAAGAAACAGTCGGAGTCGGGACTCCTTTCACGACACATTCAAAAGTAACCGACTCGCCTTCTTTCGCAACGACTTCGTGTAATCCGACAACAAACTCAGGCGCCTCGGGTTCAGCCTGTTTTTCCTTCACATACAGGGTTCCAGTGACGGATACTTCTCCGAACTTGTTTTTCACGAAGAGTGTGTAAAGTCCGGAGTCTTGTGTTATACAGCTCTTGATTTGAAGCGTGTACGTGTTTCCATTGTTGATCAGTTTAAGGTCAGGTCCTGGTTTCAACCTGGTTTTGCGGTCTTTGTACCAGGCAACCTAATCAAAAGTTGATTTTTGTGCTTTTTCAAATTCTAGCGTTGTCTTAGCGTTCAAAAATTACTGCAAAGCAAATGTTGCTATTCCTAGTTAGTGAGGTTTATTTCAGAAAACAAGTTAACGCCAAACGTTGTGAATCCATCAACAGAAATCACAATATACTTCAGTAAAAAATCACTATTAAGTATCAATTAATTGAAATTTATCTTAATTGATGTAATATATCTTAAAACTAAAAATATCATTAAGGCAGCATTTCATTTTAAAAACAAGACTATTGGTGGGCATATGTTAACTCAATTTACGATCAAACAGAGGTCGCTGGATGAGCCATGTTTGTATGGACTCCTAAATCTACAAGATTTTTGGTGATTGCCGCTGTTCTGAAATAGAGAAGGGATAAAAACTAACCTCCCCCACAGGTTTGGCCGTGACCTCGCATTCAATCGTTACTTGATCCCCCTCCTGGGCGTACAGCTGGGTCTCCATGTGCTTCTCGATTTTGGGCGCATGGGGTTTCAAATGCAACGGTAGTTCCTCCACGTCCAAGTGGGCAGAACAGCCCTGCTCCCCCTCGGAGTTGGAGGCCACTGCCTTGTAGGTCCCCCTGTCCGCGTACTGGGTCTCTTTTAGTTGCAGAGTGTGTTTGTTGCCCGATGTCGTTATCTGTCGAAATCAAAGCGAAGTTGAAAATGAAGTTAAGCTATTCATTTTCCTAGTATTTTTCTAGTCATTTTGAAATTACAGCTATAGACTTTCAATGAATATGTAAAAAAACATAGACTGTGTTTTGCTGTAAAAAAATAGTTCAGAGAAAATAAGAGAAATTTTTGCGTTATTGTTTGCTGTAAATATATACTGGAAATATAAATTCTTTCTTCTTTAATGATCTGCAAAAATAGACACAAATTAGAAAAACACAGTGCAGACTGACCTTGGTATCTTTGTCTGGCTCTATCTTCTCTCCGTTGTGCAGCCATTGCACAGTTGGTTTGGGGTCTCCTGACACTGTACAGTTGAAAGAGCAGGAGTCCAGCTCCTTACAACTCACGTCTTTGATGGGCACTTCGAAGAACGGTTTCGTCTTCCCTGAAACCAGCTCAGAGTTAAGCTAAATGGTTAATTATAATGGCGGAATTAGAGGGAGGGGAGGGGGATTTATAAGCTCCCTTTCTCATAAACTTGACCTTTCAACGAGTCCCCCTTTTGGTTCTATTTTACTACATCCAATTTTTGATGCTGTTTTAAGATATTACAATTTAACTTAAATCAATATATCATGATCTGAAACCCAATTATTCTCATGATTACTAATTGAATACTTGAATTTAAAAAATTGAATGGACAAGCTATCAAAATGGCGACAAAATCATAGATTAACCTCAAATGTTTCCTTTTTTATGAGCTTCAAATGAAAGGTTCAAAATGACTTAAATTATAGTGCTAAAAACAGGTTTTCATATGTACATTTTTTTGTTTGAAGAAGTTTTCAGCCCTATAATTTCAAGAGAAGTTTGACTTTTGAGCTATTTTCTGTCCAATTCGAATTTTTATATACACGGCTTCATTATTTCAAAGTAACTTTGATTGAATAAAGAGAAAAAAATAGCTTGAACGCTATAATTAGATTAAAAATGCATGATCTTTAACCGCAGAAGTTAGAACTAACTTAGAACTTTGATGGAGAATGAACATGTAGACTCCCCCATTTTATTAGTCGCCTTACAAATCACCCGCCCGTCGTCTTCAGGAATGACTTCTTTAATCAACAGAGTCGCAGTGCCATTTTTGAAACTCAGTTTGAAATCTTCGCCCTCTGTGATCTCTTCTCCTTCTTTGTTCACCCATTTGACCTCTGGCATGGGTGTTCCAGTGACCTTGCAGTTGAACTCTACTGATTTGCCCTCTTGAACTTCTTTGTCTTGTGGTTTCTTAACGAACTTAGGCGGCTCCCCGACAACTGCAAAAACAATTAGATACCAGCTGAGTTTTCGAAAACAAACTCTGAGAAAAATCTGATTTTCACGACAGTTTATGGCAAAATTGATTTTGTTACAGATTCAGCTCAAAAATGATAAAATAAAATAAGGAAATGAACTAAGGATAATCATCAAGCATGATTTGTTAAAAAGCTTGACTGAATTTACCTGCTATTTTTCGATATCTCCAATTATCTAAAGCTCAAAGTTACAACTAACTTTAACTCCATAGCTCAAAATTGAAATATATAATGAATCTAGTCTGTTATCAATTTGTCTAAGAAATACGCTGTTCCAGGGGTGCGTTCCCACTTTGCGGAGGCGGATCACATTCGGCACCATCCTTAAGGTACAGACCGTGGCGGATATAAGGGGGGGGGGGGGACGCCCCTCCCTCAGGGCTTCGACCCCCTCACCAACCAAAGGGTCCCCCTTTGATATTATTTTATGACATCCATTTTAGGACGATCAACTCTTTCTTAAATTTTTCTACATAATCATTTTCAAGGTGAGCGCGGGCCAAAAAAATACGCAATTTTTGCTCATAATTTTGTTTTTCAAAAAGTGCCCAAAAACGGGCTGCGTCAAAATAGGGTCTTAATAGTGCTCAGGGAGTGCTCGGAAAATCAAGTTGGTCGACCAAAAAAAGCGCCCCCTCGAGAAAATCTTAGATCCACCCCTGGGTACAGAATTGAGCATCGAACCCACTCACCTCGTGTTAAGCGCACTGCGCCTTACCCTCTCGACCACGGCGGCCCTACTAAAAACATTTGCATACCTGTGACACTGAGCACCGCCTCCGACTGGGCTGTGCCATGTTCATTCGTAGCCACCACAGTGTATTTCCCTTCATCATCCGGGAAGATCTCGTCCAACACCAGAGCACACATCTCCCCCACGTGCTGGATGTCACAGTCGAATTTAGCCATGTCCTGGAGAACAAGCAGAGGAAATTAAGGATGTTTTTACCCTCCCCCCTCCCCCCCCCCCCCACCTCACCTGCTGTTTTTCAGTTTAACCTTTTTTCACCCTACCTAATTGCCATGAAATGTGTCAAGTGAGGTGATCTTTTTCTACAAATTTAATCGTTTTAAACAGCATGTACACCATAGCGGTTGGTTACACAAAAAAAAACATATTTTTTCGCTGAATGAAAAATATTTTAAGGTGCTTTGAAATTATATTGGTGACGGGGAAAACAGAATGGCCGATAAATAAAATAAAAATTGAACAAATTTAGATTTAAAAAATGCAAAAATAGTGATCAAACGGCACTGAATTCCACAAAAAGCGTTTCAAATGTTTTGCAAGCAGCTGTTGCTGAAATCTAATATCGAGGTAAGCGAACAAAAATTTTATCTGAAAATTTTCGCAAGGGACAATTCTGAAACAAAAAAAATTTTGCAACCACATAAGGACTCATTTCATGCTTTTAGATTCAGAACTTAAATTCAATATAAAATTAAGATATTCTAGCTACTCAATCAAACATTTCACTCAGATTTGATACGGTAGTTTTAAAGCTTTCTCTTGTTTGAAGGCCATAAATTTTTTCTTATAAAAAAATTGGGCGTAGCAAATTATAGAGGTATGCTTTCAATAAATTTAGTGTCGATTAAACCTATGATATCAGATTTAACAGGATATTTATCGCAAAAAGTTCAAAAACCGGTCAACAAATCAGATAGTTGACATTTCTGAGAATCATGTTTAGAAAAAATTTGACTAAGCCGCGTATGCAGAAGAGATTCATATAACCTGTAACTTCGATTTAAACCAATAATCTAGGTTTGGCAAGGTAATTCTTGAGAAGTTTCGAAAAATTATAAAAAAAATCAAGACATCACTGTTCCGAGGGCCATATTTCATGTGTCAAAGAAGTTTGGGCGTAGCCGCTTATAGAGGGCAGCTTTTCAAATCCTCACTAATCATTAAAACATTTTAAAAATCTCAGATTTGTTAGATTATTTTTTGAGAAAACGAAAAACGATATCAAAAATATGGGTCAAATATTCCGCCCACAGACTTTTTCGAAGGCTGTAGACAAAAAGGTAATGCCAAAAGACAACAGGGGAGTATCCAGGGACACAAATGTGTAAGTGTTCTATCTATGGATACTTTTTTGAAATTCGGTGCAAGGGTTTTTGAGAAAAAAAACTAATTTTTTTTGTAAAAAGTGGTAAAATATTACAAAAGATTCAAGTCCCCTCTGAAACTACCCTGCAGTAACTAATACCCACCCAGTTGTTAAATTTGAATCTTCTTGAAATTGAGCATGTCAGTTGATTGAGCAAGTGTTTGTAAAACTAGTTGTTAACCCGGAAAAAAGTCTACATTCCGATTTGATAACGCTTGCTAATTGCAAGCTTTTAAATATTTTTCATCTTCAAAAAAGCTGGGCTATAGTCACCAATTTTTTTCCGAGCAATGCAACTTCTGCAGAAAGTCACGATTGCACTCTCTATTAAGCTATTGAAAACCAGTGGCTCTAAAAATATCTATCGGAACTAAAATAAATTTAAGTTTCTAAGTTGGACGAAACAAGCCCACAAATTTTGTCCGCTTTTTCCGAAAAAGACTGCACATAAGAACATCTCATACCTTTATCAACTTGACCGCTTCAGATGAGTTATAATTCATAAATTCTCCCTCATTTCAATAATTCTTGTTCTACTTTCCAAGAAGCGCAGGAATATTTTCCAGAAAAACTTAAAATTTAACCAACTGATGGAAATTCTAACAATAATAACGATATTGCACCCTGAGCTAATAAATAAAAATTATTTCCCTATAGAATAGTTTTCGTATATTTGGAGATTTTGAAAAATGCCAACTTTGAATAGTTAAAGCGCGCAAACGTTCCAGTTTGCCTATTGATGGGTAGCAAAGGCAGCGAATTTATCCGGCGAACTGATCATACCAAATTGAAGAGAGGAACGCTTATTCGTCTAATGTTGCGTTAATAAACTTCAAACATATTACTTTGTACTTGAAATAGCATGCAAGGCGAAAATAATATAAAATTTGAGACTAAAAGCTTTATTATATTTATTTAACAAAATTACTTCAAATACGTTATAAAAAAAATGAAAAAAGCAAAAAACTGGCCTGATAAAAGCAAACTTTTGTGTTAAACCATTCACATTTTGCTATTTGATTCAAAAGGTATTACTGCTTTAATAAAATTGATAATATCGAAAAAAAATTATCTACCACATGCTCTAGACAGCTCAGCAAATACGAATGCAAAATTAACAGGAAATTAATTAGTTTTTCAAGATATTGGCAAATTGATGCGGTTGTATCAATCTAAGATAAAAGATTTCAACAAAAAAATAGAAGAAAAAATTTTGTTTTTGTCGAAAAATGTTTTTTCTTCCTTGTCAGACAGTCCAATACAAGATTTTAAAAGAATACGAAATGTGCACAAGCACACGCGGAAAAAACTCGTATTTCCTGAAACTTGAATATTCCTTGCAAAAACAATCACAAAAATGCAAATTGACTCAACAGAAATGAAAATAACCAACAAAAATTTAGAAAAGTAGAAAAGTGTAGAAGAACAAGGAAATCGAAAAAAAAATAGTTTGAAAACTTTTGAACATTTTTCAACTTTCGGAGAAAAAATATATTAGCTTAACGCTCTTTGCATTTGAAGTGCAAGTTATAATCAAAAATTGATACCTTTTCAATGAAATTAACAGAATTTAAGAAAACTGGATGAATGAATAAATTTTCTATTTCGCTGGAAAATTTAAAACTCGAAACCAACATTGGAAACTAGAAATCGATCACATTTTTTTGCACCATTTCCGCTTTCGTAATCGGAGAGTGCAGTTTACCTTACGTTTAACAATTGTTGAATGGAACTCAAAAAGTGTATTTATACGTAAGTGCATCAATATGTATGAATGGCCTTTTATAATTATTAGAGCATTTTAAGACTTTTTATCATTCAAAAATGAAACAAACCTTTTTTCCTCGGAACCATTTGACAACTGGAGTCGGTTTTCCCTCAACTTCGACCTCCCATCTAAACGGCTTTCCGTCTTCGACTTCCGCGTCAGCTAGAGGGGTCAGGAATTTCGGGGGTTTGGCGTTCCCGGCAACAGTCACTTTACACGTCTTGGTCACTTCTCCGAGATCATTCGTGGCGCAGACACTATAGTCCCCGGCGTCCCCGCGAACACAGTCGTTAATCACGAGCTGATAACTTCCGTCTTCGGGTGTGGATCGAATTTTAAATTTATTGTCGGGAGTGATTTCTCGGCCGTTACGATACCACACGACTTCAGGAGGCGGGGTTCCCGAAATGACGGCGTCGATTCTGATCTTGGAGCCTTCTTCGGCTGTGGGGAGCAACTCCGGTACCTTATAGATGGTCGGCGGCACGCCCTGTGGACCTATGACGACCATTGATTATAACAAGACATATTCAAGAGATTTTAGTGATATGTATTCCGACTAACTCAGTTTTGATTTACTTCAAAAAGGACTATTTTCCTTTAATTTACGATTGAAATTTTTTTTATAAGTATATCATTAGTTTTCAAGTTTATTATTTTTTGATTTCTACCTGAAATTAAAAATGAATAATCAAACTGTCTACAATTGTCATGTCAGATTTTGAAGTTCGATATACGGACTCAAAATTTCGAAAACGAATTTAAATAACTTTCTAAATTTTAAAAACTTTCAAAAATTAATAAGCGTAGGATTCGTTAGCTTTGAAAAGATTTCTGATAGTCAAATTCAAATTCAATCGCCCATATGTTGAGAGTACCTTGTACGTGTAAATAGGCCGACGAGTTCGTTTTGCCGAAGTCGTTTTCAGCCACAACTGTGATGGTTCCAGTGTCGTCTAAAGCGCTCTTCGGCATTTCGAGCTTGTGTTGATTGCCATTTGATGAAATTCGATTGGCTGGCGAGTCAATGAGTCTCTTGCCGTCCTTCTGCCACGAGACTCTAATTGGCGCACTTCCAATCACAAGACATTTGAAGACTGAAAGAGCACTATTTTTAACAGTAAAGAAAGTGATAAAGATTTGCATGCAAATTTTTTATAAATTTTCTTCAAAAAGAACAAAATTATGTTAATATATGTTTTCATGTAAATCGTCAAAAAAATCATAAAATAGAACAAAAACATGTTGAATTAATCAAAGTTAATGAAAAACGTATTCACACAAAAAATAAATTGAATACTAAGCAAAAAGAAGCATTGATGCAACTGTGATGGTGATTATAACAATTTCGTTTATGATTTCGTTTGATATACTTTTGCGTAATGAAACGAAATTATTAAAGCGAGCCCGGAAAGTTAAAGAGGAGCTTTTTCGAAAAAGTTTAAAGCGGATAAATCAAAATAAAGGAGAAAGGGTACGTGGAATATGATCTGATTTAGCTTTGCCATGAGTTGTTTTTGTTGCCAGGCAAAAACTTACCTGCGTAGTTGTTTGACCGAACTAGTATCAAGCAATGATTGAACATTAAAACAGTCAGTAGTTTTTCTAGTTTTACCCAGGACTAATATAAGCACAGATGAAGAACGCAGCCTAACACCACTGGCTATACAAAACTTGCCGACAGAAAAATTCAAAAAGAAAATCGAAAAAATACCGAAGAAATTGTCAAATTTTTTGTAAGTTTGCCATGATTAGAATAATTCATTGTGAGGAAAATACCCAATTGAGACGATTGCCAATGTGTAATTACTATCAAAACTTTCATAGTGGTAACTAAGCTGACAAAAATTGAGCAGGCAATATGGTTCAAACGAAACTTTTTTCGCCAAAAAAAACAACTTTTGATTATAAAACACTTTGAAAGTCAAACGTATAAAAATCCCAAACACATTCATAAAAAAACGTTGCCATCAAGCTTTACAATATAAGGCAACTAAACCGATAATGATAAGCTGAAAACTTTTGTACCGAATAAGCAAAAAATGAGAAAAAATTAAAAATCCGAAACATACCAAAAAAGAGTTGTTAATTTTACAACCAACATTACAAAAACAAATTTCGAATAGAAAGTGTTCAAAGTTTGAAACATGCTCAAAATATGCCGAGAAACAGAGCTCCCGGTCAAATGATTCGAAGTGATTTTGTTAACCAGGAAAAATCTATATTTCGATTTGATAAATCTTGATAATCGTAGTTGAAACAAAAATTGATCTCTTTCACTAATCCCTTAGATATTTACATGACATCGCGAAAAAATTATCCACCTGTTCAAAAAAACTTTCGCCTTTCACCATGAGATCCCAATAATATGACTCAAACAAAGTTTTCTAAACAAAACAACTGCTTGTCCCCAGATTACCTGCAGATTTTCCCTTGGGCAAAGTGACATCCTCCAACCCACTGATGATTCTGGGCGGAGTCTTCGGAGGTACAGTGGGCAGACTACTCATCAGCCCCCCATCCGCAGCACTCTGCACGACCCCCTGCTGCACCACTTTCTCAATCTCCTCCTTGAAGGTGTAGTGCTCCAGTTTGATCCTCAGTTCGCTTCTGACAGTGAGTAAAGAGTCTTGCAGTTCGTTCTTTCGCGTGATCAGATTGTCCAGGTACTTCGGAGGAGGGTCTGAGAATTACACGTTGCTATTATAACTAGCCAGAAGTTTAGTCCGAATTTAAATAAACTTTTAACCTCCCTACCGTTGATTTTGAGCATGCAACATTTCAAATACTAAGAATCGGTTCAAAATTTAATCGAAGATGTCTGTTGAAATCGTCAACTCTATGGTATTAAATAGAGTTATCATTATTAAATTATCATAAAATTGTGAGTTAGTGTTGACAAATATGAGGAAAACCCTGAAAATGTATAATTAAATTTCACATTTATCTCACAAACTTTAAATTGTATTAGCAACTTTTTCAGACAGATCATAACTTTGATTACAAAAAAAATTCATAAAAAACCCTTCCAGTTGCAAAATGATTTTTTTTTCAATAAAGCTCAGCAAAAACAGCTTTGGACATTCGTAGAACGAAACAAAAAGTACTGACTGAATAAAATCTTCGCCAGCTCGTAGACCCGGTCCAACTTAACCACGAAGTGCTTATCCACTCTACTCTCACAATTGTCCAAGTCACGTGACAATTTGTTCACTTTATCCAGAGTTGAAGCTCCTGGAGTCTTTTTGGAGATCTGAATCACGTTTTCTCTGCACTCCACACTTATGGATTCGATTTCGTCCAGAAGAATGTGGTACTCGCGAGCCAGTTCCAGAAGCGACTTGTGCTTTTTGATTAATTTCTGAAGTTCATCCCACTTAAGTTCACACCTCTGTCCGCTTGAATTGTCTCCAGGGCTGCTTGAAGCGTGCATCGATTCCAAGAACGGTTCTATATCTTTTCTCTCAAAATTCTGTACAAAAAAGAAATAGATCGTAAAAGAAAAGAGACTCAAAAGATCCGTACATACATGAATTGTAAGCACCGTTTAAACAAAAGCGAAGCGGAGCTTTGCAACAATAGCAATACAAAAATTTATACCAGAGTTCAGTGTAAGAAATTGCAAATTATTTCGATTTTTTTCGGATGTGAAAACTGCTAATAATTGCGAAAATCAATAGTAGATGCGATCGAGCCATTTTCAAATTCACTGATGATTCATAGATTCATCCCTCTCATTGTGAACTTTTCGACTGAGACCAACGTGGGATTCGAACCCGAGAACTTCCGTTCGAAGCCGTGACCCTTACCCACTCGGCCAAAGCCCACTGTTAATGAAAAAAGATACTCACATTGAGGTCTTGTAGCCACAACTCGAAGTTCTTGATGATCTGCAGTAGAGTGTCCGTTCCATCCCCATACACTCCCTCCATGTCTCCTAATTCATTCCTGAACTGGTCTATGCACTGCAGGATCTACACAACAACAAAAAATACAACTAATTTAGATAATAACTACTCATCGCTACTGAGAAAAAACTGAAAAAGATCGACATACGAATAGATTGCCTAAAGCTGGCATAACTTATTGTTCCGACCATTGAAAATGGGGAGGAACTTTGCATTCGGCTGTATTTTAGTCTTATTTCAAGCGAATTAAACGAGCGAGCAGGATTACATCAGCTTAATTATGCCTAATTTAAGGCCTAAAAACTTAATTTTAAGCATTATTAACAAATCACTCATTTTCTAATATGGCAGTTGTTTTGGGATAAAAACTGAAAATGCGATGAACTAAATTTTTCGGAGTTTTCTTAAAGAATACTATTGCATCACTAACGTAAATGGCTCTGTTAGCAAGAGTCGCATTGCTAGCTCTGGACTGGAGCTCCTCGGAGATCTGGTCACACCACTGGAGCCAGTGTTGATGGTCTAGTTCCAGGTCAGCCAGAATCGCCTTCGTCTCCTTCTTCGCCGGCTGGGCCAACTGGCGACACAAAAGTAAAAGGATTATTAAGAATAACAACAAAAAGGTAGTTCAGGGAATACACAGATCATTAAGATAAAAACTGAGCGAACTTTTGAGTTGAAATCTAAATTCTGAACAAAGAAGTTTTTTACAGCCACCCGCGAAATAAATTATTTATCTCAAAAATAAAGTATTTAACTGAAAACTGGACTTCCTACAAAAACCTTGGTTTGTGAAATGAGTTTGATGTCTCGCGGATCTTAAATTCAACCTGAACTCCATTGATTCAGGTAGAATTACCGAATAAAAATCATAAATTGATACTTATAACTGTTTTAGTCAGCACAAATTGTATGCATCAGAAAATAACAACTTCACTGAAACAACAGAAAATCATCAATCCACAAAAACTTGACGCTGAAAAGAAGAAGCGTTTGCAGAAATTAGCAGCCGTTCAAATCAGCCAAACTCAATCAAGAAGAAAAAGCGTGTTAGTTGCATATCAAGCGTATCGTGGAGATATAAGCTCGTTTAACAACACTTACCTTGCCCTTAAATAGATAAATTAATGACAACAATTAAAACTATGCTCGACTCAGTATTAATCCTACAAAAATCTGAGATAAAAGTTTGTATTGGATCATGCAGGGATGGATCTAAGATTTTCTCGAGGGGACCGTCACAAAAACTGATATCTCAACATAGTACAAAGGGGATGCTTTGGGTCAGCAGGGGGTCGAATTCCTGAGAGGGGAACATCCGCCCCCCTCTAAATCCGTCCCTGGGATCATGATTAGTTTACTAAAAACTTTAGCTTGTGGGATAGAGATTTCCGGATCTAATAGATTTCAAATTCTATATCTTCAAAATCTATACGCTAAAAATTAATGAAGTGCATACATCTTTTTCGTTGAGTAAAACCATCACTGACTTAAGTAACTACTAATTGCATTCCATCTATCTTCATGTACATTAATAAACCACGATGGCAATAGCAGTAATAGCTTTTTCAGTCAACAAATCTAATAGACTACGTTTATCGGTCTACTGAAATCAATCATTTTGGAATTGCTTCTGTATAACTTATTTAAAAACAACATGTGATATTTTTGGTCTTTTTCTGAGGCAATGAAATGTAGATCGCCTTCAAGCAATAAATACTGATCATGGTGAGCCTCGAACCCCAATCGTTCGACTGCGAGGTAGAGACCTTATCCACTTCACTATCTCATGGTAGAATTGTACCTGTTTGTCATTGACTTGGTCCATGAATTGGTGTCCACTCTTCACAGTTCCATCATAAAGTTTCTCCTCCTTCTCTCTCGTGGAGTGTAACACCTCCAACACCTTCCCTACAATCTCTTCATCATCCACACTGCACTTCGCTTTCTCAACCTAAAATCAAAACGGTAAAAAGATAATTATATAATCGTCATTTTTGAACCCCTCTGGCCTTCGAAAACATGACCGCACAGCCAATTTTGTAACTTAGAGCTGAAAGCATTGATTTTTTGAGGTGGTTTTAAAAATACACCAAAAAAAATAATATCGATCATCGAACCTTGTCAGAGAAAAAACGGTAACCAAACGTTTTTTTTTTTTCAAAAATCTTCACACTATTTGACTACACAGAAAAGAAGCGAAGCTTCGCAACACTTGCGATACCACACAAACATTGTAAAATAGCAGACAGAAAAGGAGACGGAGGCAACTAACTTGATGGAAATAATTTTGAAAATTCAAAAAAATAAATCTAGAAAAATTCCATAAAATGGCTCAAATGATCATCAATTTGAAGAAAATATGCCACGGAACACAATCACCGTAGTTATGTAAGCATTCAAAATAATTCACTGAGGGGTAACTAAGCCGTCCAAATTGAAGCAAGTCAAAGAAAATGTTGAGCGTTAAAATTATGAAAGTTGAAGTTTCACGTTCTAATCTCTAAAACACACAAAAGCAGACTAATGTATGCAACAACTGACGCAAACTGAGGTAACCAACTCGATTTAGTAAAAGCCGAACCCATTTAAGCAACAAAAAAACACAAAAATAAAATTTAACACAGAAGCGAAACTTCACTTCGCAAGCTTCGCTTCGCAAACACTAGCGAGAACACGACAAAATGCAGCTCTAGAAAGTGCAGTAGAAATAAGAAATAAGCCTGTGAAAAATAAAAATAAGCCTCGAATTAGCGAAAATTGGCTATTGTCTCGGATTTGATCCTCGATCTGCGACTTGTTGCAATCAAGAGATTTTGAGTCTCACGCACTGACCACGCACACTTAACCACCGACAAACTCAAGTCACGAATAATAAATTGCCGATGCGGTTCAACAAGATTGGCACCAAATACAAATAGACACAATTCTGCAAGTAATAATTTGGAATAACACAAACTGAAGGCATCCACACTAACTTTGCAAGTATCAAATCTCAAAACATAAAGCCACATTATGTATAAATTATGCATTTCAAAAAATTGTGAGATATATTGAATTAGAAAACTTCTGATATTGAGTTTTCATGATTGTTATGTCATTTGAAACGAATCACTTTTTTCGGTTCTTTTGATGAATTGAAAATGCATCAACTGTGTTAACGTTTTACTATACTAATCAAATATCAAAGCACATATGATATTATACTGTTACCACAGCCTACCGATTCAAAAGCGCCACCAAAAGAAGCACTTTTATTTGCGACTTAGATTAGGAAAACAGAAGGCTCTGAATAATACACTAAGCTGACGCTAGTGTATTTGATATAAAAGAAACATATTGATGCTTTGAAGAAAAGCAATGTGTACTTTGGACAGTAAGCCTTCAAAAAATAAGTAGACAAACTATAGACCGAAAAGTCCACACTGAAAAAGAGAAGATCTGACCGAGACTCGAACCCTAAACCTTATGTTCGAAAGCGTGTACTTTACTTCTGGATCAAGTGTAAGGGGCTTGAACGATTTTGAGGTTCCACAAAAAGCAAGGTCAATTTCTTACCTAGAAAAAAATGATTCTAGTTAGAAAAAACTGTCCCGCTGGGAATCGAACCCCAGACCTTGCTCCGAAGTCAAGTTCTTTACCTCAAAACCAAGTGGGAAGGGCATTGGACAGTGACAAGGTTCACACAGAGGCAAAATTGCACTTCGCATACACAAGCAAAAATATGACCGATAACGCTACTGGGAAAAACTGAATGAGTAGAACTTTGAGTCTACAAAATTTCTTAAGCGACGCACACCAATTTTGAGTCTACATAATTGCTAGGTGACGCAAGCCAATTATGACGCATTAGCAGTACCAGTCAATTTGAAAAAAAAAGAAGTTTATCAACTAACAAGCCTCAATTTATAGAGCGGTCGCGTTTTGGCTAGTATACAAAAAAGTTCATTAAAAACATCCGACGCTGCCCAGGTTCGAACCCTCTTATTTTGTTGCGGGTTTCCTTCCCTACCAGTACGCTACAGCTCCATGATAACTTTAAGCTAAAGTGCTATTTGTAATGTAATAGTCTGCGCTAATATCCTTAGCATTGGCTGTACTTAATAGATGGTTATTGATCAAAATGAACACTTTCAAAACGAACACATTTTCTCGCAACAATAATTGCGTCGCAACAAAATTTGCGACTTAGTTTGGAAAAAAAGAGAGTTCATAACTATAACACAAGCTTTGCTTGTGTAAGTAATAAAGCAACGGAAACATACATACAAGGTGAATAACAAAACAAGTTCCGGTCAGGAACCTAACTTGAAACCTCTCGCCTGTAAGGAAAGTTGTTAACGTGTGGGAAAAACGTCTAGTTCCCGATTACAAGTCACTTGTTCTCACAAGTGAAATTATAAAAATTTAACCTCCGAATAAGTGGCGTCAATTGCATCATAGAGATCGCCCAACTTCAATAGAAACTCAACAAGAGTTGTCAAATGCAAATCATACAACTCCATCTTAGTCTGGTAGGACTTGTGCTCTGAAATGAGTAGTTGGGGGATTCTGGCAACTGTCTCGTCCACCTCTCCGTCTACGGGACTCCCACTGGACTTCTTTCTGGCCGACTCTGGTTTCTGTTTGATGTTGAGCATCTCGCTCATTTTCAGCCATCGCTCCACTTCAGAAGTGACCCGCTAAACGATTTTAAAAAAAAAAATTGAAGCTAATGTTTAACTGATGAGTATTCAAAAAGAACTAAATTAAAAACCTTTCTGGAAAATGCAAAAAAACCTGACAGCGATTATGAATAGTAAACATTTCAGAATTACTTCCAGAAAAATCCGTTTCAATCAATTAAATTTAGGCTAGCCAATTTATCGGTGTTTCAAAAAAGATTCAAGATAAATTATCAGGAGCTGGTTCATCATCTGATATGATATCATTTGCAAACATTTGGCAATTTCTTAGAAAAATCATACTTATGATATCATACTTATGACTCTTAAACAGGGGCACAACAGCGGTTCGCCGTGATGAGCTGTACAGCTCTTGTGTTGGTCCTTTCCCCCGTGGATAAATGGTCTTAATCTTAATCTTAACTCGGTGAACATATTATAGAACCCTGAATGGAATACAAGATTACTTTGTATGTGATTTTGATCTCTGCCAGTCTGTCCTTCATGACGTAAGCAGTCTGTCTGCAGTGTTTCGGATCCCCGATGACCAGAGGCGCGAACAGTCTCTTCTGGATCTCCACCATCCAACTCAGACTCTGTACAAAAAGGAGCAGTTCAAAATCAGGTGAACATATTGAAGAAAAATAGCTTCGCATTGGACATTAAAAGACAATAAGACACCCAGCCACTCATGTTATATGTTGGTGTTATGTCCAATTAGTTTTGAAGTTTAGTATTCGGCGGGGGTTTGACGCCTTTTTTCCTCAATGAGCGCGACACCCTCAAGGCTCAAAAATTCCCTCTTTCGTTACTGTTTTACGGCCTAACTTTATTATTTGACCGATGCTAAATTTATTTTCAGATGCCCAACGCGTCCATGTATACTATTCATTCTGGTCCACAATTTTTGGTCCAAAATGGCATTTTTGGCTTGTTTTCTCCGAAATCTCGAAAAGTCAAACTATTCAACCGAAAAACAATCTATCTACCAACTTTTCAAAAAAAAAATTGTAACATTTTTTCCCCTTTCCAACTGAAAAATCATAAATTCAGAAAAATTAGAAGTTCCGTCCCTGATTCAGAAAGCTTCAGAAGCTATCAATCAGACTTCAGATGTACAATTTTCCCTACTCAAATATCATGTTTGCTTCATTTTGTTAATATAAACTTATTTTCCAAGATAAGTTTCGACATTTCAGTCAAAATTACATTTTACATTTCAGACCAAATTAGAATCTGAAATAATGGGCAAAAATATTGTTTGTTCACCTTGTTGGCGTCTTGTTTAAACATATCCCACTGTGAGTGGATGTCATCGGTGAAGGGCATCCTCAACTTCCAAGTGTCCCACAGGTCATTGATGATCCTCCTCCGCTCCTCGAACAACTCCAGTTGCTTCTGAACCAACTCCACCGAACCCTCCACGCTCAACTGGTTGTCCTTCAGGGTCTAAACAACAAGAGAAAAAATCGACAAATGATTTTTCACTCTTCTTGTTTTTTGGTTTCATTTTGGTATAAGCTAACTGGCATGCTCGAAACAAAAATTAGAATAGCATATAGAGAATCAGCACACATTGGAGTTAGGCTATGTTTTTCAGCTTAGTTCCCCAGTAGTCAATTAGAACTACATTTATCTTTGTTTTTTTTTTAAATAAAAAATCGAAATCACAAATCGTGAATGAAAATTTTGAGGAAACAGTACTGATTTTGTTCGATTTATTTAATTTAAAAAAGGACGAATGAAGTTCTGATTGATTATTGGGAAACTAAGCTGAAGTAAAATAGGAACTGAAAAGCTACTTGACACGGCTGTGACAGATCTCGTCCCATTTAAATTCAACAGATTTGGTCCCATTTCAAAGCGTACACAGATTTCGTCCCACAAATTTGGATATATGATGATGGGATGTTGGATATGGTACGAAATCTGTATGGGACGAAATCTGTTAATTAAATAAATAGGACGATAAGTGTGTAATCAATTGACACTAACTTGTGTGTTTGCGTCCTTGAGGAAACATCGGCCCTTGAAGTATACCGACTCATACACTTCGTTCATCTGCCGGAACTTGTCCAGCCAGATACGCCTGGTGCTCTCCAGGGTCCTCGCATCTAGGTTCCAGTTATCCAATTTAAGCAACTCCTCAAGAGTATCCATGAGATTCACCATCTAAACCGAAGATTCAATTGAAACCGAACTTGGAATATATAAATTGACAATTATTAAGCATAAAAGTAGAAGCTAAACGTGTAACGTTCCATTTCTATAAATTTATCAAATCGTGGCGCAAAATTTATCAAATCGTGCCCACTCTACCAAAAACATACTCAATAATGACAATAAGTCAAAGCAAACCTCTGTTGATTGGCTGAGAAATTGCAGAAAGGTTTCAGCCAATGAGATCCTCTGTTCTGTGAACATGGCAAGAGTCCTCCATCTCTGTTTCAACTCCTCGACCTTCCCACGTGCCTCGACTGCCCCGGACTCCTGATTGATCTCCATGGAATCGACAGTGCTTCCGCATGCCTCGACGTCCACGTAACGAGTCTTCAAGTCATCGCGAAGTCTAGAATGGTCGTCGAGAAAATCCGAAGCTGCGTGTCGGGTTGTGCCGAGTACTTTTCGTCGGTTGAGCAGATCCAGTCCGATGTTGACTAGCCAGGTGGTGACAACAGAGAACTTTTCGTCGTACATGACAAAAAGAGAGCTTCTATCTTTGCGGATCTCACTGCAAATGCTGCTAAGATGAGAGCATCTAAATATAAAACAATTGCAACATAATTTTTTCCAAATTCTCTTTCTTCGCGTTTATTATTTAAATTACAAAAGTTACAGAAAAAAAACTTTCAGTGACTATTTCCGGATGAAATTTACAAAAAAATTAAATGATAAACCAGGGTGTAGTTCTTTGAGTTTTAGAGATGAGGAACAAACAAAAAAATATATTAAAATTACCTCTCCTTCAGTTTTTCTACGATGAATCGCACGCCATCCGCTCCTACAGTAGATGCATCCAGGATAATATGACCCTCCCTGATAGCCGGTGTCGTCGACTCCAGAATAGCCTGGGCCAATTTAGACAGTCGTTCTGGCTTCCAGCTCGAACCCAAACTAGTTCCGTCTGGAACCGAAATAGTCTCCTCTATTTGCTCTTCGATTTCTACCAGTCTGTCGAACGCAATTGAAGCGCAGTTCCAGAAATCAATAGTTAACATCAATCGTTTTCGTCGACTTTCAATTTTAGTCAGAATGTCGCGATTCAGACTCTCGATTTCAGAGACACGTTCTCGGATATTGTCGCCGTCCTCGTGGCCAGTCAAAATGAGAGTGTCGACTGACCGCAGTACTCGGGTGATTCGTGCCTCGATAATCTTTGCTTCGTTTGAGAACTCGAGGTGGATTTGGATGAGTTTCTCGGTTTCTGTCGGGTTGTTGCCGAGGTCCACGTGATGCATGTTGTCGGAACCGACAGTCAAGAACCAGTTGGTAATCTGAATTAAATAAAAATATAAACCAAACTAACTTCATTCAGTCATTTTAACAGCTAATTTTAAGCTCCAAACGAACTAGTAAAATAGTTCGATTCGCAAAAGGTGGTCAAAATAAATCATTTTTGCTCACAGTCAATGCTCATTTAGAGGTTTCAACGGGCGAATTGATGAAAGAAGTTGATTAATAATTTAAAATTTTCTGAAGCATAATTCATTGTGATTACGCATTTTTTTTTCGAACGACGTATTTTAATGATGCCTAAATACAGTAGCGGATTTAGGGGAGGGGGACAGGGGGCGGAGGCCCCTTACCGATTGCGATTCGACCCCCCTGCCGACCCAAAGGGTCCCCTTTGTACTTATTTTGAGATATCCATTTTTGTTGACGGACCCTAAAAATTTCTAAAGGCGCCTTTGGCGCCAATATATACTAATTTTGAGGGGGAGCGCGCGCCAAAAAAACGCAACTTCTTGGTCAAAATTTTCCAAAAAGTGCCTAAAAACGCCGTTTTTACCTTTTTTTTTAAAAATTGCCTTTGCTATAATTAGGGTCTTTATAGTGAGTTGGAAAATCAATTTGGTCGACCTAAAAAAAAAATCGACAAAATTTTCAACATTTTTTTTTGAAAATCCGCCACCCCCTCGAGAAACTCCTAGATCCGCGCCAGCCTAAATATATTAAATTTTTAATCAGATATCTAAATTTCTAATACTTTGAGCGCCAGATTTGAAATTGATTATTGACCTAATGAATCTTAGCTCACCTGTTGGATCTCGGAGTCCAGTTGGAATATCAGCAGACTCTGCTCCAGTCTGATCTTCCTCTGCAGCCAGAACTCCTCCAAAAGACTCCTCCTGTCATGCAGATCTGCCAGAGTCTTCTCAACTCCTGCACTTGTCGACACAGCACTGGGTCCATGGTTCTCCAGATTCCTCCCGATCTCGACTATTTTATCCAGCAATCCCTGGCCACTTTGGATTGAATTCATAGAATGCTCGGCTGTTGCTTTCTTCATGTTCTGATGTTCTTCGATCAAAACTTGAACTTGCTCTATGTTATCGGCAATTAGCGTACTCTGGCATACAGAGAAGGCGTAGTCCAGATGTTGGTTGTACTCCTCGCAACTCCGGTAGAAAGTGATGACCAGTTCTAAGAGGATTCTCCGTTCCTCCATCCGCATCATGAGTTCCTTCCAGGCGTCCTTGAGTGAAATGGCCATGGCCTGGTACACTTGACTTTGACTCTCGTCTGTCGATTCCACCATCGTGTCCGCTTTCCGAAGCACTTCTCTGATCTCCTCGCGTCGATTCTTAAATTTAATTTTGGTATAAAAAATCGCACATTACTCTTATTTTCAATAAACTGACGCGCACTGATGCTGCGAACACCTGCTTTGAAAAGACAGGAGAAGACCTGGGAACAGCATATTTGCGCGTTTCAGGCCCTGAAAACATCCAGTACCCAGATGCAATGCATCGTACTAGAAAAACAAGAAAATTCCAAGTTTGAATCATAGAAAAAATGTCAATTTTTAATTTAGTTTTTAGCATTGAATATGAAGTTTTGGCAATCTTTCACTACAAAAAGTATAATATTAAATGTTTTAAAAACTTCATCGTCGATGCCCAAAAGTAGATTTTTTTTGAGTTTCTGACCTCGATCTTTTCCATGAATTGCTGATGTACTTCGTAGAGATCCAAGGCCTCAATGAGGGTGTGTCCAATCTCCAACATCGCTGGCACCATTTCAGTGATCCGGATTCGCACCCAGTCACACGCCTAAGAACAAATCAAGAAAACTACAGCAAACTTATCTCGAAAAGCTCTGATTGGCAAGCAGTTAAAAATTTACCACAAATTGCAAATACTCCGTTTATTGAAGTGATAAAGCGATATGATGTTCAAAAGGATGGTCATCGCATAGGATGTTCAACTAATGCGATCCTTTAATGAAACTAGCTCAACCATCCAAAACTGTCAGAATAATTTAAAAAACAAAAAGACTGCCTTAAAATAAACAATTTTAGAGCTAGACGATCACTTATTGTTGACCACAAATTTTCAAAATTATACAATAAGTCAAAGCCACAAATGAATTTCAAATGTATTGCAAAATTATAAAAATTACTCAACACCTGTGATCATTCTTGATACGCTTTTGGGGCTTCAAAACATCCAATATGGACTAATTTAAGTGTTTAAAATTTTGTGAAATTAGAAAAAAAATTTTGATGTTCAAAGGTCAACGCGCATTACTTCAGCACGAAGATTTAATTCGCACTAAATATTATTTTAACTTGAAGTGAACCAACCTGATAAACCTCAGTACTGCCTGACAAAAACTTAAATTATACACAGAGGCGAAGCAGAGCTTTGCACCAAATCTGATACAACACAAACAGCGTGACTAAATAGCAGCAAAAAACTGAAAATGTCATGAAAAGCGAGATCTAGCAAAACTTTGATATCATCATCTCTACTAAAGTTCACATGTTTAGAAAAAAAAAACAAGACAAATAGGACAATGGAAAGTCAAGACAAATAGGACAATGGAAACTAAGTGGTAACAAAGCCGACAATTTTTGAGCAGGCACCCGTTGAGCCAAAAATGTTTTGACAGAATTTAGGAATTTTCAAAAAAAACCACTATAAAACTTACACGCATAGGAAACTTGTTTCGTTCGTCAAACGATGCAATCTAATGTAACCACGCCGATTAGCTATAAACCGAATAAATTTTAAAGCCGAGTAAACAAAAAACTACCAAGAAAAACGGAAAAAAATAGACCGAACCGGAGTTGGTAAATTTAAAACCTAAAAAGCAAATATTGAGTGTGAAGGGTATTTGAAATGCAAAAATGCTCAAATTATGTCTGTTGGTTGATGAAAGTGCAGATTTGAGTAAATGATTCAGTGATTTTGTCTGACAAATTGCTCACAAAGTTTTGTTTGACAGTCTATGTTCCAAATTGATATCGCTTGCTAATCGCGATCACAATCAACGCATACATAATAAGTCAGTGCACTAAGGGATGGGGCAAAAAAAAATGAAAAACATTTTAATTCCGCAAAAATTTTTCAACTAATTTACCTCCACCAATGGGGCTTCAGAGACCAAACCAAAAAAATAAACAGACGGAGAATAGTCGAAAAAGCAGAAAACTTCTAGTTTGAAAAAAAATAGGCCCCAGTCGGATTCTAACCAAATCCTTCGTCGTCTTAAGCAGGCGTGTTACCTCTACGCCAGATGCGCTGGGTGGTTGATTGATTTTGAATTCAATATGAAGCATCTGCAAAATCTTGTGAAAAAAGTTGTTAACGGGAAAAAAATTGTTGTATCCGGTTGCTTATCGCAATGGTAAATACTCAGCACTTGATATTGGCTGTCGGGGTGGAGAAACCGGCTAAAATTGTAACATAAATATTTTTGTCAAACTTTATCTGATGTTTGTAAGTTTATATTGGAAAAAAAAACATTTAACAATTACTTTTGCCATAGAAGCAATATTTTGAAAATTATCTTATGAGAAATCATTTTGACCATAGAGGCAATGAGAGGCAACTAAGCCGGCTGAATCATTTACAATTTACAGGAAAGAAGAAATAAATTAAATATAGTAAGAATTGCTTACGCCTGAAGAAATTCCATGCTGTGGCAAATAAGCCGACAAAAAATTCGCAGACAAAACGATAGTTCGACAATTGAATTAAACACCGGAATTACACACCTAACGAGCAAAATTAGTAGCCGGAAATGCATTCTTCGAATAGAGTCTTTAGCGAGGAAAAGATCCAAAACTCCGCTGGAATAACCTCTCTAATCACAAGACTAAATGAAGAAATACACTACGCTCACAAGCTCGCAAGTGTAATCATAGAACTTCAAATCAAACATCTTTTTGCATTTTTAAAAACTATTTTGAGTTTGGAGTCTCGAGTTACCTCCGTGGGTGCTCTGAGAATAGCGAGCACTATTCGGTGTCTGTTCTCACTCCCGATCGCGATTGTTCCGACTGTGGTGGCCAGCGGTTCTCCCGACTCACCCGAGAGTCGATCGAACTGCTCAGTGTATACATAACCCTCACGTGTTTTGTACGTGTGCATTATTCAGGTATAAAAGCTGTAATTTATAACGATAACTTTTCTTCAAATTAACCAGATAATGTCTTAATTCCAGTGACTTGGTAAGTAAAAGTAATACAAAACCTCAAATTTTCAATAAAAATTTAGAAAAAAACTCAAAAATTTTCAAGTCAATTGATAATTTTTTTTGAAACACCAGAACAGCCAATAATTAATAAATGAAACGTGAATATTTGGAGCGCAGAGGGTTTAACTACAATACTAAAATAACTACCAAGTTAGTACTCGCATAGCTATTTATGTGTCATTGTGACGTGTGAAACAATTCTGTTCTGTGGAATTCTACTGAAGAAATAAGCGTGAATTCTGCAACTGCAACATGAAATATATTTATACCAAGTTATGACCAGGAAAGAGTGTAAACATTTCAAACTGTGCTGGCACCAGAAAACTTTGGGTTGTTGCTTCCAAATTGAGTTTCTTTTGAGTTACAAAAATTAAGTTCCTTGGCCAACTTGAATTTAACGAAAGCCGAATTATTCATTTCGCGCTTCTATATATTAAGTCGTCAAGAATATTCCAAAATTTAAATAAAATTTTCGAATTTTCGCAAAAAAATCTAAGAGCGAGAAAAATGGAGGAACGTGATAACTTGAATTATAATTACTAATCTTTAGGTTATTTTACACGGTTCTTAAAGCCCACTTAATCCATGTTCAAACCCACTCCTTATCTCGAAGGGGAAATCATTCCAGGTTTTTGTAATTGAAGTAGCATTAAATGTAAGTTAGTTCCGTTTAACACAAGTTAAAATAAGACATAAATAAGACTCGTTTCTCTAAATCCACGCGGTCAAAGGATTTCTTACGCAGAACGAATTCTTGGGAACTCAATTTTGATCGCTCAAATGATATTGATTCGATAATTCACTTAGAACTTTGTTTAAACTTAGCCGCTGTGGTTTATGAGTATCAAACGCACAATAAATCTGAAACCGGTTGAAAATAAATGCCAAAAGCAATAATAAAACCTGCGTTCGCTAAAGTCAGTTTCTTACTCTCATACAACATGGTACAACTCGTTAAATGTGCAGAATACGTGGTCTTATTACCACACACACCTTGTGTTTGTTTTTGTCATGATTAACGTTTTTCGCTGTGTACAGAGGAAATCGGTTTAATCTGAGCAGCTTTAATTGCGGTCGCGCTTTGGCGTGAAGAAAGAGATCAATTTTCAAGTTGATTGACTTTATTGGCAAAAAAAATTCGAGAAATTGAAAAAGAAAAGTACAAATGAAAGAAAAATCATATCATAAAACTCAGAGGCGAAGCAGACCCGCACTTACAAAAAATCTTTTGGATCGATTTAAATCCACTCAAATCTATTGAAAATGTAACATTTAGGAGCTGAATTAGATCTTACCCGCACTGGAGTTCCATGGATAAAAATCGATTATATTGTCATTTTATAGTCAGTATCTATAAAATTACAAAAATAATCGATTATAATCCATCAAAAATGGATTATAATCCTAGTGTTTTTTACATCAATATAATCCATTATAATAGATTAAAATCGATTATAATGTATTTTTTGAGAACAAATTATGAGTTTTTTGTCAAGGTTATCTCATTTCCTGTTTCGTGCAGTTGCTACGTATTACGTTTCATAAATTCTTACTTTTCGCATTAAGTTTTCTCTACTTTTTCTATACTACGTAAGCTCCATCGCCTCTTTTAACAAACCCCTTCCCCAGTTTACCCCCCCCCCCCCCTTAAATTTTACCCCTCGTCTTCTCCCCCGCCCAGTTTAGCCCCTCTTCAGTTTACCCCTTATCTTAGTTTAACCCCCCCCCCCCGCTTACGATTTGAAAATACGCATTTTGACTTGTGACGAAACTCACCTCAATCATGACCTGGAAGAACGAGTATGCCTCCTTGTGGCTGACGAAGCTCGAATATGATTGGTCAATGAAGTTCTTCATCTCAGTCAGGGAATCCAATTGCGATCTGAGCTTGAGAACCTCTTCATTGGAGAACACGCTGCCGTTGCTGAAATCAGTTTACGAATGAAAACATTCATTTTGACTACATTCATTTTGCAATTGTTTTGAAACATTAGATGACAAAACTGTAAAAACATTTTAGCCCAAAAAGACCCGAATAGCTTCCCTTTAGTACTAAGTCTTTTTTTAAAAATATCAGACCCGTACGCCTAACATGCGGGTATTTTAGCAAAAACAATTTTGAAACCAAAATATAACCAGTTACCCTCACGTAACTAACGTTTGCTTCATCATCATCCTTTCCACAAAAGTACTGGTCAATATTTCAGTCTGCTCGTAAGAGATCTCAACGCTGCTCTTGAACTCGTAGTTTCGATTCAACGTCGTTCGTATCTGCTCTTCGTCACCACGACTCGAAACATCTTTGAGCTCCTTGAACAACTTTTCGACCAGTTTCCAGTTTTGAACCATCAGTAGCCAGCAGATTTCCACCACATGGTCTTCGCTTCCATTTTCAGCAAACTGGACAAAGAAGTTTTTCCATGTAGCTGCCAGATCTTCTTTGAGGTCCTCAACTGGCTCCTGAGATAGTTTCAAGTCGGATCGAATGACGGAAATTCTCAGAACTTGCTCCATACCCTCATTGTACAAATCCTGCAAGCAAAACTCAAATTTATCAATGAAAAAATATTTGGATCAAGTTAACATCTTCCCTTTAAATAGACCAAGTTGAAATCTTTTACCCTAGCTTTCGCTGAATTTGAATTAAAAATGCTCAGAGCTGCGTGTATAAGGCTTGATTCTGATTGGCTTAAAATCCCAACGCATAACCACGTTACAATCTTACCCCATAAACTGTTTTGTTGAGGTGGATGTTAACTTGGTCTAAATATTTTAAGTATATGAGATGCATGAAAAAAGACAAAAATCAGGAGCGCTAAGAGAAAAGTTTAGCGTTTTGTGATGGGAAATCATACTTTTGCAATTAAAACAAACCATCTCCAAAGTTTTTTTCTTTAAATTTATAGCGATTGGTGGAACTAAAAAACTATGTAAACATATAAGAAAGTTAGCGCATCAGACGTAATCGAAAAAAGGTGAATGACAAGGAGACGGGTTTGATCTAGACAGTGAACTTAAAAACGAGCTAAACAAACAAAATGAAGGCATTTTGGCCGGAAACAATGAATTGTTTCACAACTTGTCTGCCCTTAAATCGAACAAAAACAAAAATAACTGCTGTAACAAATTGAGATTCCGTTTTCGGCTAAAAAATTTCTTCTAATTGGATGCCTTGAACCTTCTTTGTTTGTATTACTGTTTCTCATTATTGTCTATTAAGTTCATTGTCTGGACCAGACCCGTCTTCTTGTCAGTCGCCTCGAAAACAAATCTGTATAAAAATGAAGGACAATATATTCGAAAAAACCGAAAAATTATACAATTTGTTTTATTATTGATTGGACTGAGATACTTTGATTTGAAAAACCTTTGAATTTGAGCTTTTTATCATTGTACTGCTGTTTGAAACAAATAACTTTTTTTCGGTTTATTTGATGGATTTAAAATGCATCAGCTGTGTTAACTTTTTACTTATCGAATGTCGAAGCGCATGCTATCAAAAAGCTGTAAAAGTGCCCCAAAAATGGCAACAATATTTCTTGCGACATAGGTTGGAGAAAAGAAAGTTCGTACTAATACACTTTGCTTCGCCATAAAAGTTTTTTTAAAAAAATGAAAAATTCTTATGCGAAAAAAATTTGAAAAATGTTTACAATTTGCAATTTTTTTCCATTTTCTTTTTGAAAGTCATGTTTGAAAAAAAAAACAGTGGTCGATGTTCGTATCTCATTACAACACGCGCAAAAATAGACACCAATTTTTAGAAAAAAAATTTGTAGTTTTTTTTGAATTTGGTCGGAACCTTTTTTATGAATTTGGTCGGCACAGCAACTCTATATTCTTGTTTTTCACCAGTGGTTTTTTGCCGGTCACCTCGTTGTTTTTGGTGCATTTTACTTAATTTATTTGATTGAGTATGAGCAACAAAGAGAAATGAATATATTCTTTGTTTTCTGAAAAAAAAAACGAATCTAAATCCTGAGTCCGGATCTTGATAACTATTCTCCTTTTTTGATTAAAAATGATAGGAGAAGGCCTGGAACAGCAGATATGTGCGTTTCAAGCCCCTTTTTGAAACGTTACGGGAACTCGTTACCAGACACAGAATTTGTTTATGCTGAATCCTTGGTTAGTCCGTACAATTTTTTTTAACTTGGTAACATAGGGGGATAGTTAACAAGATCCCAGAGTCATCCACGTCAAAATAAACGATGCAACAATAGACCTGTCAGAGCACAAGAATCTTATTTAGCTAACCCGTGCTTTTGGTTCTTTGATTGCAAATGATGATCTAAAGTTAGACGTCGCATTCGCAATGTCGTCTTGCAAAGTTTGCGCCAGATACCCGAAGTTCTCTGCAATCTCGTCGATGATAGAGCGAACACTATCTTCGAGGCCAAGCAGATCTAAGTATTGCGTAATCCTCGTTTTCCATAACTCGTGCGATGATGTAACATTTTCTCTTTGATCTGCAGCCGCCATCAGATAGTCTTTGATCATATTTCGCGAAGTTGCTGTTTCGGGACTCTGCTCCTTCAAATTTCCTAACAAGGCAAGAATTGTGTCTCCGAGGTTTTCCAGCTGCATGAAGGAACTTTCTAAGTTTGAGTTTAATGGGTCGCCTTTGGCCAAAAGCTGTTCACTGTCTTGTTTGGACATTTTGTCGTCAACGTCTTCTTTGCACGCATTTTCCAGCTTTTGTAAAGCAGATTGCACCTGAGAAAAGAAGAACTTAATAAGAAAACAAAATTAAAATGAGTTTACATTATAAAACCTAGCGCATATAACCTAATAGAACTTTTTCTATGCTCATGTGAAAACACATGAACAGGTGTTTAAAATGTAGCAATGCTCGAAGCTTTTCTCGGTTGGTGGAGTGAAACATATTTGAAAATGATTTAGTGGTTCTGTTAGACAAGTTGTTTACAGGGAAAAAAGTATAATTTCTGTTTGATAACATAATTAGAAAAAAAAACCACAATGAGTTTAGAGGCAGACTCATTGCATTTACAAGTCGATATATCAAAACACACGAAACCGAGCTTCGCAACATTTACTATCCAAAAACCTGTAGCGGAAAAACTGGGTTAAAGACTTACTGTAAGGTAACTAACTGCGACATATTTAGTTTTTTTTTAATTGAAACTCATAATTTGGTCATTTTCTATCACGTATGATTCATAAAAGCTCGCTTGAAAAACTGAAACCAGGCTAATGAAAACTTTGCGAAGAGAGAAGAAAATCTGAACTTTCTTTACGCTATAGTACTGGCATATATATATTTTTTCAAACTATTGCAACCAGAAAAAAATCAAAAAATGACAAGATTTTCGAATGATGCATCGGATTTATAGTTCGGTATATCGAAAATTAACCCTGGATAAGCTTGGTAAGAAACTGTATAAAATCTAGCTCTTGGTTTAAAAAAGAACTTAATGACTAGATAAATGAAATCGGAAACGGTTTATCTCAGAAAAAAAATTAACAGAGGAAAGCAGCAGAGAAAACCAAAGCTGCCAATAAAACTGCAAAAAAATGCGAGAAAAAAACAGCGAAACAGGAACCACTTCTTAACGTTTCTCCAGATTATTTTTAGACAAATGAGCTTGTAAGCCTAGTGATATAAGATCAGTCAAATTTTTCTATAAATACTCACAATGTCTATTTCAAAATTCAGCTGTTGGTTGAACAACATAATTAATCCGACCATTTGAAAAATGCGGAAAAACTCTGTATTCGGGTGTGTTTTATTTTTTTTGTTTTCCACGCAAAATCAGGCCCCTCAAATAATCATCAAAATGAGTAAAATTATATATCATATTAAAGCCCTCTCAACCATGATTCGAATGATACTTTTAAAAGTTCAAATAAATCGAGTCGAGAAAAACCGTTTGAAATTTTGATTTTTGGTCTAAGTTCCAGCTAATAAGGTCAGCGTGCTTACAATAGTCTACTTAAGCTTAATTTTAAACAGAAAAAACGACACTTATGTGAAACAAATTCTCTTGTTAAGACCATGGTTGGAATAATTTGTGCTATTTGTAACCGGCTATCCTTGTTAAGTATATCCATTTTCTTGAAAAAATCCGATTCTAAAAAACTTGGCGAGCTCAACCAACTGCAACGTGGTATACTCAAATACCTATTAGGTATCTACAAAAATGATTACAATATTAAGAAGAAGGATAGCCAGTTACTGTGCAAGTAGCACAGAATGTTCCGACCAGTCTTAAAAAAGTACAAAAAAGTTTTTTTCACAAGTTGGTGTCGTTTCTTTTCTGCATGTTGTGATAACAAAACTTTCAGCGAAAAAATAGACTTTAGGCATAATTGAGATTAATTATAAAATAGGTCAATTGGAAAACATATTTTGAACAAAAATCAACAGAAAAACGAAAAAAAAATTCAAAAAATTAAAAAAAAAATTTCGAATTTTTTCTGCAATGTTTTTTGTTTTTGAATTTTGAAGTTTTTGATTCCCAAAATTGCGCTCAAAACTCCATAAACTACATTTATTTGAAAAAAACTAAGTTTTCACGGCTGAAATTAAGCTTAAAAAAGCAATTGTAAGCATATGCGTTCACCTTATTAGCTCGAACCGTGATAAAATCAAAAACTTCAAACCGGTTTTTCTCGACACTGTGAAAAAAACTCAAAATTTTTAAATGTCGTTCGAATCACGACTGAAAGGGCTTTAATATGATAACCCAGTCAGATTATTATTTGTGGTTCCTGATTTTGCGTGGAAAACAAAAAGCAAAAAAAACTAAACACTCCCGAATACAAAATTCCACCCCATTTTCAATGGTCGGAACAATAAAAGTTATGATTGACTCATGGGATTTATAAATCGATACATCGAAGCTTGATTTGTTGATAGGCTTGATGAAAAACTGGTATAAAATTTGGCTCTTATTCCTTTCTTGGTGAACTACTGTCTTAAAAATGAAAACATCGAAAAAGATTAATCTCAGAAAACGAATTTAACAGTGGCAAGCTGCAAACGGCAAAAAAGAGACACAAAAACGGCAAAAATCAAACAAATATATATTTAAAAAAAGCAAATCAAGATTTCATAGGCGCTAGACCATTTTATATTGTTTTCCAGATAGAGCGTCTTTAGAAAATTGAGCTTGCAAGCGTAGCGTTACAAGACCAGTCAATCTTACCAATGCAATTTACACATTTCTGTTCAAAATTCTCTAGTTGGTTAAACAATATATTTAGCTATATCCGTTTTTATTGAAGTTCATTTGTTGTGGCCAGATATTTTGAAAAATACGCATTTTTCAGTGAAAGTCAAATACTCAGTTTGGTGAAAGTCAAATACTCACCAAATTTATTTGCGAGTTAAGTTAGAAAAAAATATATTCGTAATAATACACTTCGCTTGGCTTGTGTAAAGAGTAACAACAAAAAAATGCTGAATTCTGAAACGAACTTAATCAGGAGTTATGCGAGTGTCCACTGCGTGTAAGGTAAAAAACAACAAATTTGATAGTGAAACTGACTGTCTTTTTCTGCTTGTGAAACTGGAGTGTAGTGTGTAGTAGCTTCTCTCTATTCTTAGCTCTGCCCAGTGTCTGGCTATAAGCATTCGACAGATCAGAGGCCAGCTGGTCCACCTTCTCCCCCCTGTAGCCCTCTCTCTTCAGTTGTTCACACTGTGACGTCATCTTTTCGTACCACTCAAAGTACTTCTGAAGAGAGAAAATGGTATTAAACACAGAGGCGAAGCGGGTCTTCACGCAATTTGAGATGAAAATTTTAGCTATATCAAATAATAATTGATATCAGGTTCAAGACCAGCCATGATTAAACCAATCTCTTTTGTCTTTTGAAATCATGAAAATTATTTGACAAAGTCCAAGCGCAAGCGAAAAAATCAATTGTGAAAAAAAAATCGGATTTTTTTCTCAAAATTTTATCATTTTAGATAATTTTCATAAAATGCTCTATTCTTGGCTTTCTTTGGACTTGGAGTGAAATGAAAAAAGAAAACAAAAACTTTTCTTAATTCGTAGAAAAACCGTTTTTTATTAACAGATAGTTTGGGCGAAATTTCTTGAAAGTCAATTACCCGAATACTGCAGGAATACATCAAAATTACAGGAATTTATCAAAATTACTCAAAAATTGTAAAATTTGCTAAAATCAGTAAAAGTCTATGCCGTGGAAACCAAGCTCACAAAAGAGCAGACAAACGATAGCCCAAAAACTAAAAACTTCGAAGCACAGATTCAATTGACCTGGATGCTTTTGATGAGAGCCTCATTTCGAGTGTGTAGAGATTGCGTCTCCTGCTCATTTTTCCCGATGTCATCCACAACTCCAGCGAACAGCCTCCCGCCCTCGTTTCTGCTCCAGTCGATAAACTGAAACAAAAGATCAATTTTATTTGAACGATAAAAAAACGGCAAACGCCAATTGAGGGTGAAAAACACGAATTCTTGGTCTGTCCTAGACATTTGATGAATGCAATTGGCTGAATTATCCTTTATACTTTAAATACAAACAGCAAAACAGTCGCATGTTGAGCCATCGCCTTTTTAAAAATCATCAGTGTTCTAAAATGATTCACCAGAAAACAGATATCAGTGATCTTCTCTACAAGTTTTTTTTTTAAATCTATAAAAAATCTAAAAGAGGTGCATGCTTTTTCATCTGACCTTCATGACATCCTGAATGAGTTGTTCGAGTAGTTCCCTCTTTTCGGACATCTTGGATCCAGGAGCTGCGTCTCGCTCAGACTCCGTGCCAACGTTCACAACACTTCCAGATTTCCCTGGGTCAGGGGCAGGTTTCTCTGGTCTGAAAGGAGCCAGTCGCGTGAGATATGACTCAACAGTTAGTCGCATGTCTCGCTGGTCTGTCGATTCGGGCTGGTAGGTGTGGAGGGATTTGGGGTCGGGCAAGTTCACCAATCGCTTGACAAGCTCCTCTCCTGAAAGAACGGCAAATCAGTAAAAGAGTAAAAGATTGCATCTCTACAAGAACCTATGAACACCCACCCAAAGACGTCCTCTTTCGGTACTATTTTAAAGCCTCCATTTGTTTCTGACCAACCCTAAATCTTTTCCAAAGGCGCATTTGGCGCAATTATCAATTAAATTTGATGATGGCTGCACGCCCAAAAAACGCGACTTTTTGGTGAAAACCTTCCAAAAAAAGCCTAAAAAGTCTTTTTCGGGGGAGGGGGGTGTTCCTTCAAAAATTTGTCTGCTGTTTCTTCGAAAATTTTGTCTGAATAGTGATTTAGACAGCTCGGATAATCAGATTGGTTGACATAAAAAAAGATTGACATAATTTTCAAATTTTAAAAAACCATCCCCTCGAGAAAATGCTAGACCCGCCCCTTTGATAAACGGTAGGTTTTCTAAAAACGACTCATTCGCTGCAACTTCAACTCAAGATTTAAAAAAATTGGATTGCCTTAATTTCCTTGCAACACAGTCAACGTGATCCATGTTATCAGATTATTTTACTTTTCTTGAATTCAATCTAAAAGGCAAACAAATATTTGGCTGATACAGTGTAATATTTATGAATCATGTGATGTTATTGTGGTTATGACAACAAAAACAAGTCAAATTAAAATTCAAAGCAAAATACATTTAAATTTTTACCAAAAATTATTGAGATCAAAGCAAAGCATTAATATAAAATAAATTTTACCTTAACATATTGAAAAGAAATCAACTTTCAATTCTACATTATTATTACGGTGTCCTTCAATTTAACAACTTCCAATTTAACTATTTTTCTACTTCTCAATTATTTTTTGAGAACATTTTAATAAATGTTTCCAGTTATGCCTCAAAATCAGACGAACATCAAGCGGACTCCTAAGAAACAACTTTATGCCAAGACCAGTTCGAACCCAGCTCTGTGGACGAGCAAGGGAGTCATCGAGTGGAACGAAATCTCTACTCCTAGGTCAATTAATAGCAAACCCAAACCGAGAGAGAAACAGAGGCAAGCGATAGATTACAACATTAAGTTCATGAACAACTCTCTAAGATGGTTCTTAGCCACTCTTAAGTGGTTAAGGTCTACGGTCGAAAGGTCAATGGTTCGAGGCCCACCATGATCCGTGCTCGTTATTTAAGCGTGAGGCAACATTACCCAGCCTAGAAAATATGCATGTGACTCTTAATTTATGTCTATGTTGGGTTGAAACAAGTAGAAAACAATCTTTAAAATTAATCCATGTCGGTCAGGGGCGGATCTAGGATTTTCTCGAGGGGGGCGGGATTTTCAAAAAATTTTCGAAAATTTAGACGACCTTTTTTTTTAGGTCGACCAAATTGATTTTCCGAGCTCTCCTAAAGCAGTATAAAAACGCTGTTTTGGCCAAATCTTTTGCGCCGCAGGCAAATTTTTGAAAAAACAGGTAAAAAAAGCCATTTTTGGGTCTTCTTGGAAAATTCTGACAAAAAATCGCGTTTTTTTTGGGCGCGCGCTCCCCCTCAAAGTTAGTATATATTGGCGCCAAAGGCGCCTTTAGAAAAATTTTAGGGTCTGTCGGCCAAAAATGGATTTCTTAAAAAGTACCAAAGGGGGACCCTATGGTTCGGCAGGGGTCGAATACCTGACGGGGGGCGTCCGCCCCCCCCCCTAAATCCGCCCCTGATGTCGGTTATAATAAACTGCACTGAGAGATCCTTCAGTGCTGTGAAATTCCAGTTTAAAGTTTACAGGATCAATTGGGCTCTTTTTCCTTTCCCCCTCGCCCACCTCACATGATCATCAATTTTATGGTGTAACGAGGGGTTTTACAAGTTAAGGTATGAAGATCAAATATGTTTGCCATGGCCTTAGTAGTCCGTCATGTCAATTTTCATAACAATCGAACAATGTGAACAAAACTTTTATCGTAAAACTTTGCAGGTGGGGGAAACGAAAAAACAGCCATCAATTGTTGAGCCAAAAATTGATTATTTTTTATAGGATTATTAGTACTTGTATTGAAAAAATTGTAATCTATGGCCAATAGGCAAAGGTCAGTTGACCTCACAGACGGGTCAAATGTGTACACGATGCAACAAAACAACCCGGAGACATCGAGTAAGAAAAAAGCACATCATCGAAGTAGTCACCAGCTGTACTCGCAGACAGAAAGTCCAAACTGGGGAAACCAAGGAGTGAAGGGGATCCAGGGTAGCGAGAAGCACTCGAAACACATCACTCCTGTCCGAAAAGGTGGGAACACATTATCACATTGTATTTCGTTATACACAAAAAAGGGTAATGTTCCTAAATTGACCAATATCATCTATCATTTGTACTTCTAAGATCAAGATATGCCCATTCATAAATCGATATTTTGTGTTATGAAACGATATAAATGGGCTCTAGGCGGGTCTCAAAAGGTGAATTTTTAGATCAAAATTGACGCTAAATTCACTGCATGTTATGTCCCTCTGTCTAATGAGTGCTTGAACAATGTCTAAATTTGAATTTTTAAAAAAGCATTCATAATTTGAACCACCAGATACAATCATTTGTTATTAATCTGAATGATCTTTGAGAATTAATTATTAAACTGATCAAGAATATATGCTTTAATTGATGACCAGTTCAAGTTGTAAGCTGATTTGTTTAAGGCACTCCCAAAAGCCTCCAATTGAGTTATTCCAAGCACGACGAAACAATAATGAACCACGTTGCCACCAAGCGAAACTCAATCGAGAACCTGTCTCAGAGTAGCGTCGACCACAAATACGTCGGCTCAGTGCACCTCAAAAAAGAGAAAGATGAATCATCATCTCAAACTATGGTCCGAAACTTCGACGTATCAATTTGGCGAAGCTGTGAAATAGTCGAAATGGTCGGAACTCCGTCTGCAAAGTATCTCAAAAACCAAACTCTGGCTGTGACCATCTCTTGTTGGAACTATCTGTTTTCAAACGCTGGGAAAGGATTCGGCAAGCCAGTGTCTTGGCGAATGCTGGAAAGAATTCTCACAGATAAAGACGTCTTGGATTTCACAGTTAATAACTCGACTGTGAATGACATTTTGGTACAGTGGATCTTCACACTGAATGATAAATTCGGCACCAAGATTAATGCGTTTATGTTTTACAAACCGGTGGGGCGAAACAGTACAAATTTGACAGGGGGCGAGGCACTGACAATCTTGCAGAATGAGTTGAACCATAAAAACACCTTGTTTATATACCACGCACACGATGCTCTCCTGATTCCCGTGGGATACCAAGTCACCAATGGTAAGTTAAACGGACGTCGTTTCGCCCCCAAAATTATGGAACAAAACTATGGCTTAATATTTTTTGTCTCGAGATTTTCAATTTTTTAATGAATTTCGAAAAAAAACAGGTCATTGATACTATGGTCATATTGAGGCCCTCTCAGCCTTAAGTTTGATTTCGAAAAAAAAAAATTCAGCAAAACGTTAACTTTTTCTCCATTTTACTCATGAGACCTTCCAGGCGATTATGATAATGAGCTGACCAATTAAATTTAATCTTTGAAAAATGATAGTTGAAAAATTCTTTACGTGAGAAAGAGTTTGAAATGATATCAGGATACGTCCTAACTTACCACAATTGAACAAAACTCAAACGTATCACATTCATAGTCCTAGCCCTGTTGAATTTAATTGACCTTTAGGTGCGCTTTTGGGTCGTAACGAGGAAGTGACTGTGGTGGTGATGTTTGACCCCTGTACAGGTCAACTGCTCTCCATTCCATGGGTGGACATTATCACTGACCTTGAGTGCCAACTGCCATACTATTACGACGTCAAGGTATAAAAAATACGCATGTTTCCTTTTACAGCCTCCAGTCGATTTACAGAAAAATATGGCGCCATCTTAATATGAAATTTGTACTAGATGGGTTGTATTTTGCTGGGGGGCTAAAAAGGGAAAGAGCCGAAAAGTCTTCATCTGAAGTGGTTCCGTATTATGTGTTGCTGTCGGAATAAAGTTGTCCGATAGCATTCAGTTTCATATAGCTCACGTTAGTTTGAACTTGATTGTAGCAACCAAAACAAAACTCCTTGTACACGAGTGGCAATAAAGACCAGGGGTGTAGGTTCTCCAACTATGAGTTTTAAAAAAATCAGTGGTTTGAAGTCCACGACAACCAGTGCCAATCGCTTGCAAGTGAAGCGTCAACTCGCAAACCAATGTTTCAAATCTCAGATCTTAAGTACCAACAAATAACCATTACGGCTCTTTTTCAGAGCAAATCGCAAGGACTTCTGGTGAACTCGAAGGCCTCTTCTGGAAACAGCCACTGCATCATCGCATTCCAGGATGACACAGACAGTCAGTTCAGAGTGAAACTGGACCAGCAGAGCAACAAGAGCAAAGGAACTTCAAACAAGTACAAATGACCCATACAAACCAACACACGAATAAATATCCAAAAAGTGACAAAGCTCTCAATAGATGCATCTATTACACAGAAGTTGAATAATTGATAAAAAATAAATCAATTAGAAAATTATGCCTTTGTTTTTACGCAAATTTAGTGCAACTAGTGATAAATATTAAAAGAAAACAGTTCGGCGTTACTTCCTTCGTGTCATCTCAAGGTTTATTGAAAACTGGTAACCCGAAAAGTCATATTTAGCGATTCGCTGAGGACAATGATGTAATTCAGGTAAATATTCACTGCTTTTAGGCATAATAATTGCTGTTTAAACATCGAAAAACCTCGATAAAAGTATCAAAATTAGGTTGATTGATTTTATATAGAACCAGTTTTTGAAACAAGCTAGTAAGGCACCCAGTGAATTATCACAAAAAAATCCTTTCAGCCGTGATGCAAGTTTAAGAAAATTAATTCGTAAAAAGATCTGTTTCGAAAAAAAAACTCGTCCGAATTTTTTGCGCTTCAGACTCAAATGTAGTGAGCTATCTATTTCAACGATGCTCGAATTTTTCTGTGAGAGCATAAAAATGATACATCGATATTTTTTTGATAGTTGTTCTATAATCTGTGGATTTATGATCCCACTTTGAAAAAAAAAGATTTTTTTTTATATAGAAAATGTTTCAAAAAAATCGAATTTTGTTTTAAATGTCTTTTTCGATTAATTGGTTGCGTGATTAACTTTGCAAACAAAATATCGGTAAAGAATATAACCGATTTTCGAAATCATTTTTCGTAAATAATAAAAAAAAAACTCTTTGAAAAAAAATGGCCCCATAAATCTACAGATAGAAGAACGCTTATAAAAATAATGATGAATCGTTTATATGTTTCTGTGACAACGAAACATCATTTTAACTTGTTTATCTTACCTTTCTCGCAGCAATCAGCGACTGCGGCCTTGTTCAAATCCTGCACTCGGTTGTCATCGGGAGAAGAGACAGCCAGAATATTGTCTGCAGATTGGACGAATGATTCGAAGTCTATTCTGTTGTTGATCCACATTCTGTGGTTGTAGTTCACACTGCCTCCCAACTCAGAGGGAAGTTGGTTCTTGTCTGCAATCTTGTCCAGCTTCTTCGCAGACACAGTTTGCACCTGGAAAAGGAGCCAAAAAGCCTTTCAGCACTAGTTTGGCCTTTTAATTGCAGATTTTTTGAGGGATCAAACAAGTAAACCTTATTTTCCATTATTATCAAAAAAAACCAGATCACAAGAAGAATGGCATATAAGCAAGACATTGACACGCGAATAGCTGAGCTGAATTAGATTTTTCGGCGAACGATAATTAAAAAAAAACATTCAACTTTTAGAAGAGAAGTCCCTAACAAAGGACTGTTGAGTCAGTACCATTGTTGACTCGACTTCTCGTCTGGTTGGCATTGTCGTCTCTAACATTTAGTAATTTAGTCTTCACTTCTTTCAAAAACTTCGTCTCTACTAACTTTCATATCAGTACTTCGCATTGAAAAGTTTTCTCTGGGCTTTTCGCTCATATACAGCATTTGGTACGCAACATATTTCGGACATTGAAACGTCTCAACGCTACCCTGCCGGTTTGCCTCTTGATAGTGGGACCTAATATTCGGGTATTTGAGTTAACCGTTGTTTCTTATATTCAAATTAATATCCAAGCACATTAACAACCTTTGATAACTCTATAAATTGTTCGTTCCACTCAACGAACGGTCGGAGTATTATCACAATGTTCTTAATCTAAATCATGGCTTTCCACTGCCCGTTTTTTTATTATGTAATCATTACAAGTTTTATTAAAAAAAACCTTCACAGTTTTTATTTTGCTTCAGCTTTTTTCATTTAAGCAAATTATACTCACTTGCGATACAAAATTGAAGAACTATCACTACTTGCAGATGAACCAACAATCCAAAAATTTAAAAAAAAATGATAAAACTTGCTTATTTTTCAAAACTTAAAATTCCAGAAAAATTTCTTGTAATGAAAAATTGCACCTTTAGAAACTAAAACTAAATACAAACATAGGGAAGCGAAGCTTATCTCTTCTTGCGAATCAACACATACATAGATAGCATGACAAACTTATCGACTGAAATAGAGATGAAAGCCGCATAATTTTTTTGGCAAAAGTATCAAACAAAAAACTGATCTACCAAAATTTTCCTGACATTTGTTTGTATCTTCATTTCTTCTCGAATTCTTTTCAACAAAAATGACAAAAATTTTGAAAAAAAAGAATGTTCAGCAGCGAAACAAAACGTGCAAAGCGGTAACAAAGCCGACAATTCTTGGGCAGACATATGTTGCGCCGCAAAAAACATGAACGGTATTTCGACATGAACTCTCAAACATGAACGGTATTTCGAAAGTAAACAGGCCAAATTGATATCTCTAGCTTGATATATTATTGAAGTAAGGTCAGCAAAGGGTTCAACTATTTTGTTAAACAAGATAACCCGAAAAAAGCTATGTTCCAATTTCATAACAGTTACTATTCGCGAGCGTAATAGTTACACCAGGTAGCGCAACCATGTTAACGGAGTTTGCCACTAAAGTTAATATACAATCTAAAACGCTAGAAACGTTTATTTTAAAAAAAAAATTGACAATTTTTCATGTATATTTTGAAGGAGGGCTTAAGATGGAGATTTAGATTTCTCGTTAGATTTCAACAATCTTCATTTAATGCCAAAGAAAAAAATATATAAAAAACATTAGAAAATTAGCCAACAGAAACAAAGCTGACCCACCTCAACGCCGAAATCCTACCGAAAAATTTCGGAACAGATAAAAAATACTTTGCAACACATAACGATCATCCAAGGTACATATGCTGCTAATGGAGTAAGCCATGCTAAAGCGCTTATAGAATCTACCATTTGACAATTCTGTGAACAAAGTTACTTACCGGAAAAAAATAGTCTAGTACCCGGTTGCAATACCCTTGCTCATCGCAAGGGTAATCAAGCAGTTATTGAAAATTTAGTAGTGCTTCCAACCTCTCAAGTTCGGCTTCACAGAGAGCATATTCGAGTGGAAAACAAAAATCCAACAAAAACATTTTATGGGGTAGATGATTCATTACGAAGATCAAAGCTAGATGCCACTTGATTGTTCAACACGAAAAGCACCTCCAGTTCTTGTGCCTGAAGTCGGCAGAATTTTTAAAAAGACTGCTGGTTTATTTGGCTTGAGCGCAGCAATTAGATGAAGATGGATTGCATTTACATTTCGCATGCGAAAAATTGAGGTTTATTTTTTCGACACTCAAAATTGGCAGAATAAGATTCAGTTTCTTTCACTGAACACAGCATTGAAAAGTGAATTTTCATTTCTTTACTAATGTAACCTACGGATAAAATAAGTCGCGATAGGCCTTGTATTTTTTACATAGATGCGAAGCTTCGTTTCACAAACACTGGCCAGAACACTATAAAAAGGTCTATAAAGTTCAATAAGAAAAGATAGAAATAAGCCTAGAATTAGTAAAAATTCGGTTACGTCTCTGATTCGACCTGCGACTTACAGATTATGAGTTTCACGCATTAACCACTCAACTACGGACGCTTAATAAACACAGAGGCAAACCGGAGTTTCGCACCACTTGCGATGCAACACAATTTACAAAAAAAACATACGTCGAAAATAAAAGAAAAAACTTAGTGAACCAAAATTTTCGTTTGTCCCGATTAAGGACGCCTAGGTGCTATTTAAAGCTGGAGGTAGGTTTTTGACAGTTTTGAAACTTTTATACTGATGCGGGATGAAATGCGTAATTTCAGAAATTGGACTTTGCCCAAAACCTTAGTTGTTTCTCTACTAAAACAAAGGAAAAGAATAAGAAAACTTTGAGATTTTTGAAATTTCTTAAGTACATAACTTTCTTCTTACAAAAAAAGTGAGGAATAGACTCTTCTGCAGAAAAAATTGGCAAAAAACTCAGTTTTCGATTGAATTTTTCATCTCAGATTTGAAAGGGTACTTTTCAAGAAAGTTCCAAAACTTTCCAAAAAAAAACAGTCGAAGTTCAAAAAAATGATTTTCCGAAGTTCGTTTTTTTTCTCCTAAGGGCAGTTTGTGACCGGTAAAGTAGAGAAGAATCTCAAAATCTGGTTTCTTGATTGATTCCTGAGAATTGACCGGTAATTTTTGAGAAAATTCAAAAACCACAAGCACTCGCAACAAATAAAACAGAGAGCAGATTCTTTGAAATTTCCAATGCTACGGAACGTGATAACAGCTAAAGTGCTACCAAATCAGTGGACACTTTTAATGAACACTTTTATTTGGAAGTTAGATTAGAAAAAAAGAGGGTTCCTACTAATACACTTCGCTCGCAACCTCGCCAATGTAGAAAAAGAAATCACTTTCTCACTCTGGAATTTGTTTTTGAAATAATATATTACATTAGCTGGCAGGTTCAAGTTAAATACCTGGATCACTTTTTGTTATACTTCGAACAGTATTTATAATATATTTCAAAAGCCGCATTTTTTGGCAAAGTGAAAAATTTTGAATTTTTGGGTAGCACTCTATCTGGCAGAGTAATGTATTTACAAAAAAACTATGTTAATAGCATGAACAATTGATTGGAATTGAAATGACTATATTGTGCGTTATAGTTCTCAAATTTAAACAGAGGCGAAGCTTTGCTTTGCAAACACTAGCATAAACACGGCAAAAATCACTCTATAAAGTGCAATAAAAAATAGAAATAAGCCTCGAAAATTCGGCCATGTCTCGGGTTAAATCTCAGACTTAAGGCGACCTAGAGAATCTGCGTCTGAAGGTTTAACCACTCAGCCAAGGAAGCTTAATAAATAACAAACACTAGCTTCATATAAAGCATAGAACAGATCGTGATTATAGCAAAAGTGCCACCAAATAATGAACAATTTGCCACCAAATATTTAACACTTTCATTTTCGAAATAGGTTAGAAACAAAAAGAAAGTTCGTACTAAAACACCAACGCTCGCAAGATCGCTTGTCCAAATAAATGCACTATACTCAAAATTGCCACCTTTTATAACAAATCATTATATTTCAATCATTTGGCAGTTCAAATGGCATCTCACGTAGTACCGCCAAAAAAACAACCTGCCTGTTCTGTCACCTACCCTTTGGATTAACAGTGAACAAGCAAACCCGCCTCCATTAATCAATTGGCTCGCAAAAAAATTAGTTGTTGTTCTGATCAAGCAATGAAACTTTGAACGATATCAAGTTGAGCCATATCGTAAATCAAGCAAGCTAATGAGTCATTTCTAAGCAAGCAATTCAAGCTATAAAACTTCAAAATATTTCAAAATGCTTTATGAAGCAAATCGGATGGCGACACTTAAGGTTTTTCTGAGCAAGCTTCTAAAGCTATGAAACTATGAAATATTTCAAGTTATTTCATTGACTGAATCAGTTCGAAAAAAATTTAAGTTCAAGCTATTTTATAAGCCGAATCAGTTTGCTAAAAGCTTAAAGATTTCTAAGCAAGCTATTCAAGCTATGAAATTTTGAATTTTCTTAAGTTGTTTCGTAGAAAAAATCAGTTCGCGAAAAAATTCAGTCTATCTAATGGAAGCTATTAGAGCTATGCACATTTGAAATATTTCAAGTTATTTCGTGCACCAAATTGGTTCACGTAAAGTTTAAGTTTTTCTAAGCCAGCTTTTAAAGCTATGAAACTTTTTCAAATGAATTTATAGACTGATTCAGTTCGCACAAAATTGAAGTTTTTATAGGCAAACTTTTAAAGCAATGAAAGTTCGAATTATTTCAAATTATTTTAACGACTGAATCGTTTTGCGAATTTTTAAAGCTCTGAAAATTTATCTTAGCGAATTTTTAAAGCTCTGAAAACTTAGAAATTCAAGTTATTTCAAACGTCAAATCAGTTTACAAAAAACTTTCTTACAAAATATTTCCAAAATTTTGCTTAAAAATTAAGTTTTTCGCAAAACGAATTGGTCTACGAGGTAGCTTGAAAAATTTCAACGTGTTTCTGAGCACGCTATTCATGTGATGAAACTTTGAAAAAGCCGAGTTGTTTCATAGAGCAATTCGACTGGCAAGAAGTTTCAGTTTGTGTAAGCAGGCTATTCAAGCTAAAATTTTTTTTTTTGAAATATTTCAAAATTTTCCTTGACCGGTTTTAGTTTTGTTAAAAGGTTAAAATCGTCTTAGCAAGCAATTAAAGCTCTGAAACTTTTAAATATTTCAAATTATTTCAAAGGCAAACCGGTTTGCGAAAAGTTTGCTTAATTTTTCTCAGCATGCTATTCATGTGATGAAATGAAGTCAAGTTGTTTCATAGAGACAATCGACTGGCGAGAAGTTTCAGTTTTTCCAAGCAAGCTATTGAGTTAATAAAACTTTGAATTATCTTGAGTTTTCACAGAGAAAAATCGATTGGCAAAAGGCTTATGTTTTTTCTTAGCAAGCTATGCCAACAATGAAACTTTGAAATATTTCAAAACATTTCAAAGCGCAAATCGGTTTGCAAACAGCTAGTTTTTCTAGCAAAGGGGTTGCTATTTTTAGCTGGTTCCTTTCAGAAAGAAACCAAATCTGAAAAGGCAAAACGTCTGAAAAAATGGACGGGTATTTTATAGCCTTGAAAATGAATTGAGTGCATCTTGTCTAAAGTATTGAATTTTTGTGAAAAATAATTCAAGAATATTCCAGACCTAAGAAAATTTGAAAGTTCGAGAACATTCTTGGCTTCTCTTAAACGTTAAGCCTAAAGAATTTTTTAATATTGCATTCGTTAAAGCTTAAACATTGCGTTCAGTTAAACATTGCGTCCATAGCGCATTCCGTCTTTCATTTAATATATAATATTTGAGCAGTTCTTTCATCGAAAATAGTGTATTCGGGCAAAATTTTCCTCAAACAATAGGTATTTGATTATACAGTAGTTGATGGGCGAGCTGCAAATTATTGCTCAAAAATTATTTACACGAAGGCGAAGCTTCGCAAACACTAGCAGGAACAAGAGAAAAAGCAGCTTTATACAATAAGAAGTATAAATAAGACTCAAATTAGCAAAAAATCGGCTGCCTCTTGAGATTAAGAGTCAGAGGCACTAACCACTCAGCTACAGAAGCTTGTTAGTACATAGAAAACACTAGCCACAATTAAAGCAGTGATAGACGCTATGCTATTTCCAATGCCACAGTGAAATTTCCAAATAAGTGAACACTTTTATTTGCGAGTTAAAAAGAAGTTTCGTAATAACACACTTAGCTGTCACTAGTGTAAGAATTCTGAGTTTCCGAATTTCGCTAAAAAATCATATTATTTGACTGCATGTGCATCTGCACAGTTTCGATAACTCAATGCAAACTGAATCAAGTTATTTCTAAAAGTATTACGACGGTTCTCATTATTTTACTTCATGGCAAAAATCTAAGCAAGATGAGCCTGCTTAGTTTAAAACACGCTTACTAACAGGCATTTCGCGGTTCTTCTTCGTTTTAATTCTGAGGTTGGCTATCTTCTTCTCCAAGAAGTCATCTGCCTTCACAAACACTAGTTGCTTTGTCATGAACCAGTCGGGAAGAGCGGCAAAGAATCGGGCGAAGGGTTTCACAGCTTTCCCGAAGGTCCCGCGAGTGTCTACGATTACAGTGAAACCTTTCGACTTGCCCTCAGGCCTGAAAAACAAATTTTCAAAAAAAACAACATTTTTTTCCGAAATACGAGATTTTTGAAGCAATAAAATTGTCCGTGAATTATCTTCAACACAAAACATTTGAATGCTGAATAATCTGTAAGTGTTCCAAAAATAAATAAATGAATTTGCATGAAGAATGTTTTTTTGACAATTTTGACAATAGTTTTTGTTATTAACAGTCTGATAAAAACATGAGCTCACTTGGAAATGGAGCTGAAATACATCAGTGTTTCCAGAAGTGAATTCTGATTGGTCGACAACTCTTGCTTCGTCACCCGGTTTGGTATTGTCACAATGGCACAGCCCGAGTAGTCTTCGGCTCCTATCAGATTGGCCAGATTTTGCCTCAGCATGGATTCCACTTCGCTTGCTCTATGCTGGGTTGGAGTGGAATCACATCGCAGCAGCGTCGGTGTCGGAGTGAGGCTCTGTGCAGCTGAACAATTGGCCATGATATTTATTTCGAACATTTATTGCTTCAACCAATATCAAAAAAGAGAAAAAACACCAAAGCTTATGATGGGTTTTTTGCGCAAAATCATCTACCCTATAGAAAAATTTGAGAGGCACTTAGCGTAGTGGTAGGACATTATCTTCGAGAGCGTCAGATCGTGCACTCGATTCCCTGCCATGACAATGATAGTGTGTGAGGACGAACTCTCACATGACCTCTAGCTTCAGGTCTACCACAACCTGGCCAATTTCGGCACCAATAGTGTGAGTTAGAACCGATGTGGTTAACTCATAGAGTAATTTCGGATAGGGTACACCATCTGCTCGTCACGCTATCTTATTTTCGGCCGGATAGATTCGTGCAACTTCTTAGTTTAATACCGATCCTAGTCCTACTCTTATACGTACTAGTCTCAGGGTGTTTAACTAGTCTCTGCTAGGCTCAATAGATCTAGGGTATACTGGTTTATTGCGGCTGCTGAAGTTCTCTTGGAGAGGCAACTAATTTCTAAGTTAAATTCAAATCTCTCTGGTGCTGAAATTACAAGTAATTTCAGCACTTACAAATAAGTGGGTTGTTAGTTAGATGGATTATGATTGGTTAATATTAAATATTTTACAGTGGTAAAACATTTAATTTATCCAATTATAAAATGTAGTTTAGATCAGGTTCCAAGTGGTACCACGTGATTGCTCTAGACGCAAACACAACGGCCTTGTGTCGCATATTTTCGCTGAACACAATTAGTCAGTCTGTAAAATGCGGAAATAAGAGAGACGGAGTATGCGTAGACATGCTTATCGCAGAAACCACAAAAAACTCCTAAGGTATCGAATGTGGCATCAGATTGCAGCCTTTTCAGTCAAAACTCTAATTCCAAACAGTCACAAAAAATATCAGATGAGAAAAGAATAAAATAACGATGCTCAAAAACATTATAATGCAAAGAAAATCATATTGCAAAAAATATCAGAAAGCACGTATCAAAAAATTGTCGAGATGATCAGACGTCCAAACTTTTTACCAACGAGGAGGTTTCATCCAGAAAGCATTTGGGTTTAATTATGTTCTTAAACATAGCTAGCAGGCTGTTTCAAAAGTGTAAGTGAACTCAAGGATTATTGAAAAATTATCAAAATAATACATATCTTTAAAGTTCATAGAAATTTCCCTTCTTTACAATTTGGGTAAACTAGTTCAACGGAAAATTTTTTAGTCCTCCTGGAATACTTCAAATTAAAACCGACGATTGAAAAAATAATTTGCATCACTTTAAAGTTCCTTGAGATACTTTTGTACAGAACAATTTGAGAACCCTAGTTTAATGATTTTAATTTTTTATTCACCTTGATTTAAAAAATTTTATACAGAGGCGAAGCTGAGCTTTGCACCACTCGTGATACAACAAATACTGAGGGTTTAAACAGCATGACACTCAACAGCAAGCAAAAATGACTTCCAACTATGTTACATTAACAAATATGGAACATATGAATCAAGAAAAAAGAAGAATTTTTCAGAGGTCAAATTAGTGTTGAATTTGCGCGTTCAAAAATTGGGCGCCAGGGTCTATCGATTTCATGAACAATACCGGAAAAAAGTAGGAAACAAGATATTTGGCATATAAGCCGACAGAATTAAGGCCGGCAGCCAATAAGGTGAAATTGATTTATATATTGGTGATCCATTTATTGCTCATTAAGCACCCACCACGAGTGCCATATATGTACTGAAGGCAAGGTGGTATACACATTTTGGAAGCTGAACAAAGAAACTAAAACCATCAGCAGAGAAACTAAACCATCATAAAAAATGAAAATAACGAAATTCTATAATTATACATGCCAACAGATCTATCAAAATGAAAGAAGATGGTTTTGAAAACAAAAACATACCCAGACAATATAATGAAAAGTAATCATCTGACGAAAACTTAGCAAGCAGTAACAGAGCTGAAAATTCTGAACAAAAACCATTCAAGCTGAAAAAAATTCGAACAAAACTTGAATCTAATTAGAAATTTCGAGTTTCCTTCTCCCTCATACAAAAAAGCTAATTCCGAAAAGGAAAGATATTTAAAACACTATTGACCTCAAAACATGCTTATTAATTGCAACAGAGAGGCGTAGGATTTGCAAAGTGAAATACACAGACAAAAGAATCAAATACGGACAACGGAATCCAGTGAATCAACATGACATACAATAAGCAAAAAAAACACTAATAATCGCAAAACTTTATTCGTCTGAGTTAAACATGCTAAGAATAAAACCATCGAAATCAGAGGGGTAGGATTTGCAACGAGGTTAAAGTGGTGAAGGAGTCCTGTGAACAAAGTTGTTTACCGGAAACGTCTAGTACCTGATTTCAATACCCTTGCTTATTGCAAGGGTAATAAAACCCACTTCCGAAATAAAATAACATTCCATTTATCTGTGCTAATTACTATCGTTGCTTTTAAGAGCCTAGTTGCCCTTTCACATAAAAAAGAAACAATTTTTACCGAGCCTCTAAATAAACAAAGAAAAGAAAAATTTATTTCTCCATAAATCGTGATTCAAGTTCAAGTGAAACAATTATTGTCGGAATATTTAACGAAAACGAAGAGCGTATTAAGGCTAGGTAAACGCCACTGAAAGTCTACCCTAATATTTATTTCTAGGTTACCTTGTTTTTGTTGGTTTCAAGGTTATGGGTAGAAAATGCTACCCGAGAAAACCAAAAAAAGTATACTTTTAAAAGAAAAGGGTTGAATGGAGGGATTAAAAATGCTTACGTTTTATAAATGTTTACCAGCAGAACAGTCCATCGGATACAAGAGATTATCTCTTTTTGTTCTCCACTTATTGCGGCAACTGAAAACGGGCCCTGCTGGCTTCATGGTTTTCTCCCATACTGTTCCAATTTGGTTTCCAAATAAATATACGGTTTCCAAATAAATATACATACCAATTTGAACAGTAAAATAATTTTCATGTTCATTCAACTTATCAAAGAACGAATATCATACAAATATTTTAGATTTTCTAATTCTAAAAGAGGTTGATTCGTTTATTAAGCTTTTTTCATAATTATATCACAAGACGTTAAAACTTTGACCTAGACAGAAGGAAGCAAGAGAAGAAAAAAAAGGAAAAATTGTTTTCCGGATTTTTTTTTTAATATCTCGGAAACTAGAACGTTTTGGAGGTTCATATGGGGAAAAGTCTAATCCCGATTCCCTTGCAAAACGTACAAATAACTAGTCTTCAACACGACAAATAGCGTTTGAGTGTGAACTGGACGGTAACACGAACAGTATAGGGTTTTCATATGATAGGACAATAGACTCTCTCAGCTTCTCTTGAGGTAACTAAAATCGGCCAAAAAAAAACATTTTACGCCATAGTTCCTTCCAGTCATTTCATGGCGTGGACTGAAAAAATCTCACACAATCACCAGATGGAAAAAATAGTTATATAACATTCCAGTTATTGATCATACTATCCTTGAATCATGGGCGGATCATCGTCTTCATATTTTTTTAGACCTCAAGATCACCAGCCACAGACCTAAGCCAAGATGTTAATTTTTAAGTTTGACTAAACTATGCTGGCTATCATAGAAAAGCTCATCTTATATAATGCAGCGCACAAGCCATTTAACCAGCAAACATGACTTCTGGGCACCACAACGCTACGGCACAAAGCTATAAAAAAAAACAAGTTCGAGTTCTAGAAAACTTACATCCCATTGTGTCATCAAGCACGAGGACGGATCCCGACAGGTCCACAGAAAGGGATCCCATCATCTTCTCAGTGGAGTCTGACCTATTCAGATTCGACGACTGGTTCAGAACGTCTTCAGCCGACTGACTCTCACTCTTTGGTTTCACCTGTCCCGAATTTTCATCGGTGCCGAAATCAGAAACGAATTCCACATCCGGAGAAAACTTTATTGACGGTTGCTTTGAAAACGGAATACCAGGGCCAATTAATGGCGTCCGAACTTCCATTTTCTTCCTATCTTATAACTAGTTTAAATGGATATTCAGAATTGATTCTCTGAGATAAAGTGGCAAGTGATTTGATTCTTAAGTGAGTACCGGGGTTCGCAGAATAGTTTTCAGATGATGATCGATAAGCAGATTCTGGATTCGAGTGTTAGACCGAAAAGGTAAACATTAAATCCAACAATACGTTACAACTTTTTTAGAACCAAATTTAATGTCACTTTAATGTAAAGTAATTTAGCGCATTTTATACGCAAGTTTTGAAGTTTCACTTTCAAGTTAAATCAGACTACGTGTAGTTATAACTAACCATCGTATACGCGTGACCAAGTTTACGTTGATGTTTTTTCAGAGACTGTAAGACTATATTTTTCTCTTTAGTGGGACGAACGCAGCATAATGACTAAGCTTACCACTCAGCTGGCCTGCTCAAATGGCTCTTAACTGCAGTATGAACAGAATCATTCGACCGAAAAGATTTCTAGAGTTCGCCGCTAGGCTCTTTGATGAGGCGTTAACGCTTGGGGTGTTCAAGAAAGCCGAAGTAGAAAAGTTCCGAAGAAAATAAGTGTTCAAAATACCCTATTAAATTTGTGTCTTAATTTATGAAAATTTTCCACGGAGTTTGATTTAACAAGATCCGAAAACTCACTACGCAAACCTACGCGATAGAACGGCAAAAAAGCAATAAGAAAGTTTTATAAGCACTTTTATTTGTGAGTTGGATGAAAAAAGTTGTAACAAAACACTATGCTCGCTTGAGTATTGACGCGGAATTTTTGAGGGTTATTCTTTGTTAAGTTTGATGCAGTCACAACTACGTTGGATTTTTTCGCTGTTTTCTCTAGTTAGAGATTAAGTATCTAAAATTTAATCTTGCTTTAGTCTTTGTAAAACCATATTTTTAAATAAACTTTTTGGCTTTTTAATACTTTTCCTTTTTCTGAACACTGTTGTACAAATTTAAATCTATCATTTAAATTTTCAGCTTTTTATTCAGTACGCTAACTTTAGAACCTCTTTTACATTAACAACAGAAATAGTTCATCACGCCCGCATATGACTTTTTCGAACTCGTAGCTTTTTCGAATTTTTCCATTTGAGTCGTAAATACTCGACATAACTGTATCTATGCGCACTTGATTGTCCAGGGTGTAAGTACTGCAAAACAACTGCAAAATTAAATGTCGGGCTATAATTCAAAACGGGAGATTTTTTGTCAAAAGCACCGAAATATACGTCGGCCAGTCATTTGTCAGTTTTGAAAAATCTGAAGGAAATCGTTTTGACAATCATTTCAGTTTTAGACAGCCTAGAAGAATTTGGTGCTTCTGTCACGAGAATAACCCCCATTTAAAAGCTTAGAAACACCTCAAGAGTACATTATTTTCAATTATTCGAAGCTACGCAAAAAAACTTCACTTTTATATTTAAATTTCGAATACCCTTCGAATTTAAAAAATTCTGAAATTGAGCAAAACAATGAAACATAGTCATCAAACAGTTGGAATTAAGTCAATGAACTCAAGTGAAACTAGAGATTATGAATCTTGTTCTGGGAAAAAAATGACGATGAAGCTCTTTGAATTTCAAAAACCTTAACCTAGCCAAATTAGAACTAAAACTGGTGGATCAGTAAGTAACTTTTCAGTTCACTTCGAAAACTAAAAATCACTATCGAACCGAGTTCAAAATAAAACAAAGGTCAATCCGCCACAAAATTGAGCGAGATCAATTTTGAGGACTTTTTTGAAGAAAAAAAAACAAACGTTCGTTCATTGAAACTTTTAACAATTTTCACACAGCTGGACGTTGCTAAGATTTAATTTAAAAAAAGCAGGTAAGATTTGTAATAAAAGTGATTTACGGGAAAAATGAGGTCTTATTCACGCTAACAAGACACTTGCTCTCAATGTAATCACTTCGCACTTATCAGCTGGTCGAGGGATAAAATTTGAACAAATTCAAGTCGTTGATTTTGTCGCATATTTTCAACAGTTTGTATTAAACCATTATCATTTAATTGATGCTTAAGGACAGTCGAAGCAATAATTTTTGATACGAGCAGTCGAGTTTATGTTTGTTTTAGTTTTAATTCAAACTAGCAATTAACGCACCTTCGGTGCTTCGAAATTTTTCGACAACTCATGAAAAACCGCATATATTGGAAACAACATCTGCAAACTTTTAGTGTACTCTGACTGCACCCAATTACAGGGTTGGTAATTTCGAACTTTTAAATTTTTTTATATTCCCATTTTAAAAGCCAGATTTGCAACCACTGAGAGTCCCTGAGAGCACCCTACTATAGGGTTCGGAATCCAAAATTTTGTGAATTTTTTAAACCTAAGATTCCCGAAAAAAAAATTGAAAAAAAACGTCTTATCTCGGAAACTAAAAGGATTTGAGCATTCATATTAAGAGGCAAGAATTGAGACGCCTGGGTGTACGCTGACAATAAGGTTGTATCTTCATCAAGTTAGTAGTTTCAAATTTTCTAATTAGTAGAAATAGAATTTGTAGAAGTTCTTTGTAGATAAAATCTTTGAGAAATTTTGAAAAAATCGAAAAACGTCACATCTCGGAAACGAAAAGCATTTGAGCAGTCGCGTTTAGCAGTGGCATGTGGCAAGATTTGCAACTCTTTAGAGTACCCTGACAACACCGAACTATAGAGTTGGGAATTTCAGATTTTGAAAAATAAATAATATTTGGAGGCAAGATCCGCAATCTTTGAGATTACTCTGACAGGACCCAGCTACAGGGTTGGGAATTTCAGATTTTGCGAAAAAAAAATAAACATAAATTTTCTGAAAAATTTTGAAAAAATTGCAAAAAACGTCATATCTCGAAAACTACAAAGAATTGAGCAGTCATACTTGGAGGCAAGATTCGCAATCTTTGAGAGTACTCCGAAAGGACCTAACTACAGGGTTGGGAATTTCAGATTTTTAAAAACTAATAATAGGTTAAGTTTTCTGAAAAATTTTGAAAAATCACAAAAAAGGTCATATCTCGAAAACTACAAATAATTGAGCAGTCATATAGGAGGCAAGATCCGCAATCTTTGAGATTACTCTGACAGGATCCAGCTACTGGGTTGGGAATTTCAGATTTTGCGGAAAAAAAATTAACATAAATTTTCTGAAATTTTTTTGAAAAAATCACAAAAAACGTCATATCTCGAAAACTACAAAGAGTTGAGCAGGCATATTTGGAGGCAAGATTCGCAATCCTTGAGAGTACTCTGACAGGACTTTACTACAGGTTTGGGAATTTCAGAATTTAAAAGAAAAAAAATAATTCAAGTTTTCTGAAAAATTTTGAAAAAATCGCAAAAAACGTCATATCTCGAAAACTACAAAAAATTGAGCAGTCATACTTGGAGGCAAGATTCGCAATCTTTGAGAGTACTCCGAAAGGACCTAACTACAGGGTTGGGAATTTCAGATTTTCAAAAACTAATAATAGGTTAAGTTTTCTGAAAAACTTTGAAAAAATCACAAAAAAGGTCATATCTCGAAAACTACAAAGAATTGAGCAGTCATATTTGGAAGCAAGATCCGCAATCTTTGAGATTACTCTGACAGGACCCAGCTACAGGGTTGAGAATTTCAGATTTTGCGAAAAAAAATTAATATAAGTTTTCTGAAAATTTTTTGAAAAAATCACAAAAAACGTCATATCTCGAAAACTACAAGGATTTGAACAGTCATATTTGGAGGCAAGATTTTTAACTCCTTAGAGTACTCCAACAGCACCCAACTGCAGGGTTGGGGACTTCAAGTTTTGTAAATTATTTTGTTATTTGAAATTTCTGAAAATTTTTGAAAAAATCTCAAAAATCGTCTTATCTCGCTAGCTAAAATGAAAATGATTCGGGCATTCAAAATTGGAGGCCAAAATCGCAACCCCTAATTCGATATTGGGCTGCTTAATTTAAACTCGGTAAAATAACCACTAAAATCAAACTGGAAAATCGAAAAAAAAAATCTTAACCATTGCAATATACGATATAGCTTAAACATGCAAAAATAACACGTTGAAAAAGCTTAAACATGGCGAGATAGTGAAGCCCGCATTTAAATATATAATAGATTTAAGTTAAGTGAATACTCCACACTCCATATAAATTACTAAGTGATGTATTGTGTCTGATAACGTATTAACAAGAGCAAATTGCTTGCCTCAATTCATTTTGAAATGATTCAATGTGTCACCTACGCTTTAAAAAAACATTAGATATTGCGCGTTAATTATCCAATATGACATATAGAAATCAATTTCCTAAATTCGATAATCTGTACGTTAAACACAAATGGTCACCAGTAAAAATTTCATTTTTCATTTTGAGTGTTGGACATCAATTTTTTTCAATCAGCGTTAAAAAATTTTGCCTAAATGCCTTACTTAAAAACAAAATTATTTCTGGAGAAAAAAATATCCGAGCACAAAAATTCTATCATTTTGTTCCAGAGTCAAAACAACTAGTTAATTTCGATTATTTGATAATTTGGACAAACTTCCATCCTGAAAAAGTAACAATGCCTTCAAAGAATTAATTCTCCGAGAAATCCGATGCTATCAAAACAAACTTGGACATCAAAAATGCAAAACTAGTTGCTGTACAGTAATTTTCAAATTCATACAAAAAATACGGCGACTTTACAAAGTTAGAGATAGAAAAGCGATATGGATTGATTACTATGAACACGCCTAAGCTAGCAGATTACAAAGCATAAGCTTCTTCTAATTTGACGATGAGCGTTGTTAGATAATAAGCTTTACAGGTAAGTTAACGATAATTTCCAATCATTTTATAACAGAAATACTGAAAATCAAAACAAAGCTGTTCATTTTTAAAAGAATCGGAAATAAATTATATTTTGAAGCAAGAAACTAAGATCTTTCAAATGATTTCTAAGCTTTTACATTTAGGTTCCATAATAATGAGTCAAAAATTCAAATGTATTTGAGGTTTTGCAGCTGATAATAGTTCGGTTTCCGATTCTCTTGTTATTTTGATAACCTCAAGCACTTCACAGATCAATCAGAACAAAAAAAAACAGTCAGTTTGAAATAAAAAATCCCAGGCAGCAGACATCGCTACAGTTTTTTCTAAATAAGTCACGAAGACGATAGATATGCAGTTACAAAAATATCTGCAGTTTTTCAGCTTTACAAAACCAAATAGAAATTTCTCGACCATGTGGTGTCATTGCTTCTTTTGTTCTCTGAAACTGTTTCGGGTATCTTGGTATCTGCAGCTTGTGCCTAATTCAATCGATTAATATCAGCCCAACGAATTCTTACAAGTCTGGATTGCTGAAACAGAAAAACTCATAAATTATTCTCACTCACTTCTAAAAAAAACTTTTTCATAAACTGTTTTCACTCTTTAAAAAATGAATACTTCTCACGGTTTGAAATTAGTTCCTTTTCTGAACTTTTTTGATTTAATTCTGATTTTTCAATCCGGCGATCCAAACGAAACAATTAATTGTTATTTTTATACCAATTCAAACTAACTTTTAGGGAAGTTTATAAAAACACAGAGGCGAAGCGGAGCTTCGCATCACTTGCGATTCAACACAAACATAAAAAAACTTAGAAGTACAAAAAGCATAAATGTTGAAAAAAATTAGGTCTACTAAAATTTTCGTGTCTCGATAAAATTTCAATTTAGGCAAACATGCCGAGCGAAACATTTGAATTTTAAATTAGCAATGGAACAAAACTGACGAAGCGGAAACAAAGCCGACAATTTTTGAGCAGACACCAGTTGAGCCGAAAAAAAAATTGATTATGTCAAAAGAAGTATCATGTCCCCCAAAAATACGATGAACAACACTTGCAACCATAATGAACATAGCCAACTGACAGTTCGCAAGGAGAAATGATGCAAAAAAACTGACTTATTTAAAAAAAAAATTTCAACCTTCAAATTTCGAAGAAAAAATAGACGGCCTTAAACCTCTTTGAGTTTCTAGAGCAATTCATAATTAGCACTTTTTGATAAACTAACCCAATTTGCGAAAACTGGATGATTGGTTAAAATTTTTTATTCTGCTGGGAAATCTGACATTTAAATTCCATTTTCAAAATTAGAAGTCGATCAAGTTTTTCGGTATTTTTACATTTGATAGAGGAGTTTGCCTTCCTTTTATCAAAGGAAATGAACTGAATTTAAAAAGAAATCAAAAGTCAAACGCAAAAAAAAAACAAATTTGAGTCTGATTAAAAAATTTTCCTGAAAAAAAAAACAAAAAACAATTCATCGTGACCTATATAAAGGTCTGAACTACGTTCTTCCAATTAGAAAAACTGGCATGGTCTCAGATTCGCGCGCTTGATACTTCGCGGCATAGCCCCGCTCCTTACCACCACACTACTGGGCTCATATTTTCATGAAAATTACCTTCATTAATAAAGCAAGCTATCAAACGATTCAAGTGATTCTGTTAAACTAGTTGTTAACTAGAAAAAAAAGTATATACTCCAGTTTGATAACGCTTATTTAATCAACAAATAAAGCCACAGTTTTTGCTAAAGATCCGAAATAACAGTTTATTTCAAAATATGCCACCTTGAAGGTTCGGGTATTTCAGCTATTCACCTTAGTATACCAACAAAAAACAACTGACTAAGGCGGTATTTGATGTTGTTCCGGCAGAGACGATTCCCCGGTTTGGTGGTCTGCAGGCGTGTGAGTCCCATATCGCTGAGCATTCGATCCACTAGCAGAGGCCGGTTTTCCCATCCTCTGGAGAATAAGGTCAAACCAGGGCGTGTCCTTGACCAGGAAGTAGATGTTGGCCGACCAGGCAAACAGATTCACAAAGCCCATTCCCTAAAGATGAAATGATTTCATAACTAAGTAGGTAAAAACAGTCAGAGGTTAAATTTTAATTTGAACTAAATTGAAGCCTTGCACATCTTAATAGCCAAAATAGAATGATTTGTGGGCAGCTACATTTTTTACGACAAGAACTGCAAAAGGAAGTTAGAGCAAAATCTGAGCTGACGGTTCAATAGCGAGCAGCAAAAATCGTCATCAGGGTTCAATAAATAAACAAAAAGTGGTTGGCAAAAAAAACAAATTCTGATGATGGTTATTGTGACCAAACAAAACGAAGCCCTGATAATACGGATTGAAATCTTATTTAACCACAGTTGCAAAGAGTCATGAACTCAAAGCCAGAAAAAAATACTGGCTTCTTTGAAAAAAAATTTCAAATATCAAAATTCAATTAAAAAAATATTCGACCGTAAAGTTTTTCGAATTTCGAGAGCAATTCATGATTGAGCATTTTTTTGGGATGAAATTAACCCAAATTGAAAAAAAAATGGATCATAGTTTAATTTTTTTTATTCCACTGGGAAATCTGTAAATTGAATTCCACTCTCGGAATTAGAATTCGACCACGTTTTTCGTAACGTTTACACTTTAACTGATCAATAGTGGAGTTTGGCTTCCTTTTAACCAAGGAAAAAAGTGAACCTAAAAAGAAGTCAAAAATCAACCTGCGAAAAAAAAATGAGCGTGAACGAAGAACAAAACTTTCCAAAAAAATCGAAAAAAAATCACGAGTACCTTTACAAGAGTATTCTCTACGTAATAAACTAAAAAAAACATTACAGATTGCTGAAACATTACAAGGAGGCAAATAAAAGCTTCACAAGATCTGCAATCTATAAATACAATTAGAAAGATTTGAATGAATAAACAATTTTCTCCTTTCATTTGAAAACATAACTACATGTATAAGGGCAAAGCACTGAAGCTCTGACTGCTTTTCAACGTCTATGAAGTAATTTTAGCTTTGAAAGATTTTTATTGCAAATTAAATTTGTTTTAAATTATTTAATCCACCGACACATTTATTCAATTTCGGGCTGAGGCCATTGCTATCTTTCAACTGCTAATTAAAAAGTCGAAAGTTGTCTGGAAAAAAATAGCAAACAAACATTCGGTCATTTTCTTTAAGTCCGCAAACCAAAATACAAACTACAAGTTCTCATTACAAAGTATGACCCAAAAATGCTTGAAGCGAAAACTAGAAATTTTTATCGCCTAAATTATTTATCGAATAAAATTAAATTTTTTGAAAAAAGACAATTAATTGCTAACAATGACGGGTTTAAAGATACCGAGCTTTTTTGAGTGACTTGTAGAAACTCAAACAAACTAAGTCCAAAACACCAAAAAATTTAAAACGCCAAAAACACGCAACAGATAGACCACAATGCGCCATTTGCGCCAAAAAAACCATCTAAGACGTTGAGCCAAAACTTTTTAAGCGAACGATAGGCCACAACTTCAACCTTATTTTAATTAGTTCAAAACACCCTGCTTCGAAAAAGCGATGAATGCATCCCGCATATTTTAGAGTCCTAGGCCAGTCAGACAAGCTGTTCACAGGAGAAAAGCATAGTTCCCGAATTGATAAACTTTGCTTATCACAAGTGTAAATTTTCAAAAAAAAAAAGATTTTCACACTAGCCAGTAAATACAAAAAAGTAAGAATAAGCTTTATGAAAACTTTTGCTATTGCGGAATCGATCCTAAGACAAGAGATTTTAGAGTCTCCTATTCTCACATCTGCGCCACGTGCCCTTGACAAATTACTAACAGAAGCCACAAATAAAACAGCTATACATGCTAATGAATTGACAATGTAATGCAGCAAAAGTGGCACCAAATACCAAAAGAATTGCGATGTATTGAATTGAAAATCTTCTAAAATCGAGAGTTTTCATTATTGTACTGCTGTCTGAAACAAATAGCTTCTTTCGGTTAATTTAATGAATTAAGAATGCATCAACTGAGTTAACGTATTACCAATCGAATGTCAAAGTACATGCTATCAAAAAGCCATGATGGTGCCCCCAAAAGGGGCTTCAATATTTGCGACTTAGGTTGAAAAAGGAAAAGTCGTAGTACTATTACAATACGCTCGCTAAAGCTTGGAATTGTAAACAAGGTATCAATGAACTCGAGGTGACCAAAAAATGGCCTTTCACTGTTTTTTTATCTTTGTAGAAAAAATCAATTACTTTCAGCTGGTGTAGTATTGGCTGTATTAAATTTAGCCCTTATCCTGGTAATGACTAATAAAGATGCCCTATCTCAAAACAAAATGACAAAAAATATCAGATATAACTAAGCGCTGAGTATATCTTTGAGCTTATTCTATACTTTTTTGTTGAATTTGGAAAAGTTCAGTTTTTGAATTGACGTTTTGTGGGCAGCTAATTTTCCTTTAATTTGTCTTCTCTAATTTTGACATCTTCCAAATCTTTGAATATTGTCCACACAATTCTATTGCCTCTACTTTGAAATAAATTATTCTTTTTAAAACGCAACAAAATATTGCCAAATTGACCCGGTTGGATGACTCACCACGGCGAATCCGAGTGCCCTGTACTCTGCATCATGAGTCACTGTACAGCTCAATTCTCCTTCCGTAGTGGAGTGACACTCCTCGATCTGGAGGAAGATTCTAGCGGGACTGGTGTACTTTTCGATCTGGTTCTTCGCCCGGATGAGAGCGAAAGAGCCACAAAACCAGAAGATGCAGATCAAAATGTGCACGAACACGTCCTAAAACACAAGAAAAAAGATGAACCCAGATTTACACGATTGCTGTGCAAGCAGAATAAAATGTTCCGGCCACAGTTGTTTTAGCAAAACTTACACAGGCGAAGTTGCGCTTCGCAAACACTAGCGAGAGCAAAACCAGAGTTCTAAAAAGTGCAATAAGAAAAAGTAAAAATAAGCCTCGAATTAGTAAAAATTCGTCAATGTCTCGGACTCGAACCTACGACGAACAAGAAGTTATGAGTCTCAAGCACTAACCAATCAGCCACGGACGCTTAAAAATCTCCAACACAGGCCACAAATATAGCCGAGAACCGATGCTATGAAATTTCAATTGCTACAGATCGTGATTATAGAAAAAGGCACACAAGTGAACATTTTCAATGAACAGTTTTACTTGAGAGTTAGATTAGAAAAAAAGAAGGTTCGTACTAAAACACTAGCTGCTTGCTAGCGTAAAAAAAATAGTATCGATCGAAGCACGACTTTAATAAGATATGCCCTTCGTCATCTGACTTCTCTTAGCTGAATCTATTTTGAAAACTAGGATAACCGGTTGCTGCAGAATAAGCACAGAAACTTCCAATCACTATGAGTACGGTGAGTAAGTTCGGAATTAAAGACTTTTTCTGTAAATTTTTTCATCAGATTCTCCTGTTAATTTATCGACCGTCAGCATAGTTTTTCACACTTCGTGACGTGACTTGGTCGGAACCCAAAAAAAAAACATTTCTTAATTTAGAAAACAAATCGAACAAACGGACTATTTTGAATCCGATTCCATCGTGCGATTGTAACGTAGGGGAGATGAAGACGTAGGCGACTACTGCCACCATACAGTAGATGAATCCGAGCACCCCGGTGAACACAAAGAACTTGGGGGAGGACTCCTGGTCACTGTGAGCCACCCGCAGCACTTGAGAAGAGGTACTGGTCAAGTTGGTAGTTGTTTCACAGAGAGGCAACTTCACTTCATGCTCGTTCAGACTACGAAGAAAATGGACTCAATTCGAAACTATTTTTAACAAAACACTAAATTATTCTTAACAATGAGATAAATATTACCAAAAAGGTTTCAAAAATATGCAATATAAACCAGCTGAGGTAAGCCAGCTACCCTATAATCAGCCAAAGAAACAACGCAATTATAACATAATAGTTATGAAACAATTATATAAAAGTAAAATTTACAAACACCCTTCAAGTTTCATTCAATTGTCAAAATTAGCGGCTAGTTTATTTGCTCTCTGACGCAAATTTCGGCTGGCTTATATACCCTGCTCATTTTCGGCTAGCTTCAATTCAGCTGATTTATTCAGACTCGTAGCTCAAGTACTCAAGATAAAATTGAGAGTATAATTGTGATGCTCAACACAGAGGCGAAGCTTCGCACCACTTGCTTACAAAAAATGGAATGGCAGCTATCCAAAAAATAGGACAAAGCAACTGATTCAAGAACAGAAACCAAATTCTCATTTATTTGTCTCGAAGGCGGTTGAAATACTAGAAAGACACTAAGAAGCAAATTGCTGGTGTGAAATACGCAGGGCGGGTTTAGGGGGGGACGTCCTCCTTCCCCCCACCCTCAGGGATTCGACCCCCTGCCGACCCAAAGGTTGCCCCTTTGTACTATATCCATTTTTGGCTGACGGACCCCTAAATTTTTCTAAAAGCGCCTTTGGCGCCAATATATACTAATTTTGAGGGGGAGCGCTAGCCGAAAAAACGCTATTTTTTAGTCAAAAGATTTTAAAAAGTGCCTAAAAGCGCTTTTTTGCCTGTTTTTTTTTTTCAAAACTTTGCCTGCGGCGCACAAAAATTGGCCAAAACAAGGTTTTTTTAGTACTTTGGGAGAGCTCGGAAAATCAATTTAGTCGAACTAAAGAAAAAAAAGGTCGACAAAACTTTCGAAAATTTTTTGGAAATCCGCCCCGCCCTCGAAAAAATCTTTGATCCACCCCCTGGAAATCCGCCAACCCCCCAAAAAAACAACGTTAATCAAACAGTAAACGAGCAGACAACACTTAAGTTGACAACAAATGAGCCGAAAAAAATGCTGTTAATGCTTTTAAGCTATAGCAAAAAATCTGAAAAATCACAACTTTTCCCTTCTCCAAGAGCACAATTTCAATGAAAACATTTTGGCCTTTTAAACTAAAAATTATGAAGCACCCAAAATGATATAAAGTCAGCTAAAACAAGTCAAGCCGAAAAATGAAAAAACATCAGCGAAAAAAAAGAAAAATAAGAGTTGCTTTGAAAGCAACGAATGAAATTCGTTCGTTATTAAATTGGATCGGCTACTGTTAAAAATGCAGACATGATCGAAAAATATGCGCTTCCAGGCATCTTAATGATCAGAACAGAAATGTGAACTGATTTGTTGAAAAGTTGCTAGCTGGAAAAAAGTCTATATTCCGATTTAATAACGTTTGCTAATCGCAAGCGTGAAAATGTTAACTAAATTGTATGCTAAACTGCTACTTAATGATGTACCAGGGTGGGAGTTTTAAACGTTTTTTATCCAATTATACATTAAAATATGTTTTTTTTTGTTGATTGGCTTTTAAAAAAATTATTTCGCGAACACTGAATTCAACAGTTAAATTGTTTGTACAAGAAAGTCATTTTCCCCGCTTTTTCGACGTCAAGTTGATTTCTCAAAATTCTTAAAATTGAGGTGTGAAACTTCGAGCACTATTGCGTCATAACTTTAGCACTATTGCGTCATTAGCCGAAAAACGACTTTATGTGTATTTCGATCAAATTGTTTTAAACGTGTTTTTTTCCCGCTGTTTTAAACAGTTTTTTAACCCTGTGTTTTAAACTGTTTAAAACAAAGTCCCCCACCCTGTGATGCACCCGTGCAATGATTAATTTACCGATAAATATTATGGCGTATAAATAATAATTTCATTCAATAGCAACATACTCCAGAATTATATTCTATTAGCAGAAATCATAAAGCCGTACTTTTTGTGTATATTTTTTTCGATAACTCGATAAACGTTTTTAAAAATTTACTTCTTTCTAGGAGAAAAAAAACAAAATAGCATCAGAAAACTCGTCATAAATCGCTGATTAAGAAAGAAAAACTGCCCATCAAAACCTTATAGTCAGGAAGTCATGAAACATTATTATTATGTCGAGAAGTAGCTCTTGATAAGGTTAACTCAGGCAGAAATAGACAAATTGGAGCAGGCGAAAACTTGCGAAGAGTAATCAGTCGATGCATACCAAGAAGATTTAAAAACGAGATCCAGGATAGTGTTGGCTGCCAACAAACTTGAGCCATTGAAAGCTCAATTCATGCTGCTAATCACTTTTATGAAAAAGGCCACATACATTGAAAAAGACCGGAAACACTACAAATTGATGCAACAAATGCATTCAACAACTTGAATCGGCAACTTTCCCTAACAATGTGCAACCTGATAAACTTTTCCAAATGTTCCTGATGAAACTAAAACATTTCAAGAAAACTAAATCAATTTGTAGCTTTTTCTACGCTAGAAAAGAAATCTAAAAAATTCTTTTTTCAATAAACGTCAATCAATTTTTTCCAGCTATTTGCACTTTCATTATTGGAGAGATTATATGGCTTTCTTTGAGCAAATAAACTTGAAATGAATTTAAAAAAAAGAAAGTAAAACCTGAAATACTGAATTGGAGCAAACCTAATGAATGAAAAAGAAAAAACAATGGTCAAATAAGTAACTTCAATTATTTCATTGACATTTATAAGATAACTACTGTTTCAGCTTTCGAATTGCTTGAATAATTAACACAGCGGCGAAGTTGCACTTCGCATACACAAGCAAAATTTGACCGATAACGCTACTGAGAAAAACTGAATGAGAAAAACTTTACGAAATTTCTTCAGTGACGCACGCGAACTATGAATCTACATAACTGCCAAGTGACGCAAGCCAATTATGATGCATTTGCAGCATCAGTCAATTGAAAAAAAAGAAACTTACCAAATAACATGCCTCAATTTATAGAGCGGACACATTTTAACTAGTATATGTAAAAGTTCATCAAAGTCATCCGACCCTGCCCAGGTTCGAAGCCTCCTATTTTGTTGCGGGTCTCCTTCCGTACCACTACGCTACAGATCCATGATACCTTGATACTAAAGTGCTATTTGTAATATAATATTCTGTGTTAATATCTTTAGCATCGGCTGCACATAATAGCTGGTTATTGATCAAATTGAAAACTTTCAAAATGAACACATTTTGTCGCAACATTTGCGATTTAGGTGGGAAGAAAAGAGAGTTCACACTATAGCACAAGCATTGCTTGGTTAATAAAAGACAATTTAACAACTAAACCAATTTGAGAAAACCGGATAAAAATGAAAATTTTCTCCGCTGGGAAACCATAAATTTTAAATCCACTTTCGAATAAGTGGCAGAGTTTTTCTTCTGGCAAAAGGATACTTAACATTTTTCGAATACTAATAGTTCGAAACTTCGAACTTGACAGGAAATTGGGTAAATGAAACTTATTCAAACTTTGACCACAAAAGTTGTTTCACGAAAATGATCATGTAAGCTTCTCGTCTGCACTCTGCTTGCAGTTTACGCTTTTGATTGCTTTTACAGATCTTTTTTATTAAACGGCAGCCGTTGAATAACGCAAAATTGCATCTGCACAAAAAAGCAAAAAAAATTCAGGGACGTCCAAAAAAACTATCATCACATCTATTGGCGATCACCGGGCTGGATTTAAAGCATACTATAATACAATTGTATGAATGGTTGGTTTTTGACATATAAAAGAAAACAAAGCCCGCTGAAACCGAGCAGAGCATTTAAACCAGCCAAAATTTACTTCATTTAAGCCCTCTTACGTCATTATTACATTATTATCTAACAACTCCGTATTTTTGGCTGGCTCATGTTGTAGCTGGTTTAATTGGCCTGATTTATATACCACTCAATTATTATAATACTGCCAACTAAAACGATAACTAACTCGAATGGGTATCCGAAGTGAAAGGTCCTTTTGGTCATGTTCAGTACAGTATCGTTGCCACAGTTCTTCTGGAACTCGAAACTGTCGTCGAAAGCAGCCACAACTGCAAATGCGATCAAACACAACACCTAAATGTAACATCACTCAATTTTCAGTTAAGTTAAGATCAATTATCTACGGAGACCATCATACGAGTTGTTGAGCTTTTTAAGAGGAATAGTTTTAGATCCCCTTGGTCAAGAATTAGATGCAATTATATTGTTTTTTTTTATCTGTAATTTTACCCTTAAGCAATGCGAGTTATTTCAAAATGGTTCAAATTGAGCATCTTATCTCATTGAACTATTATACAAACGAAAGATTTCGGAACAACATATATACATGCCCAGATAATGAGAAAGATCAGAGAGCGAGAAAAAATCATGCCCACGAGGAATGTTCCTACAAAACATGTCGTAAGAGTTCGAGCACATTTTATCGAAAACCTTTCGTTCGTGATTTAGGCTGCAACTGCGCTCTCAGTGTCGAGAAAAACTGGTCTAATCTTAACAATAGCTAGCGTTCTTTCTTGCATTTTTCACCCATGTCAATCATATTTTCTAGCTAGTAAAAAAACAAGGAAATTCAGACAAAAACTGCCAAACAATAAATTTTTAAATCCTTTTGGAATTTTTTTTTATTTTTGAAATTTCTTTTCATAATTTAGTTCAGTCGGAACATTCTGTGCTACTTGCACAGCAACCGGCTGTCCTTGTTTAGAATGATATCATTTCGATTTTTTTTCTATCATACGAAAAGTAGTTTGGGAAACAATTTGTGGATTTTAACCTTCACAACAGATCATATCATCCGACAAAGAAACTTTTATCCAGCTGACTTTTAATGGGCATTTATGAAAAAAGAAAGCTAGTAATTACAAAAACAGACATCCCACGAGTACATCAATTAATCAGACAAAAACTTAAGCAACAAACTGATTAAAACTAAGAATGATAAAAAGGTTAAAAGAAGAAAAAATTGAGATTTATATTATTACTTGAACTTTATTTACCACAAGGCTGTCCCAGATCCCTAATAATGTTATTTCACTCGTTTAGCTGAAGTTTTTGAACCAAAACGAAATCAGACACGAAGGTGAAGCTGAACTTCGCACCGTTAGCGATACAACAAGTATAGGATTAAAATAGCAAGAGACACAAGACCTATCAAAGAGGAGTTCGAACGATGTTACCATTGAAGAAAAACTAAAGAAACAAAAAAATATAATAATTTTTAAATTTACTATATGCTAAGAAGTAAGTTCTGGAAGTTGAAATTGAGTATACAAAAATTTGAAATTGGTTTAAAATCTTATAAATCTCATACAAAGATCAAGAATTTGTAGAGGACAAAATAATAGCTAAATAAGTCAAAAGAATTGAAGTCGAAAGCTGATCAGTTGAAATTCAACCAAATTTGTTTAGCAAGATGGTTTTAGAAAAAATACATGTACTGCCAGACAGTATTCACGAAAACCATAAATGCACTGAATGCAAAATGGTATACACAATTCGGAAACTATACCGAGAGCTTAATAGACAACCATTAAGCCGAAAAACCATCAGCAAAAAATTAATTACGATATATTATCACTGTACATACATGTAGATCTATCCAACTGAATGAAGATAGTTTTGAACAAAAAACATGCCCAGACAATCGAATGCCAAATGATCAAAGGAACAAAAGCTTACCAAGCCGTAAAAAAGCAAAAAAAACTTTAGTAGAAACCCTTCATGACGAAAAAAAAAGAAAAGAATTCAAACCAAATTTCAAAAACTTCAAGTCCCCCGTTCCCCTCAGAAAACACACGCATATCACAACTTTTTTCAGTCATTAAACGATGCAATAAGATTCCATCAAGTCGATGTAAAGTAAGCCGAAAGTGATGAAGCCAAAAAAATCGTTGAAGCCAAAGCAACTACAAGAAAAATCGTTCACGACAGAAACAAACAATTCTTACATGTGGCAACTAAGCCGACAAAACATAAGCAGGTAAACATAAGGCCAAAAATTTATTTGAGACAGAATCTTTTCCGTTTGAAAAAAAAAATGGTCCTGGTCCAGATGATTCCTGTGAATAACGCTATTTACGGGAAGAAATCAATTACCCGATTGCAATACCCTTGCTTATCGCAGCAGTAAATAGACAGAAAAATAATCAAATGCGGACAACGGAATCCAAAGAATCAACTTGTCATATTTCTGTTAACAAAAAACAACAATAATCGCAAAACTTGATTCACCAAAACTCTTGCCATGTGTTTATGATCTGTCAAAATACTTAGAACAGAACCATCGAAACCAAAATGAAACTTTTTGCTAGACTTGGCGAAAAATAGATCAATTTTTCTCGAACATTCTGCGGATGAATATGAAATCGAAAAAGTATTCAATTTCTACCATATCAAAATAAAGCGCATCAATTTAATCAAAGTCCTGCACACTGAAACAAAATCTTTTCTGAGAAATGGGACATCCAAAAAACTGAAAGCTGGACACTTTGAAAAAAATCAACGAAATAGCTCAGGTTTAAACAGAGGCGAAGCGGAGCTTTGCACTACTTGTGATAGAACACACCAAAAAGCACGAGTGAACCAAAATTTTCGCATGTCCCGATGAAAGACGCCTAGGACTTAGCTCAAGCTGGAGGTACGTGTTTGATATTTTTGAATTTGTTATACGGATGCGGGACGAAATGCGTAATTTCAAAAATTGGACTTCTGCACAAAACCTTATTTGCTTGTCTTCTAAAAACATAGCCAATCTAAGATTGGAAAAGAGTAATGAACGCAAGTAAACATTAAATAAACACTGACGATAAAAAAAAATCAAGATTCCCATGTAATAACGCTTGTTAACCGCAAGCGTAACGATAGATGCAACAGATTTTGACGAAAAAAAGGAGATAAGATCAAAACTTTCACACAGAAGCGAAGCTACACTTCGCAAACAAGCGGAAAATGAAATTTATCGATGGGCCGGAATCGAACCGTCAAACTGGAGATTAAGCATCAAGTCCTCGCATCTGCGCCATGGTCACTTGATATACTTTACGCGAACAGTAGCCACATAAAAAGCAGATATAACACATGCTAATAAATGGCTAAAGGTATGGATCAAAACTGTTGCCACCAAATGAGCACTTCTATTTGCGAGTTTAGTGGAAAAATTATAATCGTTTTAACTCACTAGACCGCTTGCGAGATAACATAGCTCGCTCAGTGTCGAGAAAAAACCGGCTTGAAATGATACATTTTCAGTCTAATTTCCAGCGAACAAAGCGAGCGAGCATGCTAATTATAGGTCGATAAGCTTTTAGTTTAGTCGTTAAAAATTAATTTTATTCCAGAAAAGTTAGTGTTTAAAAATTTTGTAAAGCCATTTGAGAATTTTAAGTTTAAAAAACATTTCAAAAAAATTTTGGCAAAAAAAACTTTCTTTTGCTATTCGTTTTCCTCTCATCTCATCACGAGCAAAAAAAAAATTCGAGGTGGAAAAAAAGTGTTTTTCTTTGTTATTGTTGTGATCGGAGCTTTCTGAGCTACTTACACAGCAAAAGGTTATCTTTGTCATACCTCTTTTAACTTTATGACGTCAAAATCAGCCGAAACGATCGAGTAATATATATCATTATAAAATCCAAGGTCGTATTCAAACGACATTTAAAAATTCTTAAGAAGAAGAAGATTTACTTCTCAAGAGATACTGGTTATAAACAACTAAGCACTATAAATATAGATTAATATATATATATATAAAATACAAACACCTCTGAGAGGACAGCCAACGAACCCACTCGGGTTGCACACGGCTGCCCATAACATAAAATCGACATTAGCAAACTTAACATTCAATTAATTGGTCCGTAACAAAACAACTTAATGCAAAATTAAAACAAAACAAATCAGTTCAAAGTATTTTGGTAATAATTATTCAAAATTGGACCTAACTTTCATATTCTCGCAATTTGGGCTCTTATGGTTAGCTGAAAATTTTTTATTACCGGACGTCTGAGCAATCCGATCAACTATGGTTTAGCTTATGTCACAGGATATATTTTTTTCTCAGAACTTCAAACAAAAAAAAACTTCACTCTTGTCGTTGTCTTTTGTTCTCGGTTCAATTAAATTTCTTGAACTTGTTCACTATTCGGTTACTCCTCTACTGACTGTGCCAGGTCTCTATAGATTCCATAACAACCGCAGGGCAGGCTGGAGGCTTTTTAGACAGCGACAGTAACCAGTGAACAAGTCCAAGATGGATTTCAGTTAGTAAAATAAAAACTGAATGTAAACTAATTGATATGCAACAATAATTGGCGGAGGCATGTTGTTTTCTAAGTTGAAGAGATATCTTAAGCGATGTATCACTTTTAAAAACTGAGCTTCATTCAAGCTTTGCAACTCTACAGGGACCAAATTATTTTCTTGCAACAAATTGAACAGCTGAGATCCGCGTTGTTTTATTGAGAACTTCAGCATATTAGTTCTGGCTAAAGGTATTTTCATAATCCCTTTTTTCGATGATCTGGTATTTTGATTAAATACAATGATATCAAAGAAATTATTTAAATGATCACTCGTGGCAGGTTTGCCAAAGATCGAAACAGCAACTTCAATAGTTCGTAAACATATAGCTCATGAGCAGTTAAAATTCCTTCTTTACCTAATAAAGATGTAACACTTTCTTGATTTTTCATAAAAAATATGGTACGCTATCTTCTTTTGTAAATTAAGGATGGGTAACAGGGCATTGTAGCTTACACAACCATATATGAGGATACTGTATTGAATAATAGATTTATCATTTGTATCATAGTAACACCCTTCGAGAAACATAATGCCTAATTTTAGACAGGATTCCGCATTGGCGACGCAGCTTTGCTTGAACACTTTCGATGTGCTAAAACAAATTAAACTTGGAATCTAGCATTATTCCTAAATATTTTGCACGATATCTTTTCGGGAATTTTCTAGTTATCAATAAACATTGGAATGCTAGAACCGCTTTTGTTTGATATAATAACTTGAACTATTTTTTTCAAAGTTAAGACTATTTTTTCAGACTTAATTTAATTATTGCCGGC